ACCGGAATTCCCATTTGACCCATTGATCCCCACCGGCAAGGAAGTCTATCCCCGCGAGCCGCGAGGCCCCTTCGGGATGGGATATATGTTGCCAGATGTTTCATGCCGCCCAATTCACCCTGGCTAGGGTCCAGAAAACAGCCTAGGGTCCCATCAGTAGATGAATGGATTGGAAGGACTGTGGTGCATCTACACGATGGAATACTATGCTGCTGTTAAGGAGAGGGAACTCCTACCGTTTGCAGCATCATGGATGGAACTGGAGAGCATTGTGCTAGGTGAAGCGAGCCAGTCAGTGAAAGGAGAAGTACCACATGATCTCACTCATTCATGGATAATAAAGACCATTACAACTTTTGAACAATAATAGATACAGAGGCAGAGCTGCCTCATACTGATTGCCAAACTGCAGTGGGAAGGCCAGAGAGAGTTGGGGGGCAGGAGGGAGGGGAGTAAGAGATCAACCGAAGGACTTGTATGCATGCATGTGGGCATAGCTAATGGACAGAAGACACTGGGGGGTAGGGGAGGGTGGGGGTGTGTCAAGGGCGGGGGGGAAAAAAAGGACACTTATGTAATACCCTTTGTAATACTTTAAGCGAAAAATAAAAAAATATAAAAAAAAAAAAAAAAAGAAATGTATAAAATGATCCTAGAACATCTTATCATACCAGAGAGAAAGAATGCTATGAATGACAACAGGGTGTCTAATGAACACAGGAAGCAAGCTAGAGGCTCCTATCCAACAAAGACCTATGATCTAATTTCTTAAATAAAATTCAAGGAAACAAAAAAAGAGAGATGGAGGGAAACCTATGAACTTAAGAGAAAGAACCAATCACAATGTATGGATCTTATCTGGATTGTAATTCAAATAATTAAAATATGCATATTTGGTGTTAGAAAGGAACTATTAGTTTTTTAGTGTGATAATATGGCTATTTTTTATGGGTCCCCATATTTTAAAGATACATAATGAAATATCCATGGTTGTGCTTTAAAACAATTTATGAAAGAACAAAATGAGCAGAAAATAAATGAAATAGGTTAGGCCAAGAGGTGATAACTAACTGTTGAATCTAGGATGATGGATAAAATGAGGTAACTGTACTAGTTTGTCATTTTATGTTTACCATAGTCTACAATAAAAAGCTAAATACTTTATAAACACATAAAACAAACTTATAATTCAATTCTCTTCAATTTACATGATACAATTTAAAAAGCAAGAAATAAAGATTTTGAATACTCTATATTATATTTATAAATGTTTCATGTATTTTTTACATTATGTACAAAAGAGTACTTTTTCTTTTTTAACCCAGACACTTTTATTTACACTTTAAAAAGCAAACAGGCCACCCACAAAGAATGGTTAAGAAACATGAAGAGGGCCCTGGCCAGTTTTCTCAATGGTTAGAGTGTCGGCCTGAGGACTGAAGAGTCATAGGTTCAATTTCAGTCAAGGGCATATACCTCAGTTGCGGGTTCAATCCCCAGCCCTGGTCTGGGCATGTGTGGAAGGCAACCAATCAATGTATTTCTTTCACATTGATGTTTCTCTCTCTCTCTTTCCTCCTTCTCCCTCCCTTCCACCCTGTCTGAAAATCAAGGGGAAAATATCCTCAGGTGAGGATTAAAAAAAGAAAGAAACATGAAGAGGTTCATTTGTACTATTAAAAAGTTGTAGTTCATCCATTATCTGTATAAATACTTTTTCTGGCAACAGCAGTAAACTTTTAACCTCCCATTAATAGAGTACTTTAAATCCTACATTATGTATATAAATTGTGAGAGCTGAGGCTATAGTACAAACAATTTCAGTTCCAAAAGTATGCTTTTTAAGTTTTAATGGTTCTATCTACTATTAAAATATATAATATGCAGTTAAGCATTATATACTGCACTGTACTTGTAAAAACTATGAGAACAACTCTTATAAACCCTGCAAAACTGCTCTTTAATGATAAAAATTCCGTTCTTTTGTGTATCTGACAATGCCTAATTACCTTGTGATTCTCTATGTTTAAATACTATAGAAGAAGTTACACTTCTGAGCAGAGGCTAAGTATCCTTTAAGATATTATAGAACATCAAACCAAGTTTTAAACTCTCCCTAAAAATCGGTGCCTACCTTGTAGTGCATCACACATGCAGGTTTATAGGGGTGTTCACTCTCTATGACAGCATAGTGATTAGAGGTTGTACAAGCAGAGAGGCCTTGTTCGGGCTGGTTTCCTGTGGTGCTATCAGTTGACTGATTAGGATTGAACGCAGGAGGCGCATACTTCTGATTCAAAATGGCAACTGAGGGAAGCAGCTGTTGGACAAGGCCAAAGACTTCTACAGCAACCTAGTACATTTACATATATAAAAGAAAAGATTAAATGAGATAATAAATGTGAAAGTTGCTTTAAAATTATTAATTATTATAATTATTGGTTATTCTTATTATTAAGAATTCCCATCTAGAGTTTCTTTAAGCTAAGTGTTTGTTTAACAAGAAATTTGTTCAATGAGAAAAAAAGATTTATCATAGATGTCTTAAATGTTATATGAACTTCGGTTGATCTCTTCCCCTTACCCCCGCCCTCCCCTACTTTCCTTCTGGGTATTGATAGCCTGATCGCTGTTTCTCAGTCTTTGGATCTGACCCTTTTCATCAGCCTATGTTGTTCTCTAAAAAATATGGAACGCTTCATGAATTTGCGTGTCATCCTTGCGCAGGGGCCATGCTAATCTTCTCTGTATCGTTCCAATTTTAGTATATGTGCTGCCGAAGCGAGCACACATGCCATATTTCTAAAATGTATTTCCTATTCCCAAATTTTTCAAATGTAAAGCCAATAAGTAAGCATAGCAATGCAGTAAACAATACCAATAACACAAAGAGATTTAATAATTTCTATCAATTAACATGTCTATCTCTGCTTGTTACCTGTAACCCAGGTACTTCAAAGATTAAAATATCCTTAAAGAAAGGATACAAAGTCTAAAAAAATGATTTTGTTTAAAAAAAGATTCAAAGTTATAAAATTAAATTACATACCTTGGGAATAGCAGCAGCTACTGGTCCTATGTAGGCTATAATAAGGGGAAGCAGCATGGAAAACAGACTGGAAGAGCTAAGCAGTTCTGGAATGTCATCAGCTAAAAAGGGTATTAAAACTATAATTAGAAAGTAATTTCACTGTAATGAATATATGCTGTACTAAATTTATATTTTATTATTTTAAGCAAAATTATAGTTGATGTCGACGAGTGCTTATTAGGACCTGACACTATTGTAAGGGCTTTATTTACATGTATTATCTCAATCAATAAGAAACTTTTATTATCACTACTTTTTAGAAGGGAAACCAAGGCACATAGTGTTTAAGTACCTTGCCCAAAATCACACATCTGTAAAATGATAGAGCCAGGATTAAAACCTAGAGTAACAGTCATGATTTTAAACCACTACTCTTGGTATCACACCTGGCTTTTTGTGACATTAGGCAAATTACTTAATCTGTATATGCCTCAGTAATCACCTATAAAAAAGGATACTAACAGTACTTCCCTTATATGATGTTATAAAGATTAAGTGAGTGAATATACCTAAAATACTTAGAACAATTCCTATACATATTAAGCACTCCAAAAATGTTTGCTGTTAAGCTATAATGCCTTCTGTTTTCCCATGTAAAGCACTTTGCTGATGGACATTTTACTCATTTTTACCCATGAACATGGTGCTGAAAGATAAATTGAGTCTACATTATAAAGACTTTTACGTTGAAAGCCAATCAATTATTCCAAAATACTTGTTTTTAAGTCAGCTATTGCATCAGAATAGGCTAGGTGCTTATTAAAAACTAGAGGCCCAGTGCATGAAATTCATGCACTTGGGGAGGGTGGGGGGGGTTGTCCCTCAGCCCAGTCTGTACCCTCTCGCAGTCCAGGAGCCCTCGGGGGATGTCCAACTGATAACTTAGGCCTGTTCTCCGGGGAGAGAGGGCTTAAGCCGGCAGTCAGACATCCTTAGCACTGCCACGGAGGCAGGAGAGGCTCCCGCCACTGCCACTGTGCTCACCAGCTGTGAGCCCAGCTCAGGGCTTCTGGCTGAGTGGCACTCCCGCTGTGGGAGCACACTGACCACCAGGGAGCAGCTCCTGCGTTGAGCTTCTGCCCCATTGTGGTCAGTGTGTGTCATAGCGACCGGCCGTTCCGCTGTTCGGTCTATTTGCATATTAGCCTTTTATTATAATAGGACTAGAGGCCCAATGCACGAAGATTCGTGCAGAATGGGCCTTCCTTCCCCTGGCTGCTAGCACCGCCTTCGCTCCAGCCCGGAGCTGCCTTTCTGCCTTCCCATGCTGCCCAGAGGCCCAGAGCGGCTGGGGTGGTGGGGAACTCCTGCATCGTTGCCATGGCAACGACACAAGCATCCCACCCCTCCCCTGGCCACTCGGTGTCTGTGTATGCAAATTAACCAGCCATCTTTGTTGGGTTAATTTGCATACACACTCCTGATTGGCTGGTGGGTGTCACGAAGGTACGGTCAATTTGCATCTTTCTCTTTTATTAGTGTAGATAGGATACAGATTCCTAGCCCAGCCAAAACCCATAATTTGAATGGGCCAAATATTCTTCATTTTTAGCAAGTTTCTCAGGTAATTTTGATATGCAACTAGGCTTAGGAACAAGTGTTATAAGTAACAGTAAGGTGGAGTGGGTAACAGTGAATGTTTTTGTAAATATAACTATTGCCAGTGAGGAAGAGGCCTCGATAACTAGACAGGGAATAGGGAAAGGTGGCAGTGAGATTATTAGGTTGTGATCCACCCATAAAAAAGAGGACATATGCTTGCACCATGGCACCCTGAACTAGGACAGAACAGACAGAATGGAGAATACAAACTGGAGTTTCCGGTGGGAGAACTCATAAAGCTCAATTTAGACAGATGAATTAGGGGAAATGTCTAGGGTTACTCAGACTTTGGGTAAATGGCAATAACATTACTGGAAATAAGACATATAGGAAGAAAAACTGGTCTAAAGGAGAAAACAAAATGCTTTTTGACTATGAAAAGATAAAGTGAACACTCAGTTTAATCAAGAGTTTTTCTTTTACTAGTTTAAGAAAATAATAATTACCAGGCTTTTGAACATTCTAAAAAAGTCTGCAATGCTGTATGAAGTATATGACTGATCCAAAATGATTGTATGTGTATGTGTAGATCTACAATGAACAAAACACTCTGGAAGTCTACCAGACGGTTCATCTTCAGTAACTGTGCATAATTAACCTAATATGATGATTATTAAGAAAGTAAAAGTCTTACCATCCACAGCAAGAGCTCTGTGCAAAAGGTCTTTTGCAGCTCGAACAACGGTGCTTACCACAGAGAGAGCTCTGCTACAGTTTTTATCTTCCTCATTGGCTTTACTCAGAAGTTGGGACTGTAAATCTCCATCAAATTCACTCCTAGAACATGAATAACACATGAGATTATTTTACATGGTAGGCAAAACATGATCTAACTCTAGGAATCATATCTAAATCAGAGCTCCTCATATACAGTTTAAAAAGTTAAAATTTAAAAAAGTAAATAGGTAATTATATAATTTCAAGGAGTAACAGGGCATCAAAAAAAAAAGAACATAGGATATAAAGTTATTTTAAATAAGATCAAGGACAGTCTATCTTAAAACTGCTATTAAACAAAGGCCTGAATTATGTATTTTAAAAAATTCTGAGGGAAAAGTATTCAGGCAAAAGGAACAGTAAGATAAAATTTCAGAAAGGAACAAGATTGGTGAGTTCAAGGACCAGAATGCAGATAAGGGTATCTGGAATGAAAGGAGAACAAGTGACAAGGTGGGAAAGTTAGATCATGTGAAATGAGTATGCCAAATAACAACTTTACATTTTATCCTGGAATGGGGATGGAAATTTATGAGAGGATTTTGAGCAAGGGCAGAACTTGAAATGATTTACATTTCCAGTAGATCACTCTGGCTGTACTGTGGAGAACTGACTCTAGGAGGGCAACACAACAGGAGGGAGACTGGTTTAGAGGCTATTACAGTTATCCAGGTAGAAGTGATAGCTTGAAGTAACTGTTAATCATGGGAGTAATCTGACATTTTAAAGGTACAGCTGTCAGTACTTGATGAACTAGATGTAAAGTAAGAGAAAAAAAGGAGGCACGACCACTGATGAGCATGCACCTCTTCTTGTGTACCGTACTATCGGAATACATTGTTAGTAATTAAGTCGAATCTGCCTCCTTGCTAGTATTTTAAAAGTATAGATCATAATGAATTCTCTTAGAAGCATCATACTTTGTATACTCTGTTTCTCTGTGTCTCATTTCTATTGAGCATTAGGGAATGCAGTATTTTAATTGTAACTTTGCCAATATCTTGTCACCACAAAAGGCAGGATTACACTTTTTTTTCTTCCAGGTTGAATTAGTGTAGTGTATTCTGGATTATCAAAATACTCATATAGTTCTGGGACTTTGAAATGGTATATATTCATGATGTGTAAAAAAGTATGATATATAAAACTGTACCATCTTAATTACACAAAAATGGAAGCTTAGTTGTGTAGATACACAGGGGAATTAAAAAAATAAGTCAGACTATAAGCTGCTTGTGGTTATGGATGACTTTGTTCTTTACTTGTGTTTTCAGTTTACTATTACATGCACATGTTAACTTTAAAAAAATGTTATTTTAAAAACTAAAAGAAAAAGAAAAAAGACTCCAAGGAGTTTGGCTGAAACTGTAGATGAGAAGAATTACTTTGGACACATTAAGATTTCTATTAGCCAACTACCTAGAGCAGCCTTAAAGTGGATATATGACATAGAGGTAAGAGTGAGTGTTTGATTTCCTGTCTGCAATCCCAGGGCCACAATTTTACTAGAAGCATGTCTGTAGGCAAGGTGTTTAATCACTGTCTCAGTTCCTCATCAGTAAAGCAGGAATAGGAAAAGAGCCTAACCCTCATGAGGTTACTGTGAGGACTAGCTGACAGCACAGGTAAAACACTGAGAGCATTGCATGGCATACAGTAAGTACTCATCCTACATTAACTATCACCATCATTTCTATTACTGTCACTCAAATAAAGATATCAAAGTGGAAACTAGATATTCAGTCTGGGGCTCAGACGAGATAAAAACTAAAGATATAACCTTGGGAGCTTCAGAGTAAAATGGTATTTAAAGTTAAGAGATTTTAATCTTTTTAAACTTAACTATTTTTTTAAATTGAAGCTAAGTGTATTTATATTAAAGCTTGGTAAAAAACAATCAAGACACCTGAAGCACTGTATTATGTAGAAGATATGACAATTAAAGATATATCTTCTCTTGTGTATAACATAGTTTTTACTCTATGATTTGAGAAAATAATAATGTAGTGTTTCCTGTAGTGCTATGAGACAGTTTTCATGACGGGTGAAATGATTAAAAAAACCTTTTGTACTCAGCAACAACATGCCAATGTAGCTATTTAATGTGTATTATTTGTATCCTATTTCACATGGAGAAAGGATGCAGAAAGTCTACATTCAGGGAAACTATTTTGTGCTAATTGCCCAAGCAGTTTCTCCAGATTGTTTATGAAGAAACAGAAAACAGCAAACCTCTGAAAGTGATATGCAATTTCAGTAATTTGATGCAAAGTCAGGTTGAGGACAAAAGTGATTGGTACACACTACTCCTTAGGATTCCAGCTAAGTTGTTAAAACAAAAATTTAGACTCAGAAATGTATACTTAGAAGTTTTTTAAACCAAAATAATATTTTTTTATGTCTCACTATTTACATAAGAAATGGTTTTTGTTAAACACATAAGAAATATATAATTTTATACTCTAGTACTAGAGTCATAGACATAAAAATATTCTGCAGACTGGACAACAGAATCAAGGCAATACTAGTACTCGGGTAGAATTGATTGATCACCATTTTTAGGTATTTTTGGAAAAAAATACATTCCATTTAAATTAGAAACTGCAGACCACAAACTATAAAAGTGACAACATAAAAGTTTCAAATATATTATCGAAATAATGAAAATTTCAAAGTATTCACCTTTAAGGTGAAACTGAATTTAGATATTAAAAATGAGACTTTTTTAATATGAATTAGCACAAGTACTATGTGCAAAGAAGAGATACTGTATAATTTAATTATAATTTACCCATTCAGCGTATTTTAACTAGAGAGTAAATTATGTATGTTCTACTACTTTAAAATAGTTCCTGATTTCTATACACACACCTACCGATAGTAAAGTATTTGTGGAATCTGTCCTCTGGTTTGGTTTGTGCCATTACTACTCAAGCTGCACGTGCTGAATGTAAACGTCACACCATCAGGGCACTGAACTGTGGTCATTCCTCCATCTCCATTGGCCGTTCGGCTTCCATAATTCCTCAAGCGCACAGCATATTTAACATTTTCCTTCACAATAAATGTAAAACATGTTTATGTTTATTCATAATGTGTAGAAATATACAGAAGGAACTCTGAAGTAAACTGGGCAAATATATTGAATTTCATTGTCATTTATATAGACAATTTGTTTACATGAGTTTTTAATGAATCAAACAGGGTAACTAACACTTATTGATATTTATTTTTTAACAGAAGCTGTCCTGAGTACTTTGTGTGATTTAATTAAATTAATCATTAAAAAAACCTCATGAAGTACTGTTATTATCCCTATTTTATAGATGAGGCATTTGAGGCACAGAGAAGTTAAGTAACTTGCCTATAGTCACAAAGCTAGTAAAAAATGGAACTAGGATTTGAATACAGGCAGTGTGATTCTAGTTCTTGCTCTTAATAATACTACCAAGAATTAGCCATACTAAAAGATTATAAATACATAAGACAATATTTTCTTTGAATTTAACTTTTGAAATAATTTAAAAGAGAGAAAAATAATGGTGAGTCCATTATATTTTTATTTTAAGAAAATATACTCAGAGACAGAAATAAATAGGCAGATATAGAAGAAATATCCATAGGAAAAAGTTGTCCAAAATATGATGCACTATATATAGAAAATGTAAGATACAGATACTGATAACTTATGATTCATGATATAAAATTCACAATAAAGGTTTTTGGTTTCTGGTATCTGAACTCTTTGGTGAGGTTTCTGGTGAACTTACCTAAAATTCTGCTCTATAATGAAATTTATTACAGTTGACTGCAGCATTAGTTTATTAATAAGTATTTTAGTATTAAGTAAAATTTCTGTTTTGATAAAGTTAAAGTTATTTACTGCTAGATATTTAAGTTATATAATGTAACTTTAATAGTGAATACTATTTGTTAATATTAATTATTTTTTAAAAGAGTTCTGGCACAGAAGAGAAGAAAGGGCAGGAATTAATATTTATTGAGTTTCTAAACTGTACTAGACATTGAGGTAAGTACTTAATTCCATTATTTAATCTGAACAGCACTACAATATAGATATTATCCTTCTCAATCTACAGGATGTCTCAAACTGGTTAAATGATAACATGTCCAATATCTTGGAGCTAATATGTGAAAGAGCAGGTATCTGAAGAAGCTATATCTGTTTGACTCCCAAATCTAACAATACCTTTCATTATACTGTACTTTTTACTATACCAGACTTTAAGAGATCTTTTGCAATTAGGAATATTATACAGTACAATGACAAGAATATAAATGTACTCCCTAAGCATTTAAAGCACCACATAAAGGAGTACTTTTTGATATTTTTAAGTAAACTACATAATAATACCTATTATTTACAAAAGAAACATATTAGTAAAGTTACCTTTAAAGGAACAACTTTGTCAAGTCTGATTTCAGCGATATCACTGGGTGAATCATCTGTTGTATAGGTTCCTTTGACTAATTCTAGAGATGTCCATCTATGAGAATGAGTAGAATCTCCTGCATGTTCACTCTAATTAAAATAAAACAAAACAAAGTCCATCACACTCTTTATTACAAGAACAGTTTTGATGTATAATCCCTAACTGTTTTAAAGCATATAACATTAGGTATTAGCATTTCCTCATATATATCACACAAAAAATTTTTTGTACTCTATAAACTATTTACTTTTATCTGATTTCTTGTGGAGTCTAAAACCGAAATCATATAAATGCACTTTTCTCATCTGATGTCCTCAAAGGATTCCTAGTTCTTCATAAGAATAATGCTATATATAATTATAAAGCCTAATGAAATAAAGAGTTAATTTAGCTGTTTAAAAATATAAAACACAGACAAATTACTATATATTAGGAAAAACTACTTTCTGTTCCATTAATAAAGCTTTGTGAAAACTCAGGTACTTCTATTTAGAGCATATAGCAAAATACAGCTAAAACAATCAATAAGTATCTTTACTAAGAATCATCTATTAGCACACTATGACAAAAATGCTTAACCACAGATACAGGTAGTAATATGAGAATATTGTTCTTGTTTCTGGAGAACTTACAATAGCAGAAAAAAATTTACTCAAGACTGTAATCAGAGGCTCAGCTATATAATTTCTAGTCTTATCATTTAAAATCTTTCCTGGAAGTGTAAAAAATATGAGACAGGAGTGATCCAAGATGGCACATAGCAATAGGGTAGAATCACTCTCTTTCGATTTTCTTAAAATCTTCCATCTATGATTGATCTACCCTCAAAGATTTGGACTATCATACTATGATAAGACATCCTGATACACAACCCACACAGCAACATGAACACTCTGAGAGTGGTACTTACATCATCAACCAGCACCTCTAATTCATATTCATGAATTCCACCTCCTCCATAGACAGAAAAACCAACCACAACTATTCCAGGCTTGTCAACTGAAAAACAGATTGCATCAGGAGACCCATTCCCAGTGTTCCAACTTCTTCCCTGACTTGTTTTTGTGAATCGGTTGGCACTGGCTTTAACAGAGTGCAGAGAATTAAGTCCATCGATCTGTGAATGACAAAAGCAATTACAACAGTAGTGTTAATAACATACCTTTAAAAAAATCTATGCAAAGGTTTCTAAGTTCAGTTAAGTAACCTACATTTAATAAGTGAGGTAAAACCTTCCAAATGGTACATTTCTATTAAAAGATATCCAGCAATAAAAGCAGATTTTCTCATTCTATATTTATACATCATTATCACTTGAGAGTATTTTCTTCTCTTAGGCATATTAAATGATGCATTTCACTTAATTTATAATGCCAGAACTATAAACTTGTTATTACAGTCATACCATATGAATGATCACTCACTTTGAAAACAGATAGCAAAAAATGTCATCAATATTCTATAGACCAACAAATTGCAAACTATACCACACAGAGCTCTAGGAATTCTGCAGATAAGTATTCAAGAAAGTAGTAAACTCAGGTTCCCCTCTTCAGTCAGACCACCACTCCTCTTATCTGTAAGTTTACAAGTAAGACTTCATTTGCAAAAAATGTTCTCTTAGGTCTGAAGAACACTAATGTATAGTGATATTAAAACTTGGCATTCAAAAAATTTTGAATACACACACACACACACACACACAAATACAACCACACAGACTTTCATTAGAGAGGATCAGAGAACTTATTTTGGTTTAAAACCACTCTTTTTAATTATAGACCTTGTTGCTGATCTAAGTTGGCTTCAGAAATTTGAGAAAGAAAATTGAAGAGAAAGAAAAACTGCTCTGGGAAAGAAAGATATATGAATGTCTAGACAGGACTATTGGGAACTCCAAAGGTTGTATATTAGGAACCTGCAATTTTGAACATTCCTTTTCATTAGACAGGTTAGTTCATAGGGGATAACTATATAGTAACATTCTGGGTGGGACCTATGTGTGCACTACAAACTTTATCAGATCTACTACAGAAGATAAGCATATTATATAGGCTGAATTAATAACTTAAAAATTTTTTTAATGTTCTGACAGGGCTTTAATGGCACCTGAGGCCAAAGCCTAAGCTAACTAAGAACTGGGGGAAGGCTTCCCAGGTGAGATACTAAACTGCTTAGGTGCATATAATCACTAGGAAATCCTAAAGGCTAAACTGTCACAATGAATCAATAATGAGTGTAGACTAAATGGGCTAATTCAGAATAGATTCTAAAATAAATCTAAAAGTAAGAAAAAGCAAAGACTAGGAATTATGAAAGTAAAATAGAGAAAAAAAGTTCCTTTGTAAAAAATTTGAGACCTGGGACCACTGAATATATGCTAGTTATTAAATATTCATTCCAATGATATAAGATAATTCATATCATGACATGATTTTCAAGACCAATGTACTATCTACTTTTGGGGGGAAAAATAAAATCACTTACCAAATACAGCCAAAATGTTTAGATAAATTATAAAACAGATACTATAGACCAGTGAAATAGTGAAATATAATGCTATTTTACAAAATGTAAAGGTACTTAAAATGGTTTTCTCAAACATAATATTTGATCCTTTTAAAACTTTGTGTTATGGCTATACAACAATGTGAATGTACTGTACTCAATGCCATTGAACTATATACAGAAAATTAGAATAAATTTTATGTTATTTATATTTTACTACATTAAAAATACTTTGTGACTTAGGTAAGATAAAAATTATTATTCCCATTTTACATGTGTATTTGTCTAGAGTCAATCAAGTGGGCATAGCTACCTTTTTACCCTTTCCATGCCATGCATTCATTAGTAATAGTCCTACTTCCATTACTCATTATGCAGCAATGCAAATTATTTTATTATATATTTTATTTTATTATATATATATATATATATAAAATATATTTTAATTGATTCTGAGAGAGAGGAAGGGAGACAGAGAGAGAAACATTGATTGGCTGCCTCCTACATGCCCCCCACTGGGGATGGAGCTGGCAATCCTGGCATGTGCCCTGACTGGGAATCTCGAACTGATGACCCTTAGGTGCATGGGACGATACTCGACTAACTGAGCAACACCAGCCAGGGCCAAACTTGCATTTACTGGGATATGACAGTGGGGTTGTGCAATGAAGCAGCTAAGAGAAAAACATATATATTTGTATATGTGTGACATCCTGGGTAAACTGGTGAGAGAGGAAGCAAATAAGAGCAGAGAAGAGGTATAAGAAAGGGGAAAACAGCCTAGTTAGCTTAAATGTATTTTTTTAAAGTAAAAAAACAACAACAGTGGGACTGAAATCAGTTTCTATGAAACCAAAATATATGAAAAAAGAAACTATGTGGAAAGTTTAAACATGTGCTTATTATCCAATCTCAAAGTAGAACATTACCTCAGATCCCAGGGCTGAGGCTGTCAGTTCACTGACAATACTGGCCAGTAATCCACAGGTGTTGTAGACCAGGTGGGAGGAGAACAGCTCATTTTCCCTCCTCAGGCTGTTCCTGACTGGGAGCACAACAATAACCAGCATTTTCTCCAGAACTTCACGGAAGCTTGTCATCCCAGAGATGTTCTCTTCACTCTGTGATACATTAAAAAAAAAACACAACAAAAACAGTTCCAAGATACTGCTTTGTTTTCCTTCTCAGGGGCACTCAATTTCAAAATCTTGTCTTTCTAGAAGAGAACCTTAAAATTCAGACTTGAGTCTAATTCCATAAATCTATCCAGTTGTATGTGGAGTCATTATATCTATTTTTCACTTAGCAGTTCTTTTTAAATTATTAGCCTCTGTGTATCATAAAAGTATCACACATTTACAAGCTATGTTTTATTAGTTTTTTGTCATTTTAACTTATTTTCTTAACTTTTCAGTAACAATTCTTTATGACAAACAGAATAAAACTCTTCCCATTTAAAAAGCTTTCTCTTTAGACAAGATTCCAATCTCAGATAATTATTTCTGGTATATTTAGAGGTAAAGCAACTAAGAAATATTGTAATCTCTGCAAATCTATTTTCTAACAAAATTCTTTCTGTACGTGTATGTAATAAAAATATGGAATTCTATAACTATTCCTATACAATTTTATAACTTCTATGTATTTGACTTCATAAACAAAGAGAGAAAAATTCTAACACCTACCAATGGAAAAAAATCAAAATAAGAAATTACAGACTCTTACTAAAGACCAATGGGAAGTCCAAACGGCATGGCTCAGTGGTTGAGTGTTGACTTATAAACCAACAGGTCATGGTTCAATTCCCAGTCAGGGCACATGCTCGGGTTGTGGCCTCCATCCCCAGTTGGGGGTGGGCAGGAGGCAACCAATCAATGATTCTCTCTCATCATTGATGTTTCTATCTCTCTCCCTTCTTTCCTCCCTCCCCCTTCTCTGAAATAAATAAAAACATTTTTTTTTTTAAAGATGAATGGGAAAATACTTTTTTCCTCCAGAAAAAAAGGAAAAAGATGATAATTGATTTTAATTGATATCCAGCATGAACATTATTTATCTCCTTTACCAACCTCAATATTTCTTAGCCAGTTGTGGACAGAAAGCAAAATGTATTTAATTTCATCAAGGGGTCAATGGGGGAAAAAGAGGGATATATGTAATACTTTCACAATAAAGATTTAATTAAAAATTATAAAGAATGTTCTATGACTATTGTTTTGTAATGCTTATTTTAATGTAACAAAATGTTATAGAAAATGTTTTAAAAGTTATTTATTTCCTTAGAATTCTATCTTGGCAATATAAAATATATTAGAAGATACAAGTGTTTTATAATATCTGCAATTTTCAAATGGTTCAGCCAAAAAAATTACACAGGAATGCTTTATATAACACTCTTAAATTTCTTATAGGTTAGGAATCATTCAAAAAAAATTAGAGAAAAAAGAGTACTTACTTATAGGTAAACATGTGACTTTTTTTGCCTTAATTTTAGTCTTTTTGTGACACACAAAATTATTTGGTAAATATATTTACTGATATAGAAGAATAAGCACTAAGCTAAATATGTCTCCATTTGACAGTTTTATTGCTTCAATATAAAATATATTTTAGAAAACCTACCTGGCTGAGTTTTTCCATCTGGGCTACCAAAAGGGGAAAACGGTGAACTAGTGTTGAGTCATTCTCTGTGCTAACTTGTTTAACAATTGATCGTAGTAGTACTTCTCCATCATAAGCAATAGGGAAGATAGAAGTCAGTTTAACAGAGGTGTGACACAGAGCTGACATAACAGCTGCTAGGAGTCGACTACTTGATGTCTTGAAGTTTGCTTCTTGAATGTCCTTTTAAAAACAAAAATATGTAACCCACTAAAAAAATACTGAATCAATATAATGCAAGTTTCTGGATATACAAATGGGAAACACCATTTTAAATCATACCAAAATTTTCTAGAGTTCAATCATTGTAATTGTGTTGTTACAGAATAATATTACATCAATACTTTGAAACACTTGTTTAAGTTACTACCCAATGACAATGGAAAACTATTAAATATGGTCAAGAAAAACCAACTCCTGTTCTCTAGTAAATGAGCTTATATATATTTCTGTATCTTCAGAATCACAGTTATGTCCAGCAATATTCTCAAAGACATAAAAAAGGCCCCAATTAGTATATATCTGAGGCATTTCCAGTAACAAGCACTGAAACTACTTTCCTCAAATAAATTAAATTGTAATTCTGTGCTCCTATAACATTTCACTAATGTTAACACCTCACTAAGATCACAAAATTATGCCATCACATTGCACAGTTTATTCAGGAAAAGTAGTAGCAAACATGTAAAATTTTAAAACAAAGATTTAAAGAGTTATCTGCACAGGATATCCGAATTCACAAAGGAATTTGTGTATGCACTGCACACATTACTTAGTTCATTAAACACGTGTCACAAAGACAGGCTAAAAGTAAAACAATATTCTAAATGTTAAACCAATGTTTGTCAAAGTCAGTCTACTCAGCAGCATTTATCTATGAAAGGTAAGTGCTAGAGATCTGCTACATAACATTGTACCTACAGATAACAATATTGTACTTGCACACTCAATATGTGTTGAGAGGGTACATCTTATGTTAAGTGTCCTTACCACAATAACACTTTTTAAAAATGCCAAGAAAAATAAGGTCAGTATCTAAATGGCTAAACAAAATAAAAACAAAGTTGCCCACCCAGATGTCATTACTAGAATACCTTTCCACTAGGCTAGGATACCCTGGTGATTGATGCCAGTGAATTTTTTTTTTTGTGGGAGGGGTGAGCTTGAGAGGGGGCTCTATAACTTCCAGTACAATGTTGAGTAGGAGTGGTGAGAATAGATACCTTGTATATTGTTCCCAAATTTAGGGAAACAATAAATATTTCACCATTAATTTTTATGTTAGCTGTAGATATTCTTTATTAGATTTAGGAAGTTTCCTTAAATCCTAGTTTGCTGAATTTTTGTCACTGAATAAAATTTTGTCAAATACTATTTTCAATCTGCAGTTGGGAATCTGCGTATTTGAAGTGCTGACCTAAGTTACAGGCAATTTTCCATTGTGCGGGTGGTCAGCGCACCTAACCCTCATATTGTTCAAGGGTCAATGATACTTTTTCTGCATCTATGGAGAGGATCATATAATTTTCCCTCTTTACTTAGTTAATATGGTGAATTACAATGAATTTTGAATATTAATCTACCCTTGCATTTCTGAGATAAACCCCACTTGGTATGATACATTTTTTATATTGTTCGATTTGATTTGACAATCTTTTTAAGAACTTTTCCATCTATGTTTCTGAGTAATATTTGTCTATCCTAGTATTTTAATATCTTTGTCAAGTTTTGGTATCAGGATAAAGCTAACTTGATGAATTAGTTGGGAAGTGTTGCCTCCTGTATTTTCTGAGTTTGTAAAAGATTGTTATTATTTCTCTCTTATATGTTTAAAAGAATTCTCCAATGACAATATCTAGGGCTGGAATTTTCTTTGTATTAGTCTTTGATAATGAATTCAATTTTTTTTTGGTGCCTTTTATCTTTTTTTTTATTGTTTTATTGCTTAAAGTATTACAAAGGGTATTACATATGTGTCCTTTTTTTTCCCCGCCCTTGACAATCCCCTGGCCTCCCCTACCCCCCAGTGTCTTATGTCCATTGGTTATGCTTATATGCATGCATACAAGTACTTCGGTTGATCTCTTACCCCCCTCCCTCCTGCCCCCAACCACAATTTTTAACGGATATAAGGCAATTCAGATTTTCTCTTTCTTATTGTGCAAGACTTGCTTAAGTTATATTTTTCAAGAATTTTTTTATTAAAAGTTATAATTTATTGGTATAAACTTGTTCATAATATTCCCTTCTTATCATTTTGATGTTTGTTGGATCTATAGTGATATTTACTATTTTATTCCTGATAATGGTATTTTATGTTTTTTCTTTCTCTTGTCTCTCAGTCAGACTTTCTAGGAGTTTTAAAATTTTGTTATATTTTCAAAGAACCAACTTTTGACTTTATTAATTTTCTCTATTTACTATTTTACAAATTTCTGTCCTTACCTTTATTTCCTTCCTTTCTCTTTATTACTTTCTTCTTTCTTTGGATTTGATTTGCTTTTCTTTCTGGCTTCTTAAGGTAGAAACTAAGATCATTGGTTTTAAACCTTTCTTTGTTTGTATACTAGTAAGCATGTAAAAGCATACATTTCCTCTATAAGCAATGTTATAGCTACTTCTTACAAATTTTTATGTTATATTTTTATCTTTCAGTGTGATATATTTTTTCATTTACTTGGATTTCTTCTTTGATTTATTGGTTTTTAAAAGTGTGTCTATTTTCCAAATATTTGGTGCTTTTCTTGATATATTTTGCTATTTATTTCTAATTTAATTCTATTGTGCTCTGAAAACACTTCCCTTAAAATTTTAATATTATGAAGTTTACCAAGACATTTTATGACCTACCATCTCATCTATGATCTATCTTTGTGAATATTATATGTATAGTTGGAAAGAATATGTATATTGCATTTGCACCTTCTGCTTCTTAAATGTCACTTAGACCAAGGGGGTTGATAGTACTGTTCAAATCCCTATAAACCTACTGATTTTTTTTGTCTAGTTGTTCTATAAATTACTGAAGAAGCAGTATTGAAGTCTCCAACTATCAATGTGAATTTGTCTATTCTTCCCTGTAGTTTTATAACTGTTTTGCCTCAGATGGTTTGAAACTGTGATTTGGGGCATATGCATTTATGAGGGTTGTGGTTTCCTTATGAGGGAACGGATATCAACGTGCAAGTTCACTCACAGCTTTCTCTCCTGACGGTTTTGCAGATATGGAGTGGTGGGGGCTGCCCTTCTAGTACTGTACTGGCTCTCACATATTCACTCACTATTGTTCTTTCCCTCTTACACACACACACACACACACACACACACACAGGTTTAAAGAGCAGATCAGCAGCTGCACATTGTGCCTGCCAATTTAATAACTAAAAATAATAATAAAGCAAATATAAAAAATATTTTTTGAACATTGATTATTAAATCTCACATACCAAACTGATTTCCTGATTTACCTTTTATAAAAGTTAGAAAGACTGAGGCAACTGATATTTATTATCTTGAAGAGTACTTATTAAGTATACCATACTTACTTTATATCAACTAACATTTTATAAACTTAAAATACCTGATCCAAACAATTCAGCAGATCACAAAGGCAAGCCCACTGCAAGGCAGGGGTTGGGTAGAAGGAATGGAAGCAGGCAGTAAAGGTGTTATGACACTCCTGAAGGACAGCTTCCAGGAGACTCAAGGGTTGACTGAGATATCCTTGAGGATCATTATCCAACTTCACCATGCAGTGATCAACTCCTTCTGATAAGATTTTCCTTAACAAAGTTCTGGTTTTTCCAATACATTCTGCTAATTTGCTAGTTTCTTCTACAATTGCTTTTCCTGTAGCTTTAAGGAAACAAAACAGGCTGCTAATTGAATAGAATAAATATGCATGAAAACATTCAATATAATTCATGTAATTTCCCATATAACTAAAAATCATAAGTACTCATAACCTAGAAAGGAAACAATTTATAAATTAAGTATGGTCCAAATTTATTTCTTTTTAAAACCTATATAGAAAAATAAACAAAACACTGGTTTCAGCATGTAAATCCAAATCAGTTGTTCAAAAATTTCTATTTGACAGAACCTGTTTAAAAAACCATTTTATTAAGAGTATTTAATTTTAGTCCAACATGATTTTTTGTTATCAGAATGACATGTAATGTATTTTATTCTTTACAAGCATCCCAGCAAGCTGACTTTCTCCCCTCTTTTAAGAAGCAAGATGAGGCAGTTAGGGCTTTTTTTAAATTGAATTTATTGGAGTGACATTGGTTAATAAAATTATATAGGTTTCAGGTGTATAATTCTATAATACATCATCTGTATATTGTATTCACCAAGGGATCTTAAACTCTTGGCTATCCCTACATAAACCTTCTCAATTCTCACATATTTTCTCCTCAAAGACATTTAAAAAAAAGATCATACCTGACACTGGGTAAATTTCACAGGTATAGACACGCAGTAACCTCAGACAACAGGTACCCACAAAGCGCAGTCTCTCCAAATCTAGAAGGGTAGCCGTGAACTGGAATCCTTTTAATCCTCTAAGTTCTTCAACTCCTAAGACTAAGGTAGTCCAGCTCCAGTGAAGAATACTCAACAATGACTCAAAACATTCCTAATCCAAAACATGAAGAATTAGATAAAAATTAGTCCAAATTATACTATAAGATGAATCAAATCGAAAGCTTTATTTGAACTTGACATTTTTTGTTGAGTTTTGGTAGACCAATTAAAAGACATCTTATTAGTTCATTCATTAAATTACCATTAGGAGCATTTCTGAAGCTTGACAAAAATAGTAAAGTAGTTAGGCATCTATAAAACAACATTCTTTAATATTTTCTTATTTAAAAATACATTTCTAAGTTTCTCTGCTACCAACCTATCTAGTTTGTCATATAAGTAAAAGAATAAAAGAAAACCCCTTATAAAATAAAATCAGAGGCACCCAGCCCTTTTCTTGCGGGCCGGTGTTCACACATTCGGCGCGGTCGGGGCCCTTTTGGGCTGCCTCTCATCTCGCTGGCCCCCCGTCCTGTTTTCCTATCCAGCCAACCTCGAAAAACCACCCACGCTATTACACTGAAGGGGATGGTGTTCAAGCATATTCCAGCCTCCTTTCTTTTGTGGGCAGTTGGCCAGTCAGCCTGCCCCTGATTGGGGTGGGGGGGGGGCGATCGGGAGAGGAGGTGGCTGGGGTCAAACTCCTGGTCGAGGGGACAATTTGCATATTAGCCTTTTATTACATAGGATGTTTACTTGAAAGGAAAATTACACTCTACATTTTCAAGGTAGTAATGTGCAAATAAACCAAAAGTATTTTAACAGTTAAATAATTTTTAATATAATAAACCATTTTAGCATATCAACAACATAAAAAGCTTATTTTATATCTACCTATTAAATTTTACAATACAACCTAAGCCAATTCTTGATAAACATAAAAATTGACTATAAAAATAATAAAAATTCTTACTTGGATATTTTTAAAATTCCAAAATATGGGTTTGGGGGGTTGAGCATCCCTGTAGTTCTAGTTGGTCTGCAGGTTTTATCATGCTTACATGATAATGGATACTAGATGAATCTTAAAGAAAAGCACTTATTCTCTCACTCCCACCAAATTCTCATCCTCTTGTATAGTAATACCAAGAATAAGAGTTTATACCTTAACTTTTAAAGAAATGATTTATAAGTTTCCTATATAAAGATTTCAATTACCTAATAACCATAAAACCACTCATACATAAATACAAAAAATTACTAAGCACAAAATAAAATATCAGTAAAAACACACATACAACGGAATCAAAGATACTTATTTGAATCAAAAGATACCAAACTGATCATAATACTAAAAGGATCCAAGTTACCAAGTAGCAAAATTCTTGTGCTCTTTTATTCAAAGCACATTCTCTGTAAACTGTCGTATCTCTTTTGGAAGGCTAATGCGGCATAATATACCAAATTTTAAATGACACTTCCAGTAGAAATGTTGACATAAATGCATAAGTAATTTCAAAGACATACGTATGAATATAATAGTAAAAATGAGAAATAAACAGTCCTTTGATAGGAATAGAGTCCAATAATTTAGAATACAGAGGGTCTTCAAATAATGTCATTTCATTCAACATCATTTCTTTCAACATTCATGAGATGTGTAGGAGCTTAGCTCTTGTTATTATCAATTAGCCTATGGTAAAATTGGTTTCATTATACATCATTTAGCTTAAGGTGCAGAATCTATTATCAATAACATTAAGTGAGGACTTACTGTACAACCATTCGATGGAATATGATGCAAACATTAGAAAAGATTAAAATAGGGCCAAATGTGTCCACAGCATATACTATGAAATTTTAAAAAGGAAAATGCAAAACCTGAAGTATGATCAAACATAAATAAGAAGGTTCACAGCATATTGTATATGCAGAATAATAAGTATGTGTATGTACAAAAATATAGTCTGGAAGAATATACATCAAAATGTAAATAGTAGTTATATATAGTAAAAACGGTGATTATAGGGGGAAGTTTAATATACATTTAGCTTGGTTTTATTCCTACTCTACCCTATTTCACAAGGGATATGTATTAATTTTGTTTTAAAAAATTAATAAAAAAGAAGAAAAGCATTTCCCAAAGCCTTTTACTAATAGAACAGATTACCAGCTACATTGGTAAATCACAGTCATATAGTGCCTTACAATTTAAAAAGAACTTTTGCATCCCTTATGTCATTAAAATTCATAATGACGCTATGACATATTTATGCAGATAAGTTGTGTAAGCATCCACAACTAATAAATGAAAGAGCAAGACTTCCTGAACATACCATATTTCAATTACATCATGCTGACTTTCCATTCTACAAAGGTAGCCCCAATAGCATCTTGTATCTTTAAATGTAGAATGGTGATGTCAAGTAGTTCAATAAAGTCCCTAGAGTTAGATATGAGACTTCTATTTCCTAAAGCAATAAAATAAAACTTTTTGGTCAACACCACCCTTAAGTTATCCTTCACTTTCGAACTCTTTCAGCATATATATTCATTCATACATGATTTATCAGAAAATTGACCAGTTATTTCAGAAATAGCAAGACTTGTTAAAATCAGTCACGATCTCTAGTTTCCCATTATTTAAAGTGCATGCTATTTGGCCTAGACTGTCAATGCCAATAAAAAAACAAATCTGAGTTCATAAAGCTTATTGCTATGCTGAAATAACAACTGAGAGGAGTGGCTAAATGCTAAAGCATCAAAATGAAACTGAGCATTGAATAGAAAAGCTGAAATTTAAAAAAATGGCTCACCACTGAGACAGTTCTTGCAAAAGATCTCTTTAAAATGTGTACCGGTTCACTTGTTTGCTGTTTGCCTTTTGAAGCACTGCCATCACTGGTTGGAAGTCTGAAGGTAGCAGACAAACATAAATTTATGCTGCAAAGGCCAATGACATTTTTCTGTTCATAATATACATTTTTGCAATAATAAAAAATTGAATTATGTATTTAAATATTTTTGTTAGGTAAAATTAAAATATGGGGCTTTTAAAAAACATTTTCCAATGCTAAGCAAAATTTTTAGCATCTGAGCATTTCAGCATTTAAATCCCACATTTGTAAGACTGGGTAGTAAAGTATCTCTTACTAGACAACATATGTAACTTATGTTCTGTAGTAATGCCACTACTAAATTCTACTATTTAAAAGTTATTCAACAAGTGTACCCAGAAGTCACCCCTGCAACTTGTTATGTTCATAATACTACATGTTACAAATAGTAACTATAATAAAGAGCATAAAAATAAACAAAAATCCCTTCTTGGGTAAATTAAGTTTATACATATCATCCAGATTCTTGAAGTGATTACTAGAAAGGAAGATATAGGAGACAGAGAATCACTGTTCTAGAAGTACTTCCTTTGATTTTTATTACATAAAGAATGACATTTTTTAGTGAGGTTTTATATCTATTTGCATACTTTATTCTAAAAATTATTGCAGTAAACGTCTACAAGTAGGTGGAGACATACGCCTCCATATATGTATCAATTACCATAATGTAATTAAAACTCTTAAATATTGGTAAAATACAATAAATATTATACATAAGCAAGTTATTATTTGATATATCAAGCAAAGGTAAAAATTTTCAGCAGTAAGGGATTTTCCAATTCATTGCATCACAAGATGAACAAGAAAACATAAGACTGCAGCAAATAAATCAGGCCTACTCCAAAGTCTCCATCTAACACCATAATTTAATTTCTCTAAGATAAATTTTATTAGTTTACAACATTCTGAAACTGGTAAAATAATAAAGACATTAAAAATACAGGGTGGGGTAAAAGTAGGTTTTCAGTTGTTCATATGGAAAATAATAATTAATAAATAATGCAAGATAAACCCTGTTTCACATACGACTGTAAACCTACATCTGCCCTGCCCTGTATAAGTCATTAAAATGTTACTGGCATAATACGAATAATCTGAGTTATGAGGTAAAATTTAAAATTAAGCTTGATGCAGAAAATATTTTAAAATATACAAAACATTAAATGATTTTGTTAAATGCACCCATATTTCTATTATATTAAAATGTTCTGAATGCTTCAAATGTGTATATATTTTATAGTGATCCTAGTTCATTATAGCAAAAGAATAAACCTTATTAATTAACAATAAGTATGCTAAATACCTGTATAGTAATTGAGGTATCTGACCAGCGTTAACATCTGTACCATTATTTGATTTCTTTGAACTCTTAAATTGGAAAACAACCCTAAGAAGAGAAAAAATAACAATGATATCAAAACCAACATGGTTCAGGATTCATTGAAAGTAATAATTCAACAATGTTCCCCCAACATTTTATTAACACCATACCATTTCATACCACTGAAGCTTTGCAATTAATAAACTGTTTTCATAAGCACTGTCAAATTTTATAGCACGTATATATTTCTTTTTTTATGGTTTCCAAACTCCCACTATCATTGTCACTTTCCTCTATATAATTTCTAATTTAGTAATGTAATGTAACACCCAGAAATATACACAAATGCCACCTGACAAGAGCTAAGAATTGCAGTGCCATTATCTCTCTTTACTGTCTAGACCAGTGATGGCAAAGCTATGACACATTTGTCAGAGGTGACACGCGAACTCATTTTTTTGGTTGATTTTTCTTTGTTAAGTGGCATTTAAATATATAAAATAAGTATCAAAAATATAAGTTTTGTTTTACTATGGTTGCAAATATCAAAAAATTTCTATATTTGACACGGCACAAGAGTTAAGTTAGGGTTTTTCAAAATGCTGACACGCGGAGCTCAAAAAGTTCGCCATCACTGGTCTAGACTTTAATTTGGCATAATATTATATGAATTTAATTTTAGAAGTCATATTATGCTCTAGCCTTACTAAGATTTTATCCTACCAAAAAAACTTCTGGGATTTCTAAACAATATTCCACTACCAAACATGAGAGCTGCTTAACGAACACTTAAACATTCCACTTACCCATCATCTGTGGTGATAGAAGCTTGTCCATGAGATCCACAGTCACTGCTGGGTCCTGACACTCGAGCCCAGGCTACATACCACCACCCAGCTTGCAGAAGAACTGGTTCATCAAACATCATTGCGTATTTTTCTCTGCGAAAAAAAAAATAGTGAGTCAAAAACAATGGCTTTGCATTTCCACTACAAACATTTGTTTTTAAAATCCTTTATAAAAAAAACATGAAATCCATTGCATTATAAGACCAGTGTCAAGTATTTAAAACCCTTTATTTAAAAATGCCTAGACAAGAACACAAATAATATTTACTTGTGTTGTGGTCATAACATGACATTTCTTCCTCCTCCATCTTGAATTCTAAAACTTGCTTAAGTGCTATAAAACTTTTATATTAAAATAAGACCAAATTTTTAAAAATTGTTTTTAAAAAAACCAGTAAAGCCGACTACCTCCCTCCAAGCGTGTTATAATTAATATATGCATGACGTTAGAGTATACAGTTGATCTGAATTATGGCCCAGTATGACTATTTGACACTATATATATATAATGTTAGGTAGTAAATAATTGTATCGCATCAATAGAACATTAGCATATTAGGTGTTTTCTAAGCAATGCATAAAAATAAAAGTGTGCAAAATGTATGTATAATATTTTCATCTTATCTTCAATGTAGAAATACTATTATTTTTAATGCAGCATTGTTAAAAGCAACACATTATCTAATATATAATTTAATTTCTCAAGTATGTGATCACTGATTACTTAAAACTTCCTTTTAAAATTATGTTTACTTATTTATAATGAATTTTTCACATTAAGTATCTGAAAGGACTACACTGAATAATGAAGAAATCATTACCTAGCAGCACAGTCATAAGCCAGCACATCTGTCTCTGCAAGAAGGTCTCCATCAGTTTCATGATCTCCTCCATCAGGACCCAACTCAAACAGCTGGGGAAAGGAGAAAAACATACTGTGCTCAATCTTTCGGTCACATAAATCTGCTGAATAACATGCTCATAATTTTGCATGTGTCAATATTTCCTGGACACTGCAAAATGTGAAAAATCAGAGCACCTATTTTTAAATGTTATTAAGGAAAATATACAGACATATATTTAAGTCAAGAAACACATACCATGACTTACAGTCTATATTAATCTGTTTTCCTTCATATTCATTTATTTAATGTCAAGTGCTCCAAATAGTTCTGTACCAAATATAAACCTCTGAAGGGGAGAAGTTTATAATTTGAAAGAGAGCACTCAACCAAAGTATATATCTAAGTGAGGTTGAATCTTGCTTCAACGTTTACTAGCTGAGAGATCCTAGGAACCAGTTTTCTTATCCATGAAAAAGAGATGGATACTAACACAGCCTATTTCAATAATAACTGTGAAAATTAAATGGAATAATATTTGTGGAAAAATGCTCAGAGAAATGCCCAGCAAAAAAGGCTAGAAAATGTTAGCTATGGAGAGAGAGAGGAATAATAGAAAATAAAAATCCTTAAAAACACAGGTAATGAAAAAACAGTTCAAAATAATATGGCATGGGAAAAGAAGAGAAGAAGAGTGTGAATAAAATGGTTATAAAAAAAGGAGAGGACACAGAGTCTCTGAAAAGGAATAAAAGAGAAGATATCAAATTAGCAAAGGTTATGAGATCAAGTAAAAATAGAGAATTATGAGGAAGAGTTTATCTTTTTAATGAACTAATACATATAAAAAATTCCCTATTTCTCTGAAGAATTATAGCAGGCAAACTATAAGAAAGGTGGATAAAAAGAAGGAAAAGAAAGGAGCATTAAAATTTACTGCACAATTATTGTGTGCATGTCTTGATTTTTCAATTATACGCTAACTAGAGGCCTGGCACACAAATCCGTGCGCAGGTACGGTCCCTAGGCCTGGCCTGCAATCAGGGTCTTCCCCAGCTACCTGCAGCTGGCCCCACCCCCTGCCGACACCCACCCCTGGTTCCCCGTTTTCCATTGGGTGACTGGAGCCGGGGGGAGGAACCAAGAGGTCAGCCGTTCCACCCACTCACCGGCCCCACCCCAGGCCGCCATCCTCCCCGGATCCCCATTTGCCATTGGGCAATCGGAGCTTGACGGCTGGAGGAAGGGACCAAGAAGTCAGCCGTTCCTGCCTGCTCGCCGGCCCTGCCCCCTGTGTGTGAGGTGACTAGTGTGTGTGTGGGGGGGGGGGGGCTTTAGCCTGGCACCACCCAGGTCCCCTGCCATCCACTCCCGGTTCCATGTTCACCATTGGGCGATCAGAGCTTACTGGCTAGGGAAAGGGACCGAAAGGTGGTCAGTGCACCTCACAGTGACTGGTCGAGCAGTTGTTCTGCCGTTAGGGTCAATTTGCATATTACCCTTTTTTATTATATAGGATAGAGGCCCAGTGCATGGGTGGGGGCTGGCCGGCCTTCCCTGATGGGGGCCCTGGATTGGGGTTGGGGTCCTTGCTGAGGGGCGGGGCTGGCAGGAGCAAGGGGCTGCCCATACCCCCGGTCAGGGTGGGGGTCCCTGCTGGGGCACCAGGGGCCGGGGGTGGTTTGCCGGCCGGCCATGCCCCCGATCAGGGTGGGGTCCCTCCTGGGGGGCGGGGCTGGCTGGGGCAAGGGGCCGTGGTCATTCTGGTCTCTGGTCATTCCGCCATTTTGGTTGCTGGGCTTTTATTATACAGGATAATTTGAAATCCATCTCCAGCGCAGATCTTAATCTCCACAGTCCAATGATTCCCCCAGCAGCTCCATCTTACTCATTCTGAAGTGACTCATCTCTCCCTCCTCCTGCCTTCAACGTTCTGATAAATGGCACTATCATTCTTTGCTAGTTACTGAGAGAAGAGACCTGGAATGCTCCCTTTTTCCATATCTCTCTACCATCACTATGTCCACTCTATTCCTGGTACCAAAGCTGGTTGGTTCACCCATATCCACTGGTACTTGCTAGAATAGCTCAACAACAAGTAATTAGTCTTATCTCCTTTCTCTCCTTGCTCTAACCCATATTCCACAAAGCTGAGGATTTCTTCTTTTAATGTTTTAAAATGAACAATTGATCAGCATACTTCCTTAAAGTTATGTAGCAGTTTCTCATTTCTGTCTTTGCAGCATGATATAAAACTCCTTAATAAGTCACCCCAACCTGGCTCCCTTGCTTATTTTTAACAAATCTCTTTGAATACATACAGTTCTAGGAACTGGGCATACAGGGGTGAATGATACAAACAAAAAATGGGGGCTGGAAATGCAAGCACCCTCTTAAAGGGCCAAGCCACAAAATCTGGTTTGTAGCTGCTCACCTTGGGCTCTGGCAGAGGGAGGGCAGAGTGGAATGGAGCTGTGTGAGCAAAAGCCAGAGTTGGGGAGTCTGGGGTTAGAACTCAGAAGGCAGACACCCTGATTTCTTGTGCTGAGTCATTCTTCATACTGCAAAGGACACCTTTCTCTACAGACCTTTACCATCCAGGCAGTTTTGTCTGAGGGGGAAGCAATTGCTCCACCCTATTGGAAACACCTTTGCCCCGCCCTGTGGAGTTTCTGAGGCCCATTAAGAGCCTGAGAATAATAACCAGCCTGCAGGCAGATGCAACTGCCCCACCCTGTTGGAAAACCTCTTGCTCCACCCTGTGGTGGATAGCCTCAGGCTAATCAAAACTGAGTAACAATCAGAAAACAGAGAGATACGGATCTCTGGAGGCTTTGAGTCTTTGCCTGATCTAATTGAGGGCTAGGGGCTAGGAAAAGCAGATCTTGGTGCACATATTGGTCCTTTCCAAAAGTTTCCAGTCCCAGCTGACAGAGCCACAACTGTGGATTGCTGATAGATCCAAAAAAGGTACTCAGGGCCAGTCACAAACAGTGTCTGACACTGTCCTGCACTAGAGATTGGGATTCATAGCAGATCTATCTAATACACAGACACAAACTCAAACAGGCAGCCAAAATGGGGAGACAAAAAAAACAAGCCCCAAATGAAAGAACAAGAGAATTCTCTAGAAGAAGAGCTAAAGGAAATAGAGATAAGAACTTTATCAGATATAGAGTTTAGAATAATGATAGCAAGGATGCTCAATAGCATGAGAAAAGATATGGTAACAAATAAAAGCCCAGTCAGGAATGAAGAATGACATAGCACTAATAAAGAACACATTGGAAGGAATACACAGCAGATTAGGGGAAGTCAAGGATTATATCAGTGAATTAGGAAACAGGGTAGAGAAAATCACTCAATCAGAAAACCAAAAAGGAAAAAAAAAACCATTAAATAACAGGAGGACAGCTTAAGGGAGCTGTGGAACACCACGAAATATACCAATATTTGCATCAGAGAAGTACCAAGAGATGAAGAAATTGAGCAAGGGCTAGAGAATGTTGAAGAAATAATGGCAGAAAACATCCCAAACCTGGTGAAGAAAAACGTCACACAAGTCTAGGAGGCAAAGAGTCCCAAACAAGAAGAACCCAAACAGATCTATGCCCAGACACATCATAATTAAAATGCCAAAAATTAAAGACAGAGAGAGAATTTTAAAGGCAGCAAAAGAAAAGCAGTTAGTTACCTACAAAGGAGCTCCTATCCTATATAATAAAAGGCTAATATGCAAATTGACTGAATGGTGGAACAACCGGTTGCTGTGATGCACACTGACCACCAGGGGGCAGACACTCAATGCAGGAGATGCCCCCTGGTGGTCAGTGCACTCCCACAGGGGGAGCACTGCTCAGCCAGAAGCCAGGCTCATGGCTGACGAGTGCAGTAGCAGTGGTGGAACCTCTCCCGCCTCTGCGACAGTACTAAGGATGTCCAACTGCCTGCGTAAGCCCATTCCCTGCCATCAGTCGGACATCCCCCGAGTGGTCCTGGAATGTGAGAGGGCACAGGCCAGCCTGAGGGACAAGCCAAGTGCACAAATTTTGTGCACCAGGCCTCTAGTAAAGTTATAAGTGATTTCTCATCAGAAACTCTACAGGCCAGAAGGGAATGGCATGAAGTATTCAAGGTAATGAAAAGCAAGTATCTGAAACCAACATTACTATATATAGCAAAGCTATTAAAAAAATCATCTTCCACTTATTTGATCCCTTCTTACTTAACTTTTAAGTTTTTAATGAATTAATGACAGTATTATTGTACATAAGATTTTAGTAGTATATAAAGTATTAATACTTATAGATTTTACCAATTTCTGCAAGTCCTTTTTAAACGAAAGCAATATGAAAAGAATGAACCAAGTCAAAACATCTTTAAACAAAAAAGGCAATAGTGTCAATGAACTGCTTACCTTAATTTTAGCAGTATATTCTCCTCTACCGCCAAACAAACCAAGACCACCAAGTAAAATGTCAGTGTCAGCACTAAAACGTATAGCTTCTACTGAATGAGCAGAGTAACCCCAGCCCCCTCCATGACCTAAAAAAAAAAGACGATTCATGTTTTAAAATAGTCAGACATATTTCAGTTAGAAGACAATATCTCCTAAATGTAAATATACATACTTTCAAACCTGTTCACTACATTATAATCTTCTTTGGAGTAAACCTTCATTACTGCTTGAGTCTCCTCCTCCGTACTTGCAACACCCATTTTTAAATCCTGCATAGTTGCTAAGGTATCAAGACAACCTAAAAACAAATAAGCAAGCATTCAATTCCTTGAAGTTATAATCTCCCATAATATTAATGAGATAAAATACTATAGGGGATAAATTAAAATAATAAACTATAAGTGTGCTCAACAAATGTATTCAAAGCGCTGAACAGCATTTCATGGACATATGCAATGAATAAACACTCTCCATTGGGTCATTATTATATTTAAAAATACATGGTATGACAATGTACTGCACAAAACCGTATCTCTGAAAAGATGAAATTGCTTAATCTTTGAGTCCTTACAAACTTCTTCCTTTTATAAAACTTTTAGTTTCATTTTAAAATACTATTTGAAGAAGACACATTAGCCTGAGATAACTTCAACTGATGGTAGTTCTGGATGTTCACAATGGTTAACAGATGAAATTTGTGAAAAAAGCAAGCAATTATATTTGTGATCTAGTAATTATGCTTAGAGATACGATTTCACAATTGAAAATTCTACATAAACATAATTGAATCTTTTTAAGGGTATTTTTAAAGAAATGGAATAAGTAGTTATGTGTAAAAGTATAAAATTTCCACAACAGCGTGTATGTATGTATGTATGTATGTGCATGCATATAGATATATATGCACACACACATACATATATGTAAAGAGAGAGAGAATGCTATATCCCAAATTAATTAAATAGAGATGAAGTTGATGTGCTGTGGAAAACTGTATTGTATAGAGAAGTAATCTATAAAATTAATATAATATTTTATATAATTTAAAATAATGTATATAAATTAAATATACTTTTACATTTGAATATCCAGTGTATATCTCTAAACTTTATGTATTCGGGTTGAGCTAAAATTAGTTTTAAAAATCTACAATAGTTATATTGGAAAATTATATCCAGGCTGCTTTATATTTGGTATATATGAATCTTTCATGGTGTTGGTACAAGTTTGAGGTATTGTTTTCTGTAGCATAAATCTCTTAATAGGATATAATCTATTTTACATCTAGCATATTGTTTAACAAACATGACAAAATAATATACAAAATTAAATTCTCTTTAAAAATACTCGGCACACAATGAAAATTAGCTAAAATTATCTGATCATCGTATAGCAACCCTACCTAGAATGTGTAAAGCTGCATGAGATCGGGTGGTGAGAGCCCTTGATCCTGTTGGTAATGCAAGTTCAGGACTTAGAATACTGCATCTGGACTGCATGTCTGTTGCAGAAGGAAGTCTGGCATCAGCAACCACTGCATTGTAACACCACAGTTCTCTAGTATTTGGTCGAAACCTTTCAAGAGAGAATAATTACAGCACCTCAACATACAGTTTCATTTGTAAAACATAATTGATGATACAAAGAGAATAAGGCAGTTTAAACAGGACAAATATAGCTCATTATTTTCATATCTGAACTAAACATATAAAGAACTTATGTCACTTATAAGTAAAACAATTTAAACAAAATAGTAATATAGATCACAATACTTCATGAATATAGAGCAACAGTATACTTAACTGATGCATACATATAGGTATGAAGCAAGTGTACAATAAAAATTCCATTTTAAAAGTTGAAAGACAAAGGACATGTCAAAAGAAAATATGAGGTAAAACAATATCCACAATTATAAGAGCTCCTGAAAGCCAGTAAGAGACAATCAAAGGTGGTCAAAAGACATGGAATGCTGTTCTCAAAAAGCACAAACAGAATTATGCAGATGTTCAACCCTACTAACAGTAAAGCAGCAATCTATACTAATAAAAGGGTAATATGCTAATTAGACAGGGAGACCTTCAGGGAGACCTTCTGGACATCCTTCCAGACAAAGTCATGGTGGTCGGGCCAGGGCAGAGGTGGTTAGGGGCGATCAGGCCAGCAGGGGAAGGCCATTGGGGGCAAGCAGGGGGTGGTAGTTAGGGGCAAGCAGGCCGGCAGGGGGTGGCAGTTGGGTGCGATCAGGCCAGCAGGCAGAGTGGTTAGGGGCAATTAGACAGGCAGGCAGGTGAGCGGTTAGGAGCCAGCGGTCCCGAATTGCGAGAGGGATGTCCAACTGCTGTTTCGGGCCTAAACCGGCAGTCGGACACCCCCCGAGGGGTCCCAGATTGGAGAAGGTGCAGGCTGGGCTGAGGGACACAGCTCCCCCCAACACCCGTGCATGAATTTCATACACCGGGCCACTAGTCTATAATAATAAAAAGCGTAATATGCAAATCGACCGAATGGCCTAACAGTGGAACAACCCTTCTGGATGAAGCCAGGGCTGCAAGGGCCGAGGCAGCCATGGCTGCAAAGTCCTACTCTTGCACGAATTTAGTGCATCGGGCCTCTAGTAAAAATTATAAGAAATCCAAAATGCCGTAAGAGCTGTAAAACAAAAATACACTACTAAAAAACACAAAGCAGCCAGAAGTTAGGATAATAAAATGGACGTCTGATCCTAATGAAAAAACACATTCTAGCTAGTTTACTAGAACACGGAGAAGACTGTCCTTCATCTTTTAATATCTATTTTGGATCAAGGACTTGGCAAGGTATTTAAGATCATCTGTCCCACTGCTGCCACCATTTGTGAAAAAGGCAAGGTTCAACTAACTGTACACTACACTTCACACTTCAGAGTTCTGCTAAGACCCCAGGGAAATGGCTGTTTAGAACCTTAGTTCTATAATCTCTAGTTCAGAGAATGCATTTCTAATTTAGTGAATGTACCTAGAAACAAATTGCAAACTGCCAACTTTTACTTTTTGTTAATGCAAATTTACTTCATTTAAAAATAAAACATATAAGGAATATAGAAAATAAAACTAAATCTCTTGTATATTGACTTCTAATCAGTAAATAATTCTATCTGTACACAATTTGCCTCTCTATCCCCGCCATTCTATCCATTCTATCACACTGTAAACACTCTAATTTTGGTTCTTAGTACCTCATTGTCTTCATAAGAATTACTACACACGACTCAACTCTAGTCTCTTGTTATTTAATTTATATTGTATAAAACTTCCAGGGAGATCCAAAAGCACTATTCAATTCAATTCTGGCCTCCAGAACTTCCAATGAAATGCCCAAATAAGATAGTAAGCTGATCAGCAACCTGGGGAGCACTGTAATCCTTCACTCTGAACGCAGGCCTCAGGACTGATAAAAAACATCCCTCTTGGTGGACTGATATAAGTGAAAGCAGGCACGGGCAGAAGGAAGATGATGAAAAAGTCTTTCCCCCTCCTCACTCATACCACTTCGACCTTTCAACTTATCTGAATTCTGGCCTACTAAACTATACAGGCCAAATAAACTAAGCAAGAGGGGGAAAAAATAGTAAATGCTTTGATGAGCCACTCTGGTAATGGCAGGGTACACTTCCTATAGCATTCAAAGCTAAAACTTCTGAGGATAACGCTTTTCTTTACTCATTTTGTATATAAAGTGCTATAATAAATCATAAACAAATGCAATATAATTTCTTGAGTACCTATATCTACCTCTCCATTTTTTATAATTTCTAGAGTTTAATAACCCTGCATATTTCTCTACTAATATGGGAATTTGGTTATGTACATTCCTGAAGGGCAAGCTCATATCTTATTCTCGAACGTCTTTGGCATAATTTCTGCTACAGAGTTAGTAATAATTAGATATTTATGGCATCAATAAACATTGAATTCTATACAATTTTAGATAACATTGCTGACAGACTAAAATAACCAACAGAACTCTTGAAAGTAAAACTTCTAATTATAAAGACAGTAGCAAACACTTCTACAGCACTTACTATGTGCCTCTGTTTTAAGTTCCCCAATTCTCATACCAATCTAGGAGGTAGACTGACTATTATCTATACTAAAAAAGGGTAATATGCTAATTAGACCAGACAGACCAGGCGTCTTCTGGACATCCTTCCTGACAAAGCCAGGGCCCGGTCCGGGGAAAGCCGCCCGCAGTCCCGGGTGCCTGCGGGCGGCGGAGGGAGGAAAGCCGGTGCCAGCAGCCAGGGGAAGGAAGGCCTACTCTTGCATGAATTTTCGTGCATCGGGACACTAGTTATAAGTGAAAAAAGTGAGGAACACAGAGTCACAATAACTTTTCCAAAGGCACACAGAAAGTAAACTGTGGAGCTGGAATACACCTATAGGCAGTTTGGCCCAGAACACTTGCTCTTAGTCAATACACTATACTGTAAGGGTCCCTATAAATCACTATGATAAAAGTGTAGTTAATAGTTAAACAGGAGTTCTCAGGTATGAAAAATCTATCCATACATAAATTTCATAGTACCACAAGAAGGGAATTTGACCAAAATTTATTTACTACTCTAGTTTATAAACAGAGAAGCTTACCTCCAAATGACATCATATACAGGATCAAGACACACACCAAATCCTTGCAGATCCTCTTGTTCAGAGTCATTAAACGTTTTACAACTCCCATCCACTTTATTTATCAGAAGACATTTAAATGGAGGAGGTTCTGACATAGAAGCAGGTACCAAGCCTTGAGAAAAAATATTTACATATTTTAAAGATGCATTACTTTTTTATATTTCCCCAACTTATAAGTATTATTATTTTCTCCATTTTACAGACGAAGAAACTGAAACTTAAAGAGGTTAAATAACTAAAAACCTTTAAATAGCAGAATTAGGACTAAAATATCAGGCTGTCTAAATCTACAACACATGCTGTTAATTTCTACACTATACTACTCTATTATATAATTATCTAGAGGCCCGGTGCATGAAATTCATGCACCAGGGGAGGGGGTGGAGGAGAGGGGCAGAGGGGGAGGCCCTCAACCCGGCCTGCACCCTCTCAAAATCCAGGACCTCTCAGGGGATGTCCAACTGCCAGACATCACTCTTGCAATCCGGGACACTGGCCCCTAACTGCTCACTTGCCTGCCTGATCGCCCCTAACCATTCACCTGCCTGCCTAATCACCCCTAACCACTTGCTTGCCTGCCCGATTATCGCTAACCAACTCTGCCTGCTTGCCTAATTGCCCCTAACCACTCGCCTGCCTGCCTGATTGCCCCTAAACGCCTCTGCCTGCCTGATCACCCCTAACCACCTCTGCCTGCCTGACTGCCCCTAAGCACTCTGCCTGCCTGATCGCCCCTAACTGCTCGCCTGCCTGCCTGATCGTCCCTATCCGCTCACTGGGGGGCTGCCCGCTGGGGTGAGGGGCCATGGTCGTTCTGGTCTCTGGTCCTTTTGGTCACTTGGCTTTTATTATATAGGATGATATCATGGACACAAGTATGGATTGATAAGTTTGATTTATGAAACCTTCTAAAATTAATTTCTATAATTTATAAGAACCAATATAGAAAAATTCCTCCTTTCAATTAGGTTACAATGTAGCTTATATTTCTACCACTCTCTAGCTTATACTTTGTTTCTTGATCTCCCAATTATTGCAATCTTCCAGCAAACAGACAAATATAAAAAAGACACTCAGAAGCTTCTTTTAAATTTCTTCAGACAGAAAGAAAACAAAAAGCTATAAGATTATATCTCATAATAGGGAAAAATGAACTATTTACTATTAATCAAGATAAGGATTTACAGTGGGGATGTCGGTTTGTTTTGGGTATTACCTATTATGTGTTTACTGGCAAAAATTTCGGATGTAGCAAGCACATGAGAATTAATAAGTGCTTCATCAATTCGTAAGAACGTCTGGTCCCCACTTGCACCTATCCAGGTAGCTTTTCTTCCATATTTTGATCCAATGTTAGGCATGGGAGCTGGTTTTGCATTCCAATATGGCACATCCAGAATTGGTCTGCCCAGCTGTCCTTTCTAAAAGATTAAATGCACCATATTAACAATATTACTGAACAATCTATAATTTTTATAAAGTGAGACAGTAGTTAAAAACAGCTCTATAAGACATTATTAGTCATCAATTGTTAATTTTTAAAATAAATTCATGTGAAATTTATACCAAATATTTATAAAGGTATAAAATAATTTTTATTATTCCTAGGAATTCTTCTCCTAAGAAATCACAGTGTATTATTTTTTAAAACATATTTTTATTGATTTCGGAGAGGAAGGGAGAGGGAGAGAGATAGAAACATTAATGATGAGAGAGAATCATTGATTGGCTGCCTCCTGCACGCCCCCTACTGGAGATCGAGCTCACAACCTGGGCATGTGCCCTGACCAGGAATCAAACCAGCAACCTCCTGGTTCATAGATAGACGCTCAACCACTGAGCCACGCTGGCCAGGCACAAAGTGTATTATTAAAAAAATAATAACAAACTTGAAATACTTTTCCATGTAAGAAATCTCCCTGAAATACTATGACTGTCTTCATTTATATTTAAATGAAAAGAATATTAATGCATAATATATTTAAAAATTAGTATTACAAATAGCACATTTAAAAAATCACTTTGACATTTTAAGTTGACAGCATCACCGAAAATCTATTGAATTCACACAATCTGGAAACATTTGAGTAAAAGACCAAAATAACAAATACCACAACTGTGAATACAACTAGAAAAGTACATTTTCACATGATCATGTCATTTCATTTATGGTTCAATATAAACAACAGAATCAACAGTAAGGTATGATGTCTTAAGCAAATAACTCCTAATTCATTTATTTGCTGTCTACAGGTACCTGGTTTGGTAAGAACTTAACTTGACAAGTAATAGGAAATTTCTCTATGGTACTAGCCGTAAAAGAATGTAGATGGATTGGTAAATATTTATCCACCCCCTGGCACAGGATCTTTCTCTCTCCCCATAGTGTCCCTCTTCTAAAAATCCTCTGGAGGGCAGAAAATGCTGCATCATAGTACCCAGCGATATTTATAAGTAATGGGAATTATAAACTATATTTTTAAAAAAAGAACAAAAATACCTGTGTACTGCCAATAGCTTAGTTAAGTTCTGAGCCAACTACCAGGTTTCTCATGAGTTTTGTTGTTACTCCTTCAACACCACAGAAAGAAAATACAGCTATAAAATGACTGTAAAAGCACCTGAGGTTCAACCCCTTGATAAACAGGGGAAGGTAAAATGGCTGGAAGCAGCCCAAAAATTCAAGCACATGACTGGAGAAGAAGCCAAAATAATTCAGTGTTCTCTCTCAGCTTCTTTCAATGACTATCCTTATTTTTTGACAAAGAAAAAGAAGAGCATAAAAATGTAAACAGTGAGCAAAGTGCATCATATTCAGGGATATATATTATGCTTTGGGAGAGAAAAGAAATATTTTTCATTGACTTTTGAAATAAATATCTATTCCTTTACTATCAACCAACTAATGTGAAAGCAGACCAAAAATATGATAGATGCCTGATTATAAATAAACCATATTTAATTCATTAAAGTTCACAAATAGGACTTTTGGCACTAGAGGACGATAATGACTATCTGATTTCAAGTATTACCACTCACATTCCCCCCAAAACCAACACACAGACCAAATAAAACTACAAATAAATCAAGCCTTCACCAGTTTTAAGAAAAAGCAGATTTCATAACCTTAAGTTATCTGTAACCAGAGGGAAAAACTAATTCAACAGAGTTTTTTTCAGCCACGTGCCACTGCAAGCCTGCGGGGTGGAGAGCACAAAGGGGTTTGGGAGCTTGAGAAGAAGAGTATGCAGGTCTTAGAAAAGGCACTGGCAAAAGCATCCCCACAAAAAGAAAATCCAACCCTTAATGTCAGAAAACTAAATACGGGTAAAGACTTGAAGGTTCACAGCACTAGCTACAGTATTCAGGGCCGTTTTTCCACCCATCTGACTGATGTAAATTAAAAGGTTTGATAACACATTTTGTTGACAAGATTGTGAACAAATAGGCAACCTCATACACTGCTGGTGAGAATACAAAAGAGAAGGGAACTGATACTATCTCACAAAACTACATAGGTATTTAACCTTCAACCCAGCAATCTTACTTTCAAAAATTTTCCTCAGAGCTACATCTCTAACAATATTTATTGCTATCACTGCAAAATATTGGAGAGTACTTAAATGACCAAGCATAAAAAATTGATTGAATCACCAGATCAAAGCTAACAAAAACCATTTAAATCAGAATGGACTGAAACATGAGGAATAGGTTTTATTTTATGATAACTAGCCCAAAGACATAAACTTTTGAACTTTTCCGTTATATATCAATTCCTGGAGATATGTACTAGAATATAAATCCTAAAGAATATGCTCTGAAGAATTTAAGAAAGAATGTTCATGTGTCCATACCACCAGACATCTGGAAGATTACAATCTAAAACTAATCCAGAAGCTAAGACTGTAGGACTTACTCATTTCAAGAACGTACTTTTTAATATAAAAACTGTCAATTTTTCTCTTTCCTTCAAAATACTCTGGGTGTTACCTGCTCCTGTTTTATGATTTGCAAATTTTCAGACCCCTGAATAAAATTTTGTCCTTTAACTATATAAAAAATTAATTGAAAAAACTATAGTATATATTCACAGTGGAGTATTATGTAGATGTAAAAAAAAAAAAAAAAAAAGATCTTGAGACTTCCGGTCAAGATGGCAGAGAAATTAAACTCTGAGCTAGCCTTCTCCCATGACCAGATCAAAATTATAACTAAACTAGAGGCCCGTTGCATGAAAATTCATGCACTGGAGGGGGGTCCCTCAGCCCGGCCTGCCCCCTCTCACAGTCCGGGAGCCCTCAGGGGTAGTAGGCGACCCGGCGATCAGGGGAAGGCGACGCCCCATCACACCTCTGCTACTGCCACTGCTGGCAGCACAAACCTCGGCCGGCCCTGGTTACCTGAGCCTTGGGCGGCCCTGGGCGGCTGGGCAGCTGCCATCCGAGGCTTGTCTGCACCTCAGGTGGCCCTGGAAGGCTGGGGGGCTGAGGGGAATGGGGGACTCCGGAGGCAGGCACGCGGAGCGCTGGGCCCGCCCTTGCCACACGCCTGCCACCCTGGCAGGGCTGAGGGGACTGGATGCCACCATCTTGTGGCTGTGAGTGCCACTATCTTTGAGGGCATGGCAGTCAATTAGCATATTCCCTCCTTATTGGCTGTGGGTGCCGCCATCTTTGCGACAGCATGAGGGTCATTTAGCATATTCCCTCTTTATTAGATAGGATTCTAAAACAACTAACACTGAGAACCACCTGAAGACTAGCTGAACAGAGTTCCTATAACTAAGGATAAAAAGAAGAAACCACGTCTAGACTGGTAGGAGGGGTGGAGATGCAGACTGGGCAGGTCCCACACCCACAGTTTGGCGATTAAGAATCAGGAGGGCCCTAGCCAGTTTGGCTCAGTAGATAGACAGCTGGTTCAATTCCAGCCAAGGGCACATGCCTAGGTTGCAGGCTCCATCCCCAGTAGGGGGTGTGCAGGAGGCAGCCAATCAATTATTCTCTCTCATTATTAATGTTTCTCTCTCTCTCCCTCTCCCTTTTTCTCTGAAATCAATAAAGAAATAAATTTTTTTAAAAAAGAATCAGGAGGGATAACAGCTTCAGAGCTTTCAGCCTCAAACCGGGCTCCCCAGCCCAGGAACCAGCCATAACATTTGGCTGTCAGACCAGTGGGGGTTACATCTGAGAAAGACAAAGGGCTGTGGGAGACTGAGATGCTCCCCTTAAAGGGCTGGCCCATGAAGTCGCTCACTCATAAACTCACTCCCAGCACAGAGGCAGCAGCTCAAAATTGCCAGGGACATAACTAGAGGAACTAAACAACCTTTTTATATGCGTAAAATAATTTCCAAATAAAATATTTTTTTAAAGTTCACATTAAAAATTTTTAAATAATCAAGAGTTGCAAATTGCATCCCAAGGACTTAGGTTACAGAGTTCTGAATATTTATCCATGTCAGAGATGATACAGGTTTATTAGCAATCTTATGGAGCTTTTCCTTGATCTCTACTGTAGTCAATAGAAAGAGAATGAAGCGGACAGGCAAATGGAGAAAGAAGAAAAAGGAAGCTATAATTTTAAACAAATCTAATAAAACTAGACTTTTAAAAAGTTCTAAGATAGAATTCTATATGTTAAAGAAAAATGAATCTTTACAAATTAGATGAGAAATGAGTTTTCAAATGACAGAATTAGCTCTAATGAAAGCTTAAAGGACTTTGACGTGGAATAAACATTCTAATTATAACACAGCTGTTAAATTCAATAAATTCTAATGCTAAACTAGAAAAGTAAATTATTTCAAAGTAATGTCATTCAAGTTTTGTGTATATTGAGGGTGGAGACAGGAAATAGGCATATGCAATAATTATAATACAAGAATTTCACTGAAACCAGAAAAAATAGCTTACGTAGACAAATTGTAAGACAATGGTACAATGAATATTATCAATGCTTTAAAAATTCCTTACAGAAAAACTTCCAAATGTGAAGACCTGTCCATCCATTAAAAGTACTGCCGTATGGTTGCTGCCTGCAGTAACTTGTGTGCTAGGGCCTGGCAACGCTTGAACAAGAGTGGGACATCCCCTAGGTTAAAAAAAAATTAAGTCAGTATCTTAAAAGACCCAACTGAAATAAAAAACCATAAACAAACAATGCATAAGGAAAAGAGATAATAGGCACTAATATGAATAATCAGTAAAAACTTATTTAAGTGCTATATTCCTGTCTCCATTCTAGGTGCTCAGGACACAAAGATGAAAATGACATAATCACTGATTTTAAGGAGATTATTTAAAAGATTTCCTGAATTTATTATCCTAATTATAGACAAAATTTTTAATTGTTCTGAAAGATTGGTGCTACTTTTGTTGTAGAAGAAAATTTCTTTAATCTTTACCAGTGAATAGCATGTTAAAGATCTCTATAAATATTTATTGGATGATATAATCATGCAATAATTTAACAGGAATTCAATCCAGGAACTATAAGAAACAACTGATTTTATGTCCTCTTTTCTACTTTTTTTCACTAGACTATAACTTAAGATTTTAACACAGCAGTTAATGAATCAGAATACAGTATCATGAGAGGCTCTGCAGCAGTTGCTAAAAGCTTAAGCTTAAAGATATGGATGTGAATCCTGGCTCCAATAAGTAACACCAACATGACCATAACTTTGAACAAGTTACTCATCTTTTCTGCATTTCATTTTTCTCTGCTATAACACAGAAGATACTAATAATCCACAGGGTTCTTATGAACAATAAGGAAGCTCACATATGTCAAGTGCTTGGCACACAGTTAACACTTAATAAATGATAAACAATTATGATAAATAACATCCTTATATCGATTCTTGTATCACTCTATTTACCATTTATTAACCATTTTTAGTAATCATTGTCTGTAATTAGAATAATCATCACTATAGATATAATCCACACATAACAGAAGGGCTCTGATTTTGAGACAATGTTATTATGATACTTTAAGCTTTAAAAATTACATAAAATATATTTTTAATAATTTTTCAGGCTGCAATGAAAAATGAATTGAAAGAGGCAAGATTAACAGCTGGAAACCTAGTTAAAAAAATTTCACAATAACTGGGTGAGTTAAGATGAAGGCACAAACTAGGAACAGAGTGGATTGAAAGCAATGAATGAACTTGACAGCTATCTAAAAACAAACAAACAAACAAACAAAACCCAAACGATTGGACTTGGCAAATGATTGATATGAGGCCAGGAAGGATTTTTGCTTATGTAACAAGGTACACAGTGGTAACATTCTTAAGCTATGAGAATGAAGATGATTAAAAAGAGAAAAGAAGAAATCCTGGTTTTCATTCTGAGTCTCTCCTAACACTGTCAGTATGGACAGAGAAAGAAAAACCAGTAGAAATCTATGACATACCAATGAGGAATAATGAATTCTGGAAAATGAAGTGAGTTATTGGAAGAGAAGGTTTCAAGAAGGGGGAAATAATCTACATGCCAAATGCTTTAGAGAGATATCAACTGACCACTCAACTTTTTAGCGAGAAGAAAGTCTCTGGTAGGAGTAGGCACAACACTGTAGCAGACCAGAAGTTAACAGTGGGGTCAGAGACTATGCAAAATCCCTTCAGGCATCTCAGCAGGAAAGAGAAAAAGAAAACCACCAGCTAAAGGGAAAATGAAGTTGAAGGAGAGACTTTGGTCCTTTAAAATGATGGAGAGTTGAAGTTTAAAAGAATAAAAACAAAGAGGCTAAAGATACAGGTCAGAGAGGAGACAAGAAACAGAACTTGATCCCTAAGGAAAAGGTGTAGATAGGCTTCATAAATATTACATTAAAAAGTAGCAAAGTAGTAGTATAGATGCAAGTATGTTTGTAGAGTTGGCGGACTAAAGAATTTCCCACCTAACAGTTTTTATTTTTGTTCTAATAGAGGTCATGTGCTGAGATGAAAAAGGAAATAGGTGAGTAGAGAATCTGAAGATTACAGAAAAGGTACGATGCTGAATGGAACAAATAAAATACTGAGATCAGAAGTTTTAAACCCGATCCAAAGGGCTTCTTGACAGTCTTTTAATGAGCTTCAGGAGATCTCTGAATCTCCTAAATCTGTAAGTCAATTTCTGTGTATATGCTCTTGTATCTATTCTGAAGAGAGAGCACATATCTTTCATCAAATTCTCGAAAGATCTTACACCAAATAGTTTAAAACAACAAAACAGGAGGATTACTGCCCATCATAGTGGAATTAATTGAACCTGGAAACCATATAACAAACTGTACACATGTGAATTTTTTTCTGAAACCTAAGTTAGACATGAAAAATATACAGATTGATTTATGCCTGAAGTTTTGCCATGCCTTAGCATCAAGACCAAGAGGGTAAAGAAAATGAGGATACTGGCAAGAGTATAGGTGAAGAGAATAAATAATCTCTAACTTAGGTAATAAATAAAATGAAAAGGGTGAAAGAGTAAAAAAGCAGAGGGCTATAGGGAACTGAGTACTGATAATGTCAATGGCCAAGTAAAGTTAAGTAAAGCTAAGTAAAAGAAGGAGAAATTGTGATCAGATTATGGTTGTGTAAGAGATGAATTTTAATTTCTCAACAATCTTTATTCAAACTAAGGCTTAATATATTACAGTCATATAGTTGGTAAGAGATGAAGCAAAGATTTGAACCTTGTCTAAATTGTTCCAGACACAATGATGGTATACAATATTAATGCAGAAGGAGAACAGTATAGCAAGAAAAAGATGAAACTCAGAAACATTATAAAAACTAGCAAAATTCTATTGGAAAAGAAGAATAAAAACATCTAAACTATATAATCTATTTCCCAACATCCAGGTTTAAATTTATTGAAAATGGTAAAAGAATTTGGAATTCAGAAATTTAGAAGCATACTGGACAAAATAAGCAAAAAAGTGGGTTGGTAGACTCATGTCATGAGTGAATGTATAAAAGCCATCATAAACTTTTCTTACATACACTTTAAGAAGAGACAATAATAACAGCTAACATTTGTTGAGCACTTACTATGGGCTACGCCCTGTGCTAAGTGCATCATCTCACTGAATTCTCACAACAACCTTCTGAGGGAAATATACTTACTCCCATTTAATAGAGAAAGCAATTGAGACATAGGAAAGTCAAGTAACTTGGCCAAGGTTATATAGGTACCAAGTGATAGAATCAGGACCCAAACTAGAGATTGAGCTCAGTCATTTTGGCAAGTCAATACATTAAATAAAGAAAATACAAATAATATTTATCTATCTTTATCATCATGCACACTGCAATATTTATCTGACATTAATCACACATTATCAATGTGTGCTATACAATAAATTCCAGTTAAAAGCACTTGATTACTGGAAACTTAAAAAAAGACTCACCAACTCTACACTTTTTTCAACTGTCTATAAATGTTTTGCTTTGTGGTAGTTAATATGTTGGCTATAGGGGCTTTGTTCCTCCTGGGATTGCTCCACCATAAAAGTGGGTCAATTCCTTTTTGAATCAATAACCCAGCTCTTTACTCCTGCCTTCCAAGTCCTAATACATTAAGACAAAGAGGGTAACTAGAATGTTTACAGCAAAAATGGTTTTGAATAACTGCTTGATCCACCAGGCACAGTGTGTAGGCATTATTTCACTGGGCTATCCACCTTAGCTCTCCACACAGCACATATACTCAGCCTTACAGTTACAACTCAATCAATGGAAACAGAAGTGGACATTTACACATTAGAAAAGAACAACTTTGGGCAGTTAAAGCAAAACTCACTAGAGTTTAATTTTCTTAACAAATCCTAATATTTTATTTTTAACACCAAAAGCTATCATATTCATGAAAATGATAAATTCAAGCTATTTAACATACTCAGAAGATTGTTGGTATTATCACCCGAATAAGTCACTGCTAATCAAGGATGGTGCGCATTGGTATAATCAGGACATTGAGGTCAAGTTTTTGGGTAACCTCTTCATATTAAAAACTGGCATGAGCACCTTCCCTTTCAATAGCAATCACACCTTAATGTGGTATGGCAGGATCTTGGCTTATGCTGTTCATTCTTCATATTTCACAGTTACCAGAGGTTTGTGATTTTTATTATAGTCATGATTTTCACAATTTCCCTTCCAAGAAGTCAAGACCATGAAATATAACGATTTACCCATTTTCTGTGGAATGACAACCAAGTACAGTCTGATCTGTGGAGAACTGTTCTCCTTGCTGCACACATGATCAATGCTCCATCATGTCTAACTACAATGCACCTTGCCCAGTTTATATCATGACTCACAAAATAATCACCAGCTAAATAACAGCAGCAATACTGATAATGTCATGATAATAAACCCTCTTGTTCTATGTTGTGAGTCTTCAGTGAGAAACAGAACAAAAAGTTGCTAAATTCTCTTTCCCACAAACTATAAGCCCTGACTCAGTCTCTACACATCAGTGAGGCCATTCAAAGGTGAAGCAAAATATCTGCTGCCTCTAACATCTGTGAAAGTAATTGCTCAACCTTGCAAGCCATTCATATTCTGTCATATGCAGTGTCCAATATCCAAATGTCATGTCCAGTGACATTTGATAAAAGTAATTTTGCCAAAGACCTTTTGCTCTCTTTACAAGCACAGTATTTGTCACTAAGATTGTGATAGTCTTACAAACCTCTTGACAATAATGTCAAATGTATGTTGCTCTGGTCTTTTTAGTGAGAAGCTTAACTCAATTATACCTCAATCATCCCTTCTCATTAGCAACAACATTCATCAAAGTAACTGAGGACATTCTGTTTCATCCTCATTTTCTGTGCATTGCAAATGAACCTGACCCAATCCTCTCGGGATAAACAGGAGTTCTCAATTCTGGACGAGCATTAGAATCTGGGGCTTTTAAAGGACAGTTGCTGCCATCCTATATAGGACTGCACTAGCTGCCTCTAATACCAACCCTCACCCCCAACACAAACCTCTTAGAAATTCTAGCTGTAGAATCTATACATGGTATTTCTGAAGTTGTCCAAGTGAATTTAGTGTGCAGCCAGGATTAAGAATCATGGATCTTTACTATGTAGTTGGCATAATTCCATCCCTGTCACCATAATGGAATGATTTCAGACCAAAGAGGCAATATGGATTTTATGTAATAACCAGAGGCCCGGTGCACAGATTTGTGCATTGGTGGGGTCCCTCAGTCTGGCCTGCACCCTCTCGAAATCTGGGACTCCCGAGGATGTAGTAATGCGAGAAGCGGCAGGCAGCCAGGGAGGAGCCCAAGCCCGGGTCCGGTGCCACACTGCTCCCGCTCAGTAGTGCTGCTACGGAGGCAAGAGAGGCTCATGCCAGCAGTGAGCCAGGTGTATGGCGGCCGTCGGTCAGCTGAGCGGCGATCCCACTGTGGGAGCACACTGACCCCTGGTGGTGTGTGTCATAGCGACCGGTCAACCAGTCATTCGGTCGCTTAGGCCTTTATGTACATATTAGAGGCCCAGTGCATGAAATTTGTGCACGGGGGCGGGGGGTGTCCCTCAGCCTGGCCTACGCCCTCTCGCAATCAGGGACCCCTCAGGTAGGGTCCCGAGGCCTGGCTGGCAATCAGGGCCTATGGGGGCTTTCCTTCCCCTGGCTGCCAGCAGCTGCCCCCGCCCCCGCCGCTGCCACTGCTTGCCATCTGTGCAACGCTACCCCTCTCCCCTGCCACCTTCTGTGGGCGACAGTCATGGGGTGTGATCATTTGGCAGGCCTGGGCCTCCCTCTGCAGGGCAATCACTTGCCGGGTCTGCACACCGCCACAGTGTCGCTGGCTGGTGGCCTGGGCCTCCTGCTTTGGGGTGATTGATCGCAGAGCTCCACGATCAATCACTGTGCAGAGAGAGGCCCCGCCCACTCAGCTGGGACTCCATGATCGATCGCCGCAAGAGGGTGTCCTGGGCCTCCCTCAGCAGGGCGATCTTGGGGTGATGGCGGGGCCCCCCGACCAATCGCATTGCACCCGCCTTGGCTGGCTTGGCGCCAGTGCGTGTCATAGCGTGGTCGTCAGGAAGGTTGTCAGGACGGTCGTTCTGCTGTTTGGTTGTTCAGTCTATTTGCATATTACGCTTTTATTATTACAGATAGATTAGAGTAATTCACGTATGTAAATGAGAAGCCATGTAGGCCCACTTGATTCTGGGGGTATCTTAAGACTATAGGGAGATTAAGACATTGTGGAAAGGCAAAAAGAAAGAAGGTTCTTGTGGTAAATTGCATTAATGAGTCAAGTCTGGCCTGAAGCCACCCTATATCTCTCCAGACTTGATGAAGAAGCCTGGTTTCAATGGTGGGCAGCCACACACATGGATCACTCAGATCTTCAAGACAATCTGCTGCAGGGAGCATAGCTGACTGATCCCTTAGAGGCTGTCTCTTTGGATTCATAAGGCCATTCTTTCCCGGGATGCTAACAGCCTGTGACTGAGCACAGTGAGGGTATTCAACTGCCCATGCTGCCCAAGCCGGGCCTCTTTCAGAGGTAATATTGGCTTGAGGACACCCACTGGCCTGGCTGACCTCTCTCTGAACTGCACACTATTCTAGATTCTGCCTACTCCATTTTTCTTCATTTTTTTCACAGGGGTCAGACCTACATCGTGCCTAGAGGGTTTTCCCTGCCTATTCCTGCTCTTTTCCCTTTTATATTTCACTAGAGGCCCGGTGCACAAAAATTTGTGCACTCAGGGGGCGGGGGGAGGGGGGTCCCCCAGGCTGGCCTGTGCCCTCTCGCAGTCTGGGACCCCTCGGGAGATAACGACCTGCTGGCTTAGGCCTGCTCCCGGGTGGCAGAGGGCAGGCCCAATCCCTAAGTGCAGCCCCTGGTCAGGCTCAGAGCAGGGCCGATTGGGGAGTTGGGGCGCCGCCCCGTCATGCACAGAGCAGGGCGGATTGGGAGGCTGCGATGCCACCCTCAGTCACGCTCAGGGTAGGGCCGATTGGGGGGTTGGGGCACCGCCCCCTGTCACATTCAAGGCAGGGTCGATGGGGAGGTTGTGGCGCCACCTCGTGTCACGCACAGAGCAGGGCCGATCAGGGGGTTGGGGCTCCGTACCCTGTCACACACAGAGCAGGGTCAATCAGGGGGTTGGGGAGCTCCCCCCTGTCACGCACAGAGCAGGGCTGATCAGGGGGTTGGGCGCTGCACCCTGTCACACTCAGGGCAGGGCCAATGGGGAGGTTATGGCTCTACCCTGTCACACACAGAGCAAGGCCCATGGAGGGGGGTTGGGGCGCCACCCTCTATCACCCACAGAGCAGGGCCCATCAGGGGGTTGGGGCGCCACCACTGTCACACTCGGGGCAGGGCCGATGGAGAGGTTATGGCTCTACCCTGTCACACACAGAGCAGGGCCCGTGGGGGGGGGGGGGGTTGGGGCGCCGCATCCTGTCACACACAGAGCAGGGCCGATCAGGGGGTTGGTGTGCTGCACCCTGTCAAACACAGAGCCGCAGGGCAATCAGGGGATTGGGGAGCTCCCCCCTATCAGGCACAGAGCAGGGCTGATCAGGGGGTTGGGGCGCCTTCCCCTGTCATGAACAGAGCAGGGCGGATAGGGAGGTTGTGGCCCTGCCCCCTGTCACACACAGAGCCGCAGGGCGATCAGGGGGTTTGGGCGCTGCCCCCTGTCACGCGGATCCCGGTGCCGGGAGCCTCACTGCTCCGCTGATTCCGGTGCTGGGAGGCATATTACCCTTTTACTATATAGGATAGAGGCCTGGTGCATGGGTGGGGGCTGGCTGGTTTGCCCTGAAGGGTGTCCTGGATCAGGGTGGGGGTCCCCACTGGGGTGCCTGGCCAGTCTGGCTGAGGGGCTGAGGGCTGTTTTCCGACTGGCGAGTGACTAAAGCTTCCAACCGCTCCTTGTTTTCTTTTCTTTTTTTTTTTTTATTCTGGGCCAGCTTTAGCTCTGAGGCCTCGCTGCTGAAAACATCGATACAATGTTTCGGTCTGCCTGGCTTTCAGTCCGGCTGGTTTCTAGAGTTTTGTTTAGCTTCTTATTTGCAACATAGTACATAGTTGCTTAGAGTTGCAGCTGAGAGGCCGGCAAGTGAGGCGGGGAACGTTGGAGTCCGCAGCAAGCAAGCCTCATGCTCGCTTCAGTGCCTGGCTGCCGGCCGCCATCTTGGCTGACAGTTAATTTGCATATACTCACTGATTAGCCAATGGGAAGGGTAGCGGTCGTATGCTAATTACCATGTTTCTCTTTTATTAGTGTAGATAGGAGTTTTCTCCCAATAAATTCTTTGAACATTTAATCCTGCCTTAGAATCTACTTCTTGGAAGACCTGAACTAATAAAGAAGGATTTTCTATACTTTTGACCAAGAGCACTCTCACTGTAGTAAGCAGGAAATGGATTCAGCTGTTATAAGGAAAGCCAAAAAACAGGGACTTAAGACAGAAGTCTATTTTTGATTTAGTTAAGCATCCAATTGCAAAGAGCTGAGGTGGCAGTTTCATGGTGTCAGGGATCCAGGCTATTTCTATTATGTAGCTCTGGTGTTCTCAATACATGGTTTCCAACTTATGATCACTATGATGACGACTTCTCCAGTTCCTGCAACCGTGCATGGATTCCAGGCAGCAAGCTGGGAGAGGAGAAGGGGAAATGAAGGGCTTCCACCTTCCTTTTAACTGCATGATTCCAATGTTGCATCTATCTCTTTAGTTCTCAAGGCCTTATCTTGCTGCAATAAGGTAGGGAACTGAAGTCTTTAGCTGCCTTGTTATGTCACCATTAATACTTGACTACCCAATGAATAGAAAAGAATGGATATTAGAAAATGTCTAGTTGTCTCCACCACAATTAGCTCTTCACTATTCTGGGTAAGTCAAAACTGTTTCTCTGAGAGACCATTATGTTTTACTTAAAAATTATTCAAAAGCTTCAATATCTTCTTTTTATTCTGGACCAACATCAAGTGATATAAATAAATCCATTACTGATTTTTAAAAATGCAATCTGGGGATATTCACTGTCTTTTTTATTGCCACGAGCAACCTTTAAAAAGATAACTATTAAAAATATAGGATTTTTGTGATAATCATAATCACTTATATTTTAAATGTATAGAATGTAAATAATTTTTTCTACTGAAACTACAAATCTATCCCCACAAAAATACTCAACCATAAAATCAAGAATCACCTATAATTTTACAGGCCACACTCTATAAAACAGTGGTATAAATACTATTTTAAGTATAGAAATATATATTTAGACAAAAAAGAAGGAGAGAAAAAAGAAAGGAAAAGAAAAAAAAACAATCCCAATATCTTCAAACAATAAGTCAGAGCAGCGGTCGTCAACCTTTCGGACCTCGCAGACCACCAGTGGTCTGCAGACCACCGGTGGGCGACCGCTGAGTCAGAGTACCTGGAATTGACATCTCCATGTCCTAGCTGCCCATGTTGTCCATATCCAAACGTATAGACATCTCCGTTTTCCATTAAAACCACTGAAACCAAAAAAAAGAGCTTTATTATTTCATTATGTACATTTTATATTTCTATCACACTATAGTAATAGCAGTGCAATTTTCACTATTTAAAATTTATAGAGCCATTAAAATAGGCAATTGAAATATGTTTATATTTAATAAAAAATATAATTTTAGGTCAGAAAGATATTTTTGTAGGTTACAAAAAATGCAGTGTTTTTCATAATAAATACTGTAAAATTTAAATAAATGCTATTGAATAACATGAAACATTGGTTTGGGTCAACTGTAAAGTTTGTAATTGTAAGTAACTACATATAAAATATTTTTATCTCAGATCTAGGATAATTATATAGGTAACAGACAGATCTGAGCTCTGCATAATTACGTACAACATCAATGAACGGTCAGAACTTCAATAACTGCCAATTCCTTATTGAATAAGGAAATATATTTGGCATCAAAGAAAAATTTAACATTTTTTATTTTTATAAAGGTTGAATAGTACAACCTAAGCTATATAACCTAAATGCAATAATTTACTAAGCATTTAATTACTTTTTAAATTTAAAAAATAAAGAAATTTATTGATATACATTTCTCATTAAACAGTAACAAAATAGGTGACCTGATTATAAAAATTAAGAATTCTAGAGTCTAAAAAAATTTCAGAGATTATTTCATCTTCAGGAATTTTCTGAATTATAATATAAATCCATCAGAAGACAGAATAAAAGTTAGATCTCTAGACAAGTACCTATTTCATCATGCCCTAGTTTTTAAAAGGAATTCTGTAACAAATACAAAGCTTTTTTTTTTATATTTGAGAGGTATGGCCACACTATAGATTTTAACACACATTTAACTGACTACATTCGTCTCCAGTGGTCGGCAAACTGTGGCTCGTGAGCCACATGCGGCTCTTTGGCCCCTTGAGTGTGGCTCTTCCTAAGCCTTAGGAGTACCCTAATTAAGTTAATAACAATGTACCTACCTATATAGTTTAAGTTTAAAAAATTTGGCTCTCAAAAGAAATTTCAATCGTTGTACTGTTGATATTTGGCTCTGTTGACTAATGAGTTTGCCGACCACTGGTCTATACTAAACAAATAATTGATTTAGCACAATTGTAAAAATGCAGTTATACCCTAAAGTTCCAGCTGCTACCTGAATGGTGAAATCCACAGCTGACTTGTACTGCCCGGAGCTCACAATCAAATCGCACAGAGCCTGGAGGATATGTTGTGATTTTGCTTGCATCCTTTTCTCCTCGTTCTCCACTTCCATCTGTAAGTGTTATAATTTGTAAGTAAGCCATTATTCATCTTCAAAATAAAATTTTAAATCAGTTTACTATGGAAGAACAAGAGAAAAATGTTAAAAGGAACAAGCAAGAAGAATCTGCAACTGTTAGAAGTGATAGATCAAGAATCTACCTGCAAAGAAGCAATTTTGAAGAGATATAGTACTATACAGTTCTGCTTGCAAATATTGCTAAATCAATAAAAACAGAAATCTAATTATGAATAAAACCTATTAAGCTAATCAGTTATATAATATAAACAAATCCATGTGTTATAAAAATAAAATTACAAATATAACAATTTGTATGGGAAAATTTAGTTTGCACAAAAAATAACTGCATGCAATGTCATTTAACAATTATTTTATACTTAGTGATATTGTTAGTACTAGTCATTAAAAAAAAATTCCTAGTTGACTCAAAAATAACTTATATTTTCCAATCTTAGAAAGGCTACCCTATCTATCAGTATTGCTAAACTCAATTAAACTTTAAAAAATGTATGAACACTAACTAGCTCATTCTTTTTCCCTGTCCCACCTTCTGGCCCCCAACCACTAACTACTCTCAACCAAATCTTTCTGCTTTCATTTCTTTTTTCCTCTTCCCTTCTTATAATTTCCTCCCTTAAGCTTGCTTTACACCTTCCCTGATTTCTACATTTGATTTTAATATTCTGGCATTCTAACTATAAAGTTAAAAAACACACACCAGAATATAAATATTTTAATTTAGAATGCATAAAAAAGGGAGGTAATCTATTTTTCCTAATCTAAAACTACACATCACTAAAACATGACCTCTGTATCATCAAGATTCAAATTCCTTGTACATTTGTATAAGGAATTTATTCCTTGGAATAAATATCAATCTAAGCCACTCTACTGTGGCATAGCAACTCTAAACAAATCTATATAACATGCAGGTAAACATGTGGATCTACAGACACACACATTTTTAATTCTACATTTTCATTGCCCTTTTTAGAAAGCTAAACAGAGTAACATCAAATCATGTTCATGTTATCCTTTCTTTTTTTATCTCCTATTTCTCACATTAGTAATATCCAGGTCAGACCAAATTGGCCTAAATTATGACTTTCCTTTCTATAACAAAATGACTATCGTTCTGAAAAGCTTCCCACTCCTTATAACACTAGGACAGTAAAACCTCACTAATTCGGAATAACATAGAAAGGTTTGGCCTATATGACTTACTGAAAAGGTCTCAGTCATAGAACATTTAAGAAAAAATTCAATTTTATTACCTGGAAGCAGTACAGATTATAAACTAAATGCTACAATAAATGAAAGGTGGTTACCTACATTATAACTCAAAATAGGCCTATATTACATAAAAATGTACCATAAACATAAAAGTCCTTTAACATACAAGAATTAATTGCTCGACCCAGAGGTTGAAGGCACGTTGAAGGAATCCTTCATTTCTTGAGCCCTTGGTTTGAAAAGCTAGTGATTTTAGACAGGTTTCCCCTTATAAGTATGACCCTGAAAATTCAGAGGAAGAAATTACTTTGAATTTTTACTCAAAAAAGATCACAAATACTGCATCTGTAGTATAATAAATTCTGAATTAGTGAGAGGTTTTACTTTAATAGGATAAAGAATACGATTCCACTTCTGCTAAATTATCTAATGCGGGTTTGACAAGACTGGATGGACTACAAAAAAAAGATTACAACATTTAGTTTCACTTCACCCAAAAGAAAATATACTCTTAGTTCAAAGACTCCTCAACTTGGAAAGACAGTGGAATGGTTAAACATAAACAAAGGCCAATACAAAAGAAACAACCAGCTTCCAAAGACTATTTAAAGAAGATGAAAGATGTATAGAAATTTCACAACTTTATCTCCATTGTTAAAAATATCTAATTACTAAAACCAAATCTGATTTAACATAGAAAACAAATTGCGTTCATACGATGTTACCAAACTTAACTAAATTCAATTATTACAAGTATCATTCCACTTTATATAAATGTATTGAGGCCTAGTACAATCTTTTACCTCTGAATTTAGCAATTTTCCCTCTTCCTTAAGTCAGAGATTAAATATAGATACAAATCCCACAATAGAGACATAGCATCAGGGAAGGAGAAAAAAAAGTCTAGTAATTTACCGATTAAAACCATAGTGATTAAAAGAGTTTCAGCTAGTATTTAAAAGTAAAAATAATACTAGAAACATTTTGTTCAAGTTCATTGAAACAAACCTATATCTATATAATTTCTCAATTATTATAGTTGGTTAAAATATTATTATAGTTGGTTAAGAAGCAAAAAAATAAGGATGAGGCTTTTGATCATTATCAACATCAGTGGCAGAATTAAAAAGATATCTGTAATTGAGGTCAATTAAATCCAATACAATTCTAATAATTTAGAAATTTATTAAAGTTTATAAAAAATGTGCCTAAAAAGTAGGCAAAAATTTAGTGTAAATTCCAAGTGAAACTCAGGGAGATTAATTCTGCTCAAGTTCATTATTCAGTAATGTGTTAATAAGCAGCAATAAAATTAATCTCACATTTGTATGAAAAATCATTGTTCTGAATATTCTTATAAGTGACCATTTAGGTATAAGAATATCTATATTTTTCCTAATATAAGTAGGTTCATATATACATTATATGATATTGAAATTATAATAGCTATAAAGTTTTGACAGATGTATCTAAAATATTGTTTGGATATGTATATGTATATATATAGTTCATGCACATTTGTATACATACATAGAGAAAAGACTCAGTACCTAAAGGACTCCAACTTATTTTAATTTTTATTTAAATCTATTTATTTTTGGGGTAACCTTATGGTCGGTCATGTATATCACAAAATGTATATAGAACACAGTGAGTACTTTAAGCAAAATCACTAAATAAAAGAGCAAAGCAGTAGTAAGTACAATTTGCTAACCACTTGGCTCTGTGCTATACACTGAAAACTTAAATAGCACAGTGGATAAATGCTTTGGGGCACTAGGGCCTAAGAGACCTGGAGTGGAATTCTGGCTCTCCTATTCGCTAGTTGTATGACGACTGGATTTTGTAAGTCTTAGTTAGCTTTCCCATCTATTAAATAGCAACAATGGTACACCACCTCACAAGGCTCTTATGAAGATTAAAATAATGTACGGAAAGTGCTCAATCAATATTCACTACTATTGCTTTCTTTAGTCAATACAATAATCTGATGATATAGATACTGTTATTGCATTTTGCAGTTGGGAAAACTATGGCTTATAAATAGAGCAGTTTTAGAGACTGATAAAAAATAAGGCTCATGCATTTTACCACCACCAAATGACTTACATTTTAAACTTTTTTGAAAAAATAAACTTATTGTGTATTTAACAAATCTCAAATTTTGTAACTTTAGAATAATAATAAAAGAGAAAGCAAAGAATTCAATTTAAAGAATTAAAGTATTCATGGAGGATTTCTATTTGCAAAGAATATATACATGTATTTATATACATCCACATCTGTACCTTAATTTAATCTTCATATCAACATAGTCAGAAATTATCATTCTTATTTTTAAAATAAGAAAACTAAAGCCAAAAAATTTAAGAAATTTATGAATGGCCACACAGTTCTTGTACATGAAAAATTTAGGATTAAAACTAAGGCCTTTCAAGACTACCTCCAGAACAATTCAGATGTTCCTAACTAAAATATTATGTTAATATCCTTTTATATGTAAGGCACTAAACTGCTAAAAAATATATATATTAATCTAGATATCTGTTTGAAATATAGTCTATGGTTACATTTAAAAAATAACTTACTATATGTTACATGGATTATATATGTTACACTTATTGATTCAGCCTTAAATACTCTATTATGCCTCTAATCAAAATTTGCCTGCATAGGATGGATTCCGTGACCTTCTCTGAATTCTCTCCAATCAGCCAGAAGCTCTCCAACATTCCATCTTAGAACTCACTCCTGTTAACAATAAATCCACAGTGCTTACCCTCCATACACCCCCAAACAAAAAATCATAATCTAGAAAATTTTAATTATCATCATCCCACAATTTGTACCATCAACATAACTGATTGTAAAACAGAACACAGCAATTAATATAGTGAATTTTTCACTGGAAGACAAATAGGGTTAAAAAAAAGAGAGGGAAAAAATATGTAGAAAAAAATATTATTAAAAGACTGACTATGCCCTGGCCAGGTAGCTTAGTTGGTTAAAGCATCATCCTGATATGCCAAAGTTGCAGGTTCAATCCCTGGCTAGGGCACATACAAGAATCAACCAATGAATGGGTAAATAAGTGGAACAACAAATCAATGTTTGTCTCTTTCTCTCACTCTCTAAAAATAAAAATATAAAAAGTCAACCAATAAATTTTTTTAAAAAGACAGTATATGTATCAAGAGTAAAAAGCAGTGAATAGTTAGATAATTAAATGCCAGTTACTAATAGTGAATGCTATAGGGGTAAGAGAGAGGGAATTTATTGGTATATAGGATTTAGTTAGAAAGAGTTAATACTCTTTATATAAAATAGGGCACCATTACTTTAAATTTTGGTGGTAAAGGGATGAATTATTTCACACAATGAAACCATAAAATCTGTTTTTTAAAAAACTGGCCCGCCACCATACTATAAAATAAGTCCTTCCAAAAAGTCTGCCACGAATAAACAAAGAGTCTTGTTATGAAATAACCCTGTGGCAGAAAAGATGGAGGGCTACCTATTGTTGAGTAATTTCTACAGCTAATCAATGTGACAATGTAAAATGTGTTTTAAATTTGTAACCTTAGTCTTCATTTGGCATTTCATTTTAAATTTTTGGAAAAAATAAAGATGTTTGTCCACAAGGAGCTGAAACATGGAGCTGAAAAAGTTTTAAACTGTTTTGTGTATTGTCAATATTTAACCTCAGGTAAAGCATTGGAAAAACTTCACTTTTATATAATTAGGGGCAGAGGGGGAGACACTGAGAGTATCTGTTCTAATTAGTGGCATAGTGGAAAATATGAGATCAGAGATTCTGGCAAATATTAAAATATTTTTTCATAGCATATCCCAAATATCATTCCTTATATTTAAATATTTATGGTATTGTTACAGCACTCAGTAAATAAAGCATCTTAAGGATTGCTGTACTTGTTTTTATACTAAAAACAGGGGTTTTACTTTGTTAAAAAATAGAATATAAATTATCTCAATTTTTATGTTATCTCAATACTTTCTATATTTTTATATTTCTAGAAATATATTTTATATATAAAATGTATAGAGAAATTACATTTTGGAGATATTCAGTCAAATAAAATATAGTATTTAAATTAAAAAAAAATAAATAAATAAAAACAGGGGTTTTGTCTTTTTGGCCTTTGCTTTGAGTGGCAAACTGACAAAGTGAGAGAGACAAATACAATTAAAGTTGATTATATTTTATGTGAAAGTTTAAAAATAAAATTAGCCTATAACAGTTTTGCAACCCCCCAAAATTTTAAGGCAGACACATTAGATAAATTTGACTATACAGAATGTGTGATTTTAAAACTTTCTATTCTATTTGGTGGTATTTATCTCAGGCATTTAAGAAAATAGCAAGTATAAGTTTCACTAGTCAAAGACTCCTGGTTCACATGCTAGGAGTCAAGGCAGAATTTATATATCAATTTATAAATTCTCTACATTCAATTCCTTCCTGATCTTAGTTGACCCATAATCTGTGGTTTAAAAGTAAATAAGCTTGCTTTATATATTTTTAATTAATACATAACTCTGATACCTCAAAGAATTGTGTATAAACAGCTTCCTCACCAACTTTTTTAGACTTGTCATTTTCTGAGATCTAGAGTAGGTCTACATAACTGTTTCTTACACCTATCACTACTTAACCCTCCACTATCAAGTAAGTCATGTGTGTTGTATATTAAAACATAAACTTTAATATTAAAACAATGGAAAAGCATAATCGCAGTCAACTCATTATTACTTTATAAATGAATTGAGTAGTTTTGTTAATTCTAAAGCAAATACACAGCATTTTAAACAAGTAAAATGCCAGATGGCAGTCAATTAAGAACAGATAACAAAGGATAAAAATAGAAAGCAATAATTACTTTTTCCACCTTCCCTTAACTGTATGAAAATTGAAAAGAAATGGAAAAGAAAAAGATATACCATAAAATGTCTTAAATTTAACAACAAAAAAAGAAATAAGATTGATAGTCATCAACAAACAGTACAACATTCAGCATGTTCTTTCTCCTCAGGCTATATATAGTAATGAGAGAAGCAAAGTGGAAGAATTAGGTTTGTGCATTTTCCCAGAGATGAAACTCAAATGAGTGGAAGAAATTGGGAAAGTGTCCCACCTAGTGATAAGGAAGACCAAATACCTTTGTGCTTGTCCCGTTTATGCTTTAGCTGTGCTGGATGGGATCTGAGTCTGGCTAGAGCCTGTTCTCGATGGTTCATAAAAATAGGACCAGCAAATACAAGGGGGCCTGAGGAGAAACATTTTGTATGTGCATAGAAAAGCTCACAAAATGAAAACACTACAATGAAAAAAAGTCAAACTAAAAAGCATGGAAATTTATTCCTTATTGTTTTAGACATCATACTTTTCTCCCAATTCCCCCACATTAACTCTCCCACCCCCAACCATAACCTATTTACCATTCCACATACAAGTTTTAATATCTTTAATGTCTTATAGTTTATATAGTACAAATTCTATCTTCTATACTTATAAAATTATCAGGTAGCTACTAACAGTCTCAAGTAAACAATTAGAAAGTTCAAACAGAATAAATGAAATATTTTACCTTACAAATATTTTTAACATTATATATATTCAAACTTAGTAATCTACATGATCATTAAAAAATATCTTTTATACCGCAATGAAATAAACTGCAATACCAAAAACCAACTAATTTTTAAATTCAGGATTAAATTTAAATTGGGTCTTGAAGATTTCATATACAGATCAGTCTTACTACAAAATTAAGGTAAGTGTTATTGACTTAACTACATTCTGTCACAGAAGTAAGGAAACAAGACGGCCAAAACAAAAAAAACACACAAAAAATTTAGTATGATCTGATACACACTTATTGAACTTTCTAAAAACGTTAAATCTAACTTTATAATTTCTTTAACCACATACACAAAATCAGAAACAAGGATAAAGTGAGCTTCATATTGATGCTAAGGAGGGGAATCTAAACCCAGTAACATTTATAGAACAGTAGTCATCTCTCATAAAATAATTTCCTTCTGAAGCTCCACTATGTATATACACAAACATACACAAATACATAGTCACATAGAGCACCATTATTTCCACTTTTTAGTATTAAATGAAAAAAATGTGTAGCAAAATTAATTTCAATAAAATTTAAAAATTGCTTTTCCCCTTGAAAAGAAAGGAAACTTTAAATTATACCTTAAATTTTCAGTTCTTTTTTTTATAGAACAGAACTGCTTCCTTAAGTTTTAGCAATATGCCTACAAATTTCAAAACACTCTAAATTTGACAGTTAAGAAGTATTTGAAAAGAAAATTGACATTATATACTGTGAAACAGTGAACATTTTAAGCAATTTTCTTCATAATTCTCTAGAGATCTTCAGCTATAATTACTTTTTCTAACAATGGATTAAAACAAAACTACTGCCCTTTTATAAAATTTGACAAATGTCAAATTAAAATACCAAAATACCCTTTATAAACATTTAAAAATGGGTACAGAAAATATATTTCATTATGTCTTTAGATATAGTTAAAAATACAAGCAGTACCAGTTCTATAAAGACAACAAGAATAACAAACATATTCTATGATTATTACAAAGAAATATGCTAATCCAATAACGAATGAGGCAAAAGTAGGTCTACAGTTTTGAGTATGCAAAAGTTTATGCTTTGTATTATTTATTACTGTATTATTTTGCACATAAACACCGTAAAACTACTTTTGCCCCACCCTGTATTATTTCCCAGTAATACAGTATCAATTCTTTTTAGACGAAAGCTATTTAAATTGAGCTCTTTTTAAAATATAGTAAATGGGGAGGAACCATGATGGCGGCATAAGTAAATGCAGTACTCACATCCTCCCACAACCACATCAAAATTACAACTAAAATACAGAACAACCCTCTTTCAGAACCACCTGAATCTGGCTGAATGCAAGTCCTACAACTAAGAAATGAAAGAAGCAGCCACACTGAGACTGGTACAAGAGGCAGAGGCTCACAATGGGTGGTCCCACACCCATGTGTGGTGGATAAAAATCAGGAGGGATACCTTGGCTGAGGAGGTCCCCCCTGAGGAGCATGGGGTCCCAGTCCCAGGAAGTAAGTCCCCTTAACTTCTGCCTGTGAAAACCAGTGGGGATTGAGGCTGAATGAGACTAAGGGCTGCTGCAGTCCCAGGCAGCTCCTCTTAAAGGGCCAGCGCACAGAGTCACTTCCTCTGAGCTCCATCACAGGGACAGCATCTTGAAAGGCACCAGAGACATACAGGGAGGAACTGAATTGTTTGGGATCAGAGAGAGCTGGAGGGACAGCTTTCTCCCAGACAGAAGTGCTGACAGTCATTATTCCCTTGATGAGCCCTCCCTTATAGAGCCATATCTGAGGCTCCACCAACTTGGCACATAGGGTTTACAGCACACTGTTGATGCCCTGAAACCTTGCTCACCCAACTTTCAGGCCCACCCAAGCTGTTTCCAGTGGCTTTCCCATTGGAATGGCCTGTCTTGGCTCATGCTTCAGATTTAACTAAAACCTCTCAAATGAGCAGCATCTGGCCTCAGCAAGCCCTGTACCTCTAGGTAAGTGGCCCCAGGACTGGCACTAGAAGCAGCTGGCCTTACCTGGTTCACAGGTTGGCCTTGCCTGGGCACCTTCAAACACAAGAAGCAGCCGTCTGCAGATCGCTTTGTAGCTTATGCCTGGTGGCCCTGGGCAGAACACAGGCAGCGGTTGACCTTGGCCTGCACCACCTGGAAGGCTCCAGAGCCAGCACACCCAGTTGACAGCTTCAGACCACGTCAAAGCACCACCACCCAACCACCTCTATAAGCAACACACTCAAGGCAGACTCAGCGGGTATCAGAGCCCTGATGAAGTAAGTCCTGCTCTGTGTAGTGGGCCCCTGCACAGCTGAACTTCCAAGGAGGCTGAAGGTCCTTGCAGCTGACTGGCATGGATAAATCCCTCCCATTGACATGCCAAGAGCAATCAAGACTCAACTACAATAGGAGGGTGTACAGACCACATGGGGAGCCCACCGCAAGTGCCCAGCTGGGGTGATCAAGGAGGCTGTGCCTCTGGAACCTACAGGACACCTACTATATTAGGCCAAGCTATCAAGCCTAGGAGATGTAGCAGCTCTACCTAATACATAGAAACAAACACAGGTAGGCTGCCACACTGAGGAGACAAAGAAACATGGCCCAAATGAAACAACAGAACAAAACTCCAGAAAAATAATTAAACAAAATGGAGATAAGCAATCTACTAGATGCAGAGTTCAAAACACTGGTTATAAGGATGCTCAAGGAACTTAGTGAGGACCTCAACAGCATTAAAAAAAACAACATTTAGAAATGAAGGCTACACTAATTAAAATAAAGAATAATTTATAGGGAATCAACAATAGAGTAGATGAAGCTGAGATTCAATCAGCGATTTGGAATATAAGAAAGCAAAAAATAGCCAATGAGAATGGCAAAAAGAAAAAATCCTATATAGTAAAAGAGAAACATGTAAATTGACTGTCCCTCCACTACGCTCACCAGCCAATCAGGAGTATGCAAATTAACCTGACAAAGATGGCGGGTTAATTTGCATACACAAGTGCCAGGCGAAGAGCAGAGCGGGAGAGCCAGCGGCTTGTGGGGACATGACTCCCTCGGTCGCTCCCCCCAAGCCGCTGGGTGGAGAGAAGAGCAGGAGAGCTGGCGGAAAGTGTAGCAGCTTGTGGAACTTGGCTCCCCAAGCTGCCAGAGGAAAAGCAGAGAAGGACAGCTGGCGGCTTGGAGGACTTGGCAGAGAGGGAGGCCATGGGATGGAGACAGAGCAGGAAGGGAAAACCAAGAGCGTGGGGAGCACTAGGAATTCTGGGAATAGTAGTTCTGGTGGCAGCCCCAGGACCAGAAGCCCAGAGCATGGGGAGCACTAGGAATGCTGGGAATCGTAGTTCTGGTGGCAGACAGATCTCCTAGACACTGGAGCAGCGGTTCTCAACCTGTGGGTCGCGACCCATTTGGCGGTCGAACGACCCTTTCACAGGGGTCGCCTAAGACCATCCTGCATATCAGATGTTTACATTACGATTCATAACAGTAGCAACATTACAGTTATGAAGTAGCAACGAAAATAATTTTATGGTTGGGTCACAACATGAGGAACTGTATTTAAAGGGCCAGAAGGTTGAGAACCACTGCACTATAGCAAAGTGAGCCTGGAGCAAATTACTGTTGCAGTGGGGGATGGAGGGAAAGCAAAGGTGAGAGACATAAGTAAAATCAGAGTGTCTAGGAATAATTAAAGGGAAGATATCCTAAAACTTCCAGGAAATCTCCACCAATGAAGCAAAGAAAAAAAAAATGCCTCTATTATTCTGTGAGCAATAAACTAAACTGAGTTGGGGTCTCAGACAATTCGCTCATATGATTGCAAAGACAGACAGAAACTCCCAGATTGGAGAGGGCTCCCCTGAGGGCTCCCAGATTGGAGAGGGTGCAGTTTGGGCTGAGGGGCCCCCACACCCCCCAGTGCACGAATGTCGTGTACCAGGCCTCTAGTAATAAATAATGAGGATAGTATAAGGAGCCTCTATGTACCAACATTCACATCACGGGGATGCCAGAGGAGAAGAGGAAGAGCAAGAAATTGAAAACTTATTTGAAAAAATGACATAAAACTTCCCTAACCTGGTGAAAGAAACAGACATACAAGTTCGGGAAGCACAGATAGTCTCAAACAAGATGAACCCTAAAAGGCCCACACCAAGATACATTAAAATTAAAATGCAAAAGTTTAAAGATAAAGAGAGAATCTTAAAAGCAACAAGAGAAATTCAGTTAGTTATCTACAAGGGAGCTCCGATAAGACTGTCAGTTGTTTTCTCAACAGAAACCTTGCAGGCCAGAAGGGAGTGGCAAGAAATATTCAAAGTGATAAAAGCAAGGACCTACAACCAATATTACTTGACCCTGCAAAGCTATCATTTAGAATCAGAGGACAGAGCACCACCAAACCAATATTATATGAAACTAAGGCCTGGTGCATGAAATTCGGCATTGGAGGGGTGGGGTTCCTAAGCCCAGTCTTCACCCTCTCCAATCCAGGACCCCTCAAGGGATGTCCAACTACCTCTCGCAATCTAGAACCGCTGGCTCCTAACTGCTTGCCTGCCTGCCTGCCTGATCGCCCCTAACCCCTCTGCCTGCCTGCCTGATTGCCCCTAACCTCCCTGCCTGCCTGATCACCCCTAACTGCTCCCCTGCTGGCCTCATCACCCCTAACCACCTCTGCCTCGCCCCGCACCTGGGACCCAGGATTCCCTCCTCCAGCCAGTCGCAGGCATCCAGGACCCGGGCCGGCTTCACCTAGGCTGACCGCAGCCACAGGGGACCGTGGGCGGGCGTCTTCACCTGGGCCGCAGCGCAGGCGACCAGGATCGCGGGGCGGGCAGCTTATACCTCTCGTGGGCCGCAGCTGCAGGGGCTGGCACCCAGGACCACGGGGCGGGCGGCTTGTCCCTCTCCAGGGCCACAGTCCCAGCCACTGGCATCCGGGACCACGGGGCGGGTGGCTTGTTCCTCTCCCAGGCCACAGTCCCAGCCGCTGGCGCCTGGGACTGTGGGGTGGACAGCTTGTCCCTCTCCTGGGCCGCAGCCCGGCTGGTCCCCATTCCTCTCTTGAGAGCTCATTTGTGCCTGGCTGGTCCCTATTCCTCTCTCCCCAGTGTTGAGTGTCTGAGCTGTTACAGTGTGAGGGCGTGATGACCATTTTCATATTAGCTCTTTATTATATAGGATGTTAAAAGGTCTTATTTAAGAAGAAAAAAGATCACTGGCTGGTGTAGCTCAGTGGTTGAGCATCAACCTATGAACCAGGAGATCATGGTTTTTATTCCCATCAGGGCACATGCCCGGGTTGTGGGCACAATCACCAGTAGGGGGCATGCAGGAGGCAGCCGATTAATGGTTCTCTTTCATCATCGATGTTTCCATCTCTCTCTCCCTCTCTCTTCCTCTCTCTGTGATGAATTAAAAATAAATAAATAAGAAAGAAAAAATATATGAACAATAAAATGGCAATAAACACATATCTAGCAACTGAATCTACAAACAAAATGACCAAGGAGAACAGAAACAGACACAAAGATACAGAGACCTTTGTGTTGGTTGTTAAAAGCGTGGTCCTGAAATTTTGATCCACTTTGAAACAGTTAATACAAGCTTGGTAAAGAAGATAAGATAAACAAGTTAAATAAAAATATTTAACATAACATAACCCTGAAGTTAAGAAATTTCAACATAGGTAAAAGCCAATTACTAATGAGCATAATTATTAACATATTACTAAACTCTTAGTATCTAAAAAAGTAACAAGCAGAAGCCAAGAAGAAAAAAAAACACATGTATGTATGGCAGTTGGAACACTAAAGTTTTTTGAAATTCCTGTTCCTTGTAAGGACAAAACAAGACTAACAATCCTAGCATGGAGCCAAACAAGAGCCCTGCAGTACTGTACATGTGACTCAAATCTGTATCCAGGACCCTCATGCAGAAATTCTATTTCATTAGACCCATTTGATGCTGATGTAGAAAATCCCTAGAGCAGTGGTTCTCACACTTCAGCACCAACAGCATCACCTGGTGGGCTTGTTTAAATAGTTTGCTGGGTCCTGAGTTTTTGATTCAGTAATTCTGGGATGGGACCTGAGAAAAGTTAATTGTGTGTGTTTTTTAAGTACTACATTTCTTGGTTAATTGTTATGGGTCCACTTTTTGAAATATATTTTTAATGATTTGAGAGAGAGAGAAAGGAAGAGAGAGAGGGGAAAAAAAGGTTGGTTGCCTCCTGCACACACTCCAACAGGAGACCAAACCCACAACCTGGGTATGTGCTCTGACCTAGAATTGAACCTACGACTTTTTGTGCATGGGATGACGTTCAACCAACTGAGCCAGGGCAAGAATAGGCAATTGTAACTAAAGCCCAAGTCAAGTTGGTCCCTTTGAGAGCACTTTAATAACCCCTGAGCCGAAATAATTAAAGCATAGTACCTAAAAGGGATTCCTCCATCCAATTAAAAGTATTTTTTAAAACAAAGTTAAAATATTAATGCCTTAGAACCAATCTCTATATATATCTATAAATAGATACTTTTTAATCTTCACCTGAGGATGTTTACTGATTTTATTATTATTATTTTTTTTTTAGAGAAAGAGAGAGAAAGGGGGAGAGAGGCAGAGAAACATTCATGTGAGAGAGAAACATCTATCGGTTGCCTCCCAACCTGGAACCTAAGTCTGTGCTTATAAAATCAGATACAACAACATAAATTCTGTAAATATTTAAATAATAGAGTTTTAAATCTTTATAAAAGATTAGAGTTTACATTTTAAAAATAAATGGTAAAAGAATATTCTGCAATTACAAAGTTTTGTTGAATAACCAATGCATAATCAATGTCTTTACTTTTGATATGCAGAATATACTCTAGCAAGAGAAGAACAGCTTTTTATAGAAAAAGATTAACAAAATACACAGCATGAGGCAAGTGAAAAATGTCATCACAAGGATTTGGTGAGTTTTGTAGGTCAATTCATCTGATTCAACCTAATAGTTTTAAAAAGAGAAAAAACAGGTAGTAAAAAGATACACTGATAATTAACTTTAGGCAAATCATATCATTGAGGAATTACCATCCAATTACCATAAGTCATAAGACCCAAAAGTTAAATTTTACCCTATTTTCTATAAAACATTTAATGTGCAATTTTCCATGTATTTTTATTATGTAAACAATGACAGTATATACATTAATCTCATTAAAATATCATTTAAAGGCAAAGACTTTACGTAAACAAAGCCATACCAACAGCAAATAATCACTGTTACCAATTAATCAACACTGCTTATCAGGCTCTGATAAAGAGTAATTCAAGCATATATTTTACAACTTAAGTGTAATAAAAATGCGAATGTGCCCCACTGATATATATGCTATTGCCCACTCACTGTCCCGTTATAAACTTCATAGAAAAAACCAATCTTGTAACGAGGAAACCACGAATAATAGATTCTATATCATGTAGTAAATAATATATCATTTCTAATAAGTATTTAAAATATACAATATCAATAAATATTTGTAATCAATCTTTTGCCTAGCAGAGAAATAAAATCACAGACCTCCGTAATAATCCATCTTAATCCTACAACAAAAAGATTCTATTAGGCATAAAGAGCTTTAGTAACACATATTTATTTACGTTTATTGTATATATACTCACACCTATTATAACCACCATTAAATGTATCTTAGCCTGAAAAATTATCACAAACAATGAGGACTAGTTAAATAATAAATCTATCTTCACAATTAACACCTGCATACACTCCTTCTTGTACATAACCAGAATAAGATTTTTCAAACAAACAAACAAAAAACACATATAATAGCATAGCTATGCACTGGATTGAAATGAAAGGTAGTAGGACTATGCCCAAACGATAATGATTACAATTAGTAAGAAAACAGAAAATCTAGTTTATAATTAAACTAGAGGCCGGGAGCATGAAATTCGTGCACTGGTAGGGTCCCTAGGCCTGGCCGGTGATCAGGGCCAATCAGGTTCCCTGCCTCCCTGCCTCTTCCTTCCCTCACCACCCGTGCACCGCCACCGCACAGTCCTCGCCTCTCGGCCTCTCGGCCTCCCCGCTTCCCCGCCTCCTCTTTCCCTTGCACCCTCAGCACCCCACCTCCACTGCTGGTCGCCTGCCATGTTCCACGCCACCCCCTCATGGTCAGCACACATCATAGCGAGTGATCAAACTCCCGGTCTGCTGGTTGAACTCCCGAGGGGACAATTTGCATATTTGCCTTTTATTATATAGGATAGATGATTCCAAAATCTGGGTGAAGAACTAGTTCTTAGAATGTATAGTTTTTAAATAATTGCCTTTGCTAATAGTTTCTAATGCTTGGCTGATGGCACAACAATTCTTAAAACAATTTATTTTTGCCATAAATACTTTACTGTACTGAATTAAATGTATGTTATTAATTAGCACAATCATAAATACCCTGAATATTTTCACATTATTTTCATGAGTACTAGAATGTTACTAACTTTAACTTCAATTTCTTACCAAATCAGCCTATTCTGTATCTTCAGTGGTCTCAGTAGAGGGTAAGAAAATGGATTTTCAAATACTTTTTCTCTGCAGCTACATCTTACCTCTTCCTTCGTCTAATCTGTGTCTCCTGATTACTCGCTGCCGTTTTTCTTCTTGTCTTAACTGAAGGTGTTCTTCAATGTTAACCCCAGGCACTGGGACAGCTAATGATTGACCAAAAAAATTTATAGATAGATATATAAATATATATAGATATATGTTTATACACACACAAACACATAATATAATAGATATGATAATAGACATAACAGAACTATATGAAATTCAAGAACATAAAAGCTAACGAAAATAGTCTAAAAAAATTATTTTTAATGCATGGAGTGTGGGTGAATTTCCCGCCAAAATATAAGATGGCTCTGTCTTTTGGTTTTGTTCCATCCACCAAAAGGGTGGATTACAAACAAATATTTGGTAATACGCAGTTACAATCGGCCCGAGTTTACACGTTTCCCGCACTCCACCGCAAATCTATATGAACCGAGTTAAAGACGGCTCCCGCGGAGTACGCGCAATTCACGCGAGCCGACTTAACTCGTTTCCCGCACTCCAAGTGTTAATGCAAAAATCTTAGCAAAAAGGAAAAAAAGAATTTCTTCCCTTTATTAATGACATATTTTCAGTTATAATACATGTGGTATTATATTATTAACTACTAGAGGCCTGGTGCATGAAATTCATGCACAGGTAGGTTCCCTAGGCCTGGCCGGCAATCAGGGCCTATCAGGGCCTTCCGGCTACCGGCTGGAGCCTTCCTCTGTTCTGCACCGCCCCCTGGTGGTCAGCGCATGTCATAGCGAGCGGTCGAACTTCTGGTCTGTCAAACTCCCAAAGGGACAATATGCACATTAGCCTTTCATTATATAGGATTATCTTAACTTTTTAGCACATACCTAATAGAAATTGTATAAACTATCCTTATTACTGAGTTGAGGACAAGTTGTTTGGTACAATAAAGCAAATTACCTAATAGAAGGTCTAAAGGTATCATCTCTTTCACCGCATCGAGAATTCCTCTTTGTCTTGCCTCTTGACCATCCAACTCTCTTGCACAAGCCTTGCAACATCCACACACAGCACAGCCAGATTCTCCGGAACCACAACCACAGATACTTAAAACAAACAAACAAACAAAAGAATTAACTGAAATCCTTCTACTCTTTCCTTAAAACACTTTTCTATATGAGGTACCATCTCACAACTGTCAGAATGGCTATCATCAACAAATCAACAAACAACAAGTGCTGGCAAGGATGTGGAGAAAAGGGAACCCTCGTGCACTGCTGGTGGGAATGCAAACTGGTGCAGCCACTGTGGGAAACAGTATGGAGTTTCCTCAAAAAATTAAAAATGGAACTCCCATTTGACCCAGTGATCCCACTTCTAGGAATATATTCCCAAAAGTCAGAAACACCAATCAGAAAGAACATATGCATCCCTATGTTCATAACCAATGGACACAGACAATGGGGGGTGGGGGGAGGCTAGGGCTGGGGAGCAGGGGCAGGCTGGGAGAGGACAATGGGGGGGGGAAGGGGACATATGTAATATTTTCAAGAATAAAGAATTGAAAAAAAATTGTTTTCTGCAGTTTTGAGATTAATTAAATGAGGCAAAAATGAAATTAACCCTTCAGATCAGGAGCAGGATGTGTCAATTTTTAAGGAAAGGTATGAATAGATGAATAATTAAAAACAAAAGTTTATTAAGTTCCTCATATTTCTACAGAAAATACAAACGTATTCTATCTTCAAAGCTGCTATTAACAAGTATTTTTCACGTTTTCACAATTATTGAAGGACCAGCAGCTTTACTATTAAGTGGTCTGGATGGCTTGGTTAGTAAACAAACAAATATTCCTACCTACCAGATAAGTTAAGGGAGGTGTGGACAGCCCACCTTGCCAGCTTAATGTATTAGTCTCCATTTCCCTCCCTATCCTAAAACGGATAAAAAGCACTACTGAGCCCTGGCCAGTTTGGCTTGGTGGATGGAGAGTCAGCCTGTGGACCAGGTTCGATTTCAGTCAAGGGCATGTACCTTGGTTGCGGGCACATCACCAGTAAGGAGTGTGCAGGAGGCAGCTGATCGATGTTTCTCTCTCATCGATGTTTCTAACTATCTATTCCTCTCCCTTCCTCTCTGTAAAAAATCAATGGAATATATTTAAATAAAAAATAAAGCCCTACTGCCCTAACCGGTTTGGCTCAGTGGCTAGAGCGTCGGCCTGCGGACTGAAAGGTCCCAGGTTCGATTCCAGTCAAGGGCATGTACCTTGGTTGCGGGCACATCCCGAGTTGGGGGTGTGCAGGAGGCAGCTGATCGATGTTTCTCACTCATCGATGTTTCTAACTGTCTATCCCTCTCCCTTCCTCTCTGTAAAAATTCAATAAAATATATATTTTTTAAAAGCCCTACTGAATTGTATGTGGGCACTATTTAAAAAATAATGTTTATTTCTAAACTTATTCTAAAATATATAGTCATAATTTTATAACTGAAGTCATTTTTAATAGTGCTTAGTGTCCCGGCACAAATTCCTATGTTGACTTTATTTATGTATTCATTTCTGCTTCATTAGTAAAGAAATTATTGTACTTGGTTAGGTATTGTCCATTTGATCTATAATTATTGAAAACTGACAGTAAATCTCAGGGGGGAAGCATATAAAGAAGAATGAATAATTTCAGGAAGGACAAGAGAATTATAAATTCATTTATAATATGCATCGATTACTTAAGTTCAGATATTGGAGACATTTAATTTTAATGGAAATAGATTGAGACATCTCCAGGAGGATAAATTTCAACTCCTTTTAAAAGAAATATTATCTTTAGCTCTGGTTGGCAGCTCAGTGGTTAGAGCATTGGCCCATGCACCAAAGGGTCACAGGTTCAATTCCCAGTCAAGGACACATACTTGGGTTGCAGGTTCAATTCCTGGCCTGGTCCAGGCGTGTGGTGGAGGAGGCAACCAGTCTATCTTTCTCTCCCTCTCCTTTCCACTCTCTCTAAAAATCAATGGAAAAAATATCCTTGGGTGAGGATTAACAACAACAAAAAAAGAAAGAAAAAAAAGAAAAATTATCCTTTGATAAAGAGAGCCAAAATATTTTAACATATACTAAAAAAGCAAATCAAATGTACTGTTTAAAAATCATAGTGTTTCAGTAGTTTAAGAGAAAAGACCTGTTATTTAAGATCTATTTCACTATGTTAGGCCATAGTATAATTCTGGAAATGTACTCAGAGTAGATCCAGACATTATTTGGGAAGAAGCACCTGACTATACTAAGGAGATGTCAAATAGGAAGGTCAACTCTACGGGTTGGTTGGCTGTCCTCACCATGGCTGATATTTTTCCCACAAGATTCCCTTTAATTTCCAAAGTAAGCTAATTATCAAAATCTGATCTTATAAAGATCAGATATATATCATAATACAAAGATCTACCATAATTAATTTAATCTTACAAAGGATACCCCATTATGTTACATTGGCTACAAATGGCAACACAAAAATAAGAATCAAAATCTTCCCTAACATTCTGGGGAAAAATCTGCATTCTGATTGTGCCTAACTCACACTTTAAAACGACAATACAGACCCTGAAAAAAAAAAAGTGGTCCAGTAAGAATAAAAACTATATATAGCAGGTGCAATGCAACTTGAGCCACGATAGTTCCTAGAACTCCTAAAATTGCAAAAAGTAAATTCAATTTAAAAGGATATATCCCTAATAAAACATTCTATATGTGTGTTTTTTTACAATTCTACTCAGAAAAAAATTCTTATGTGTTATTAAAGCAGTCTTAGAAAGAATACAAATGGCTCAGTGGTTGAGCTTCAACCTATGAACCAGGAGGTTATGGTTCGATTCCTGGTCAGGGCACATGCCCCAGTTGCAGGCTCAATCCCCAGTGTGGGGAGTGTAGGAGGTAGCCCATCAATTATTCTCTCGAATCATTGTCCCTTTCCCTTCCTTTCTCTGAAATCAATAAAAACATATTTTTTTTAAAAAAATACAAATGAAGGCACACCCCAAGCCTTGAAAAAGATGACCTTTTTAAAAATAATGCTTTAAATGGATCAAATTATATAAAAATGACACTAAATTAGAATTGATTATAATTCCCCACCCCTGCTCTAAGTATGTCCTCAGGTGAGGATTAAAAATAAAAAATAAAAAAAGAAATAACACAGAACACTCTGAAATAATTTTGAAAAGAAATGTGTTGTATGCATTTTCTAGTAACTTTTTATTTCTTCAATATTAATTCTTTTTCTTACCCTCCAGGAACTCTGTCTGGACGCCCACTACTGACACAGCTGGCTCCATAACCTGTACAGTCTCCACAGACAGTACACACCATGCATTGCTCCAGCTTCCACTTATGCATGCCTGGAGGGCACATCATAGATTTCTCATCTTTTTCATCTAGTTCTTCTTCTAGGTCTTCATCCATTGCTGTGGCCATATTTTCAACTCCAAACCCTATTTGAGAGATCAATTTATAACATTTTAGTAGACTATTTCCATGTCTAAAAAACTGACATTTATATTTCCCAATTAAATACTGTATGTATATATAACATATACTAATCCAAATGAGTATACAAAGAAATGCTAAAATATAAGAGCAAGAAAAATAAAATTTAGTTGAGGGACTACTAATAAGTGCTCTCCCCATTTCCCTTTCTGCAAAAAGAGGGAAGACAGAAACATCTCTTAGCTGTTGTTGCTTTCTGTCAATCATATTTTTTTAATTTTTTCGGATTTTAATTTTAGTCCCTCTTTTCCATCTTCACTGCCAACACTTTTGTCCAATAGACCAAAGAATGATTCCTAACCACACTTTAAGCCAAGAGTTTCTCCAACTAGAACATCCCCCCACTGCTAGCAATCAGCTTTGTAAAACATATACTTGATCCTATGACTTCACAATTTACAAAATTCCTCAGCAAGATACAGTCATTGACAAGATGGCTCCCAATTTTCTCCAAACTCACTTCTTCCATGCAAACTGCATTCTACCTGAACCTAAATTCCCTCTGCTTTCTAAACATCCTGTGTCCTTTCTCATGCTCTGGGCCTTTGCTCATTCCTGCTCCATCTCTCTTTCTACCTCATATACCTGCCTCTCTACACCTCATCAACCAGAGAGGTTTTCAGCCCTCAAACACTCAGCTCAGACGTCATTTCCTAGGAAAGCACTTACCACTTTTCTGAAGGAAACAGTCACTATCTTCTCAAACCTGTTTATACCTCAATTACAACTTAATTGTGTTATAATTCCTTCAACTATTCTTTTTTTTTTACTGAATACCTACCTAAATGCCACAGGCATTTCCCTTGATGGCAGAGACAAAACATTTTTTGTAAAGGGCCAGATTGTGAATAATACAGGCTTTATGGGCCATATTAAGTCCGTGTCACACTTTTTAAAAATAACCCTTTAAAAGTATAAAATCCATTTTTAGCTTGGAAGGCCATACAAAAACAGGCTATTGAGCAGATGGCTTATAGGTCTCTGCTTTAGGCACTGAGGACTATGATAATGAACTATTTATTATAAACCTTATAACTTAGTGATGAAGACACACATTAATTGAACAGCCATACAGAAAAGAGTAAATCTACAACTTTGATAGACTTATAAAGGAACATATAGTGCTACACGAGCATATAATAAAAAAACAAATCTGTGGGAATTAGGGAATTATTTTTAATCTTTGTCTTTTCAATTAGACTTAGATCCTCAAAGACAAGGTATTACCTTACTCACGTTACCTCTTAACTTAGTCAACCTTATTCTCTTTTATCACTTACACCTATAATAGACTCAGTATATAGGTCTGTCTAATCAAGAAATAAACTCATGGGATATATAACCTTTTTTATTTTTGCCACTTCTAATCTATGTACAGGCTGGAAAATTAGATAACCATGTATTGGATAACTATGCATGTCTACAGTTAAAATAAAGCAATCCCAAAGACGGCCAAAGTGACTATTTTTCATAAGAACAGGAGCTAAAATATATTGAGCACTTATCTGGGTCTATATATAATACTTTATCATCCCAACTATACTATAATTATTATCCTCAAAATAATCTCTAAAATTCAAAGCAATATCAATCACATTGCCAAGTAGAAAAGCACACTCTCATCCATATGGAAAAAAGGCCCAACCTAATACATAAAGCAAAAATTTATAAAAAAAAAACAAACACAAAAAACTTGCCATCAAAATTGAAAAATTATATACAAGTAAAACCATAAATATAAGAGAGAATCCACAAATTAGTAAAAAATATTTGTAACACATACAACATAATATATTAAATATTCCTACAAATTAATAAGAAAAAGCTAGAAAAATAAGAAAAATTTGAAAAGATAGTCTAACTCACAATTCATAACCAATGGAATGCAAATTAAAAGAAAAATGAGAGATCCAGCAATTTTCCTCCTAATTGTATACCCCAAAGAAATGCAAACATATTTTCACCAATATTTACTAGAAATGTTCAGAGCAACACTATTCATAATAACCCAAACTAGAAACTACCCAAATGTTCATAATACTAGCAAAAGTTTTAAAATTGTGGCATATTTACACAATGATGAGAATGAACAACTTACAGCTAACCATATCAACACAGATGAATCTCATGAAAGTAAAGCTGAGTGAAAAGAAACCAGACATACAAGAATTGATACTACATGATTCCATCTATAAAGTACAAAAGTATGCAAAAGTAATGTACAGTGTTAACTGAAGAGGAGGATAGCAACTGGAGAGGAACATAAAAGGGCCTTCTTTGAGTACTGTTAAGAAACTTTCTTGACCTGGGTGCAGATTACAAGAATATGTTCAGTTTGTGAAAATTCATAAAAATATATACCTATGCTAGGTGTATTTTTCTGCATATATATTATACTTCAATATAACAAGTAAAAAATTACAATGTCACAGCCATTACACTGGCAAAAATCAGAGTCTGTCAATATTGACTACTTGAGTAATGTGGAAAATCAAACTCTATTAGTAAGAGTATAAATTGGTACAATTTCTTCCAAGAAAAATCTAGCACAAAGCTGAAATTTATAGCATAGTAATTTCACTAGAAAAAGTCTCACATGTTTACCAAGAAATATGTATAAAGGTTTTAAAATTATTTATAATAATGAAAAATTAGAAATAAATTCATCTATCAGCAGGAGAATGAATATATTGTGGTATGTTAGTGTTATGGTTTTTATTACACAGCAATTAACATGAATCATCTAGTTTTATGTGTACCAACATGGACATATTTCAAACATGATGGTGAAAAGACAAAAAAAAATTTTGCAGAAAAATATGAATAGACTAGAGGCCCAGTGCATGAATTCATGCATGGGTGGGGTCCCTCAGCCCAGCTGGCGTTCAGGGGCCCCGAATGGGGCTGAGGGAGGTTGGCCGTGGGGAGGGGCCGCGGGAGGCTCGGCCTGCCAGGGGAAGGGACCACAAGAGGTTAGCTGACTGCGGTGGGTTTGCTGTGGGAGCGCACTGACCACCAGGAGGTAGCTCCTGCGTTGAGTGTCTGCCCCCTGGTGGTCAGTGAGCGTCATAGCGACCGGTCGACGAGTCAACTGGTCGTTTGGTCGCTTCTAGATAAGCACTTATAAAGTACTGTACTTTTATTTGTAAAATATATGTGTGCAATGTATTTCACATAAAATATAAGAACAACCTACAAGGGAGTACCCATATGACTGTAAACTTATTTCTCAACAGAAACTATGCACGCCAGAAGGGAGTGGCAAGAAATATTCAAAGTGATGAATAACGAAGACCTACAACCAAGATTACTCTACCCAGCAAAGCTATCATTTTAGAATTTGAAGGTCAGATAAAGAGCTTCTCAGACAAGAAAAAGCAAAAGGAGTTCATCACCACCAAACCAGTATTATATGAAATGTTAAAGGGTATTCCTTTAAGAAGAGGAGGAGGAGGAGGAGGAAGAAGAAGAAGGAAGAAGGAGGAGGAGAAGGAGGAGGAGGAAGAAGAAGAAGAAGAAGAGGAGGAGGAGGAAGAAGAAGAAGAAGAAGAAGAAGAAGAATAAAAAGGCAATAAATACCTATCAACAATTGATTCTAAAAATCAAAATAAAGAAATAAAAAATCTAATGAGCCCTAACCAGTTTGGCTCAGTGGATAGAGCATCAGCCTGCGGACTCAAGGGTCCCAGGTTCGATTCCGGTCAAGGGCATGTACCTTGGTTGCAGGCACATACCCAGTAGGGAGTATGCAGGAGGCAGCTGATCGATGTTTCTCTCTCGTCAATGTTTCTAACTCTCTATCCCTCTCCCTTCCTCTCTGTAAAAAAATCAATAAAATATATATTTTAAAAACATCTAATGAACAGAATAAACTGGTGAATAAAATAGAATCAGAGACATGGAAATGGAACAGACTGATGATTTTCAGAGGGAAGGGGATGGGGGGGGAGAGATTAAACAAAGATCTTATATGCATATATGCATTACCTATAGACACAGACATTACCTATGGCGAAAGGTTGGGGTGGGGAGGGAACCGGATGGAAGGGGGCAATGGGGGATAAAAGAAGGTCATCTGTACTATTCTCAGCAATAAAGATTTTAAAATAAAGAAGCAAACAAACAAACAAATAAGTAAATAAAATTTAAAAATAAAAAATAAATAGAACACGACTGAAAGAATATTAATCAAAGTCATGATGTGGTTAGTTCTGGAGAGAGAGTATAATATTAAGCTTTGGAATAGGAATACAGGACACTGGAATCTTATCTATAATTTTTTAAATTGAAAAATTATAAGACATGGTGGTAGACATACAACTTTTTAATATTTCAGTATTATTTTCTATACTTTTCAAGTTTTTTAAACTTTTAAAAATCCCTTTATGTTCTTTATGAGTCAGCAATCTGTATTCATTATGTGTCTTACACTACTATACTTGCATGCTTTCTAATTCAATACTTACAGAATAGGTGTGACTTCTAGTAAATAAAAAATATTTTAACAATTTAATTTTGATTATTACAAAATTTACACTAAGAATCTACAATATAGTTGTAAATGTATGCCAAATTTCACAAAAGTTTCAGAATAATAAAGAAACAATTTTGTTCAGCTCACAACTCTTATAAAACATAATTTGAATACATACTTAAATAGAGGAAACTAAAAGGGTTCTCTCCTCTTTGCCTAGTAGGTCTTATCCAAAACTGTGGTTCACTAGTTTAGCAATATTTCTATTTTTGAGTTATCCATTTCTTTTTTTTCTTTTGTTCTTCCTTCTTTTTAAAAAATTAATATTCCTCTAACAGACTTACTCTTTTAAAAACCAAAGAATTAAAAAAAACCTAAAGAATTGTAAAAACACACATATATAAAGAAGCTAAGGGGGGAAAAAACCAGTAGGCTTTAATATCCAGATGAGTCTGCCATCAAGAAGACTCCCAAAGAGCTAAACTTGATTTTGTTAATTTATACAAATATTAATCCTGAAACTATGTAGGCCATAGTTTAAAGTATTTGTACTTTAAATACAGCTTAATACTTAGTTCTAATAATATGTATATATTTCCTATTCTCAAGTCCACACAAAATTAAAAAAAGAAAACCAGACATTGGAGGGAAGGGTATAAGAAGGCACTGATAGCAGCTATAGTAAAACTTGAGAGCAAGAATGAAGTAGACACAAGCTATTACAAAAACAAAATCACAACAAGCATGGATCAATGCCTCTCTTACCTTCAATACCTTTAGTGTTTAAGCAAAGGATACGGTGGATGGGGAGCATCCACAATTTATGACTTGATAAAGGGTCAAATATTCTTAAGGATCATTCTTAATTGTTAAGAACTGACTGAATTACAGGCAGTGTATACTGTTAAACGGGAAGATAATACTTGCCAGACAGACTGCTGCCAAAAATGGTTTGAAAATGCTTTTTTAGAAAAATTTAGTCACCAAAGATGCTAAATCAAAGAAGTGCTCTTATATTTATATAAAATTAAGAAAACATACAAGTAAAAAACACTTGCTCAAAAATTAAAGGTGTAAAGTATATTTGATTATTCCAGTGATATACTGTCAAATAAACAAGAAATTCAGTGGTTTTCCTAATTTGTGAGTGTGAAATCAAGGAGTCATTTGTTTTGAAAATAGTAAGATTCTTTACCATGTTGTTCTGAAAAGCTAATGAAAAGGCTATACACAATTTAACATTAATACAGTAACACCTACCTTTCCCACCTTGGTTCATGGCACCAGTGTCTCGTCCACACTGTCCTTTATTATTTACACCAAAGGTCCAAACTTCTCCATTCTTCATTAAAACACAAGTGTGTGCTTTGCCCATAGCTACCTGAATTACAAAATGGCCCTTCAAATCTGTTACCAAACCTATAGGAAAGATATGAATTTAATAAGAAACAACAAAAAAGCCTTTCTGAGTCTACCACCTCAATGTTGAACTTTTTTTTTTTTTAAATCCTCACCCAAAGATATTTTTTCAATTGATCTTAGAGAATGGAAGGGAAGGAGATGGGGGAGAGAGAAACATTGATGTGAGAGAGACACTGGTTGCCTCCCACACACTCCTCAACTGGAGCCGGGGATCAAACACACCCTTGACAGGGAATTGAACTGTGACCCTTGAGTCCAAGGGCCAATGCTCTAACCACTTAGCCAAACAACACCAGGGCTCAATGCAGAACTTTTCATTTCTGGGATAAAATAACCCACCAATATGAGAAATAAGTGGCCATAAGACTGGTACTAAATTAATTTTGTAATGTTATAATGAATCCCTAGCCAAAAGGATTTTAGCAAGCAATAGTTACACTGAGTATTATTTTTAAACTATACATGAGTCCATCCCAAAATTTTGATTCATTTGACATAAAGGCCAACTACAAATCTAATTATTACCACATTAAGCAACTCACATATCACCTGAGCACATTTCAACTTAATAATTGCTATGAATGTTTGCTATACGTCATTTCCCTAGGCTTTACATATTTACCTCATATAAACACCTTCTTAGTGGGTTGCCCAATCATTATACTCAATTCTAAGTGCCAGAAAGAAAACCTAGCAAACAAATATGATGTTTTTAAAATCAAAATTCATAAATAAAAAACTATCTGGTTAGTTCTATCCTTCATATTCACTTCTTAAACTTTTGTTTTACATGTCATTCAATCACTTAACAAGTAATTCTTGAGCCCCTATTATGCACCAGACGCTGTGCTGGGCACTGGGGATATAATCTATGCTAATAAAAGAGAAACATGAAAATGGGTGTCACTCTGCTATGCCCACCAGCCAATCAGAGCGACTATGCAAATTAACCCAACAAAGATGGCAGTTAATTTGCATATGTGGGCATGGAACAAAGACAGAAGGCTCCAGCTGAAGTGAAGACTGAAGACTGAAGAGCCTAGCCTCGAGGTTTGGCATCTCTGCTGCAGCCTGACCAAAGGCCTGGGTCCCGGGTGCCAGAGGTAAACCGGTGCCGGCAGCCAGGGGAAGGAAGGCCTATTGCGCGAATCTTCATGCAACGGGCTTCTAGTACTATGTAATAAAAGCCTAATATGCTAAGTGTCTTGATCATTCGTTTGACCATTCACCCAGTTGCTATGATGCACACTGACCACCAGGGGGCAGATGCTCCAACCAGTAGGTTAGCTTGCTGCTGGGGTCTGGCTTATCGGGACTGGGTGAGATGGGCTGGACACTCCCTGGAGCCATCCTGTGGTCCCTCCCCGCCCCGATCATGCACCGGTGGGGTCCCTCGGCCTGGCCCACACCCTCTTTCAATCTGGGACCCCTTGGGAGATGTTGGAGAGCCAGTTTCGGCCCAATCCCCGCAGGCCAAACCGAGGGACCCCACCAGTGCACCAGGCCTCTAGTAGTAAATAAGGGAAAGAGAATCTCTCCCTAACTACCTAACAGGGGGAGGAGAGGAGATAAGTAATTTATCATATATAAATCAGTTATGTTATAAAAATAATTTCCTCACAGCACTACCAGAAACATGTCACATGAGCATCTAACTGAGCTTAGGGAAAGCTTTCCAGATAAAGTAACAGCTGAAATACAGCTGCACTAGCCAAGTGCCATAATTCATTCTGATAAAACTAGAGTGTGTTCCCAAAAATAATACAGGAAGGAATCACAAAATGTTGTATTTGTAAGTAAATGTGAAAAATGTAGAGAAAGCAGTCTACAAATATTAATTTTCTAGACATATCTATGCAATACATAATGTCTAGTCTTGAACTTTCTTTGCATAAAAGTGAAATAGTGTTTAAATTTAACTTACTTGAACTATCAGAGTAAATGGCATCTTTTCCAAACATGTATAACTCTCCATCTTTAGAAATAACAGAACTACTTCCATTATTGCAGGCTGTATACACCACAATTTTTCCTTCCATCTTAATTATCTTTTTAGGTTTATAGGGTTTTGATTGCCGTCTGCTCTTAGCTTTAAAAAAGTTAAATTAAGGCATCAATGTACAAGTAAAAATAATTTGTATATAAACCACAAGGGAAAAAGACATGTTATTTGCACTTATGACACACTTTATTTTCACAAAGGCCTAGGTTTCCCAACATGTTAATTAAAATGTGTCAACCTTACAAGCCTCATCTAGTTAATTAAATTTAGACTATCAGTGTCATATCTTCTTCTTTGTAGCACAATGAAATTCCCAATGGGAAACACAATCTTCTACCAAACTTCTGGGAAGCCCAATCTCAAGATTAGCTATTTACATTATCAAAACCATTTCATTACCATATGTTTAAAAATTCCCTTTTCTCTCAAACTCTATCTTACATATATTCTTATGTTAGAACCTTGAAAGTAAAATCAGTTCCTCATTCATTCAAAGCATATTAAGTAGCTACACATAGTCAATGTGTAAGAAAGGGGAATATACAGAAGGAGGGAAAGTAAATAAATTCAAGGTAGAGGATTCAAGCAACCTCTGCTTTCCAAACCTAAATCCCTAAAATCAGTAAAATATGGGAAATATCCATCTTCCTGTTTCTTTATTCAACCCGAATTTTGCATGCCTTTCAGAATAAAACATTCTGCTGTGCGGGGTACAGTTCTGGGACTTAAAAATGCCATTATATCTTTTCATATAGCACTATCCACATAGATATACACAGCAACTGTGTTATTTGGTACTCTGAATGCTAAAGGAAAAAGTGGCTGTGCTAAAGCTTCTGACTATTTTAAGGGATTTCTTTCAAGGTCTTTTTATTTACACATGATTTTTACATTAGATGTTGACTTCAAACCTACTCCTCATAAGATGCTACCCCAGTGTGCTAGACTGTATAAAGTAAATGCAAAGTTATAAAAAGAGAAACAGGACACTTTGAGGAAGACTTCATTGCTAAGGGTTTGCTTTCATCTTAGAGAAATAACACCAAGAGCAGTGATCCATCAATAACTGACACTAATACAGAAGGTTACATAAGGTTTACTTTATTCTGAAATATACATTGCTCTCAAAATTTGGGGTTACTTAAAATAATATATTGAAATAAATAAGTTTGTAAAAATAGTAACAACTGACAAAAACAGAGAAATAGCCAATTAAACATAAAGCATATAAAAATTCATGCATATGAACTGCAGAATACAATCTGCAATCACAGTTCTTTAATAAACAGTATACCACCACCATTAACTGAATAAGCCCCAATTTAAAATCCTTTATTAACTTGGTGAGGTAACTGCAGTTGGAATTGATATGCCTTATGTTAATAAATTTTACACTATTTTTACTGACTATCCAGTTGATTAGTTAACTTACTTGACTCTCCATCTTCTCCTTTACTAGCAGATCCTGTAAAAAATATGCTGCCATCTTCTGCAACTAAAAGGGCATGTGAGCCATCATGTCCAACGGAAAAATGCACAATCTTTGGAGATTTTGTAATTGGTAGTTCAACCCATTTTCCTGCTGAAGGACCACCTTGTTTGATTCCAAGACTCTGGTATTTTCCAGTGTAATATATCTGATATGTAAAAAAAAGAAGAAGAAGAAGAAAGAATAGAAAACAGGACTTATAATGACTTTTGGAGTAGTGCACCAGGTTTTACCTGACAGAAAAAAACAACCTTCCATGTTTTATTGAAGAACAAAAATAACAAGAACCCAAACTCTTTTTTAATACTATTTGACTTACGTGAGCTGAGGAGAGAAACAGGCATATTTTTCCAAAAAGACAGAGTTCATAATAGGTTTTTCCTATCTATTCAGAATACTTATCTTTTGTCTCTCAATTTTATTTTATTTTTTAGTATTTCTTTAAAAAATCATTTATCTTTATTGTTGAGGGTATTATAAAAATAAAATCTACAAAAATTAAATTGATGCCTTAATTTAATGTAGCTTTTTTTAAGAAAAAATATTTATCTTTATTGTTGATGTCCCCCATTTTCCCCTACTGCCCCTCCTCAGGTCTTAACCAAGCTATTGCCTATGTCCATGGAATATGCATATATGCAAATAAGTTATTTGGTTATTCTCTGTGTCTCCCCTCACACACACCCCGCCCCCCCCCCACACATATATGTAGGGCGCGGCTATAGGGTTAAGCCTCGACCTGACCTGTTGGCAAAGCCACAAACAAGTCCCAGCTTAGAGGCACAGTCCTCTTAGCATAATTAGGCTTGACCTTATGACGCTCCCTAGACCTTATCTGGGAAGCTAATAGGCTGTGGGAGATGCAGCAAGCCCTGCCAAAACAAGTGAAACTCACAAGAATATTGTAACTATGGTGACCACTACCTTATTTACCTCTGGCTATAAAATAAAGGCTCAGCTTGCCTCTGGATCTCTCTCTCTGTGGCCTCAGCCAGGCACAGGAAGATCCACCTAGACCCAGCTTATTCTCTTTGTCTGTCATTTCTTCATCCATTCGCCGCCCTCACTCAGGCTTTCGAACCCTTGTCTGAGCTGGCCCGATGCACGCACACGCACACACACACACTTCCCTCTGAGATCCATCAGTCCCAGCCATACTTCCATGCCTCTGGGCCTATTTTGTTCCTTGGTTTACTTTACAACTCAAACTCAACAAAAGGAATCCAAAGAGGACATATGGACAGCATATAAAAAAGTGCTCAAAGGCACTAATCATCAGAGAGATACAAATTAAAATGACAATGAGGTATCACCTCACACCTGCCAAATTGGCTACCACCAATAAATCAACAAACAACAAGTGTTGGCAAGGATATAGAGAAAAGGGAACCTAGTACACTGATGGTGGGAATGCAAACTGGTAAGTCACTACGGAAAAGAATATGGAATTTCCTAAAAAAATTAAATATGTGATCCAATGATCCCACTTACAGGAATATATCCTAAGCATCCCAAAACACCAACCAGAAAGAATATAGGCACCCCTATATTCACAACAATGCTATTTACAATAGCTAAGATTTGAAAACAGCCAAACTGTCCAAAGTAGATGAGAAGATTAAAAAAAGCTGTGATACATTTACAGAATGGAATACTATGCAGCTGTACAAAAGAAGGATCTCTTACCCTTTGAGACACCATGGAGGGACATGGAGAGTATTATGCTAAGTAAAATAAGCCAGTCAGAGAAAGACAAGTATCACATGATTTCACTTATAGGTATAATCTAATGAACAAAATAAATCCACTAACAAAATAGGCCCACAGGCATGGAAGCATGGCACAGATTGACAGATCATCTTTCAATTTTATAAGATACTTTATAAGTATCCTGAATAGATATGAAAAAATATGTTTAATAAATATACTCAAAACTCAAAACACTTAAGTTCAGAAAATTCTCAAGTCATTTTCTCCAGTATAAAAAGCCCTACATACAAAAACACTGTGTTTGCATAGAAATTTTAGAATTATTTTAATTACCTTACTTTATCCTCAGAGGCACTAGATAAGAAAAAAGTTTTCAACTCCATAGATTGACCTCTACAATCTATAACTGAATTACACATGCTCCTACTTCCTCCAACTTGTAGTCTGTATATTTCTGCTCATTTATAGAAATTTGCAATGGATATCCTATTCATCAAAATAAACACAAAATGTGAATTTATCCCCAACTCAAAAAATTACACAAAGAGTCCCATAATTAAAAAGTAAATATTTATAAAAATATAAGATTTCATAAAGTTTTATATTCTTAAATGTCAATTTTCTTTCATACTTTAGCACAAAATTTTACCATATAACATGAAATAATTTAAATCAAAATTTAAAAAGATTGTTTACACATGTGAACTATATAAACTAATCAACTGATTGTACCGACTATCTCTTAAAGCAGAGAATGTTAATTTTTAATCCTAAAATAGTAATTTACCTTTCCATTTGCTGTTTTCATTAGTGCAAACTCTCGTCCTGCACCAAGAATTGCTGACTCCTCATCAAATCCTGTACCTGATAATACAACAAGACTAATAAATTCTATTATTTTAATAGAAATATTTCCACGCACAATTTGGACTATTTTGAGTAATTAAAAAGTCAATTCAATTAATATAAACAAAAACAAGTACGACAAAATGTCATATGCCTGAATTTTTGAAAATTATTAACAATAGGTACATTACTCCAAGGAAAGATATGGTTACCGTAAACTTCTTAATTTGCTCCAAACTAGTGCCAGATTAATTTTTTAAATATAAAAAAGTTTTTTAAAGCAATGCCAGCAATATCCCTTGAATTATTGAACGAATAACACATTTTTTAGTGCGCAGACATTATAGAATGCATTTAACCTTATTCTATTTGATCCTCACTGTCTAGTTTATACTGTCTAGTTTATAAATAAATAAATATAAAGCTTGATGAGGTTTGTCCAGACCTTTGAGCATGAATAATGCCATGCAAATATCTGAATTAAGGTACTTCAAATTCTCCATTTCATGCTTTTTACTACAGAAAATTTTTATGAATTTGAGCACATATGTGTGCATTTCCAAATTATAAAACGAATAGTAAATAATTATATATGGCACATTTTATGATTTTGTCCAATTATACAAACTACTAATTAATTAGCTCATAGCATTGTTAAATTTAAAAACTATCATTTCAATTCAATATTTTTCTATGAAAAAATACTACAAAATTCAATTAGTATGCAAAGTAAATCACTATATGTTAAAAAGTGGCACTATTAACCCTGCAGCAGGTTTAACCCAAAAGTGAAACACCACGGAAACTAGTAGTACTAATCACTACTACAACACTGCAAGAATAATTACACTAAGTCTGAGAAATACACTGAGGTTGTCTCTATATCTGTATCAAAATGAAAGATTATTAATCAATTTGTTAGGTCAATTACCATTTCCACAATTTATAGGATCATTCTATGGCTATCCTGAAAATATTTTCAAACCAAAATTAAATGTTTCAAAAAGATAACTATGTATATCACTGTAGTAAAATTTTACAAAAGAAGTGTTCAAATTTTAAATAACTGAATATAGATGGAGCATATAAACTAATGATGTCCACAAGTGTTGTCCATCTAAGTCTTATCAAATGTAAACTTATTTTCTTTTGATCTATTGAAAATGAAAATGGAAAATTATTAGTCACTTCCTTAAAATAGCATTCATATATCATACTGTTTAAAGGCCATATTTCCTGGATACTTATACATATTAATTCATAAGTGTTCTTTAAAATAACAGCAAAATAGCTGCTAAAATATAAGCTACACTGCTGAAAACAGTGCTAGTCTTCAAAAGAATAAAGAACTTAAAAATTAAAATATGGAATAAAGGCTTATTTGACCATCGTACTTATAATATGCAAGTCCTTTTCCAGATCAAATAGCGAGATACCACAGGCGTGTAAGCATTTTCTGGCCAGTTTAAGTTGTAATTCTTGTTGTAGAACAGGTTCAGTGCTGGTGGCAAATATTCTGACAACAAAGCCATCCTAAAACAAATAAAACATCCACAGTATTATGTTGCATAAATTGATCTTTTAAGGCTCTATATTCCATTTAACACAAATCAAGTAATATATAAGAAAGGAATTGCATTTACATCAGCTACTCATGATTCAGAGTACTTACATCTCTTGAAGCAGCTATCTGATTAATATATTCTCCATCAGTGAATAAAATATTTTGACCTTCAGTGTGGCAATCTGTGCAGAAGGAAGAAAAAGTAATTCTTTTACAATATAAACCAACACCTCACAAAATGACTTTACTCCTCTGATGAAGTCAGAATGAGACTTTTCCACGCAATAAGGGTAAACTTAAACTCAAAGGGAGACTGTGCTTTTTAATAAAGAATTACAAATTAGCAGGAACTAAATAATTCAACTAATAATACTTATTACATTTTGTGCTTACATTTATAAATCTTCCATAATCAAGAAACTCAGAGCCCACCTACTTTCAAAATGAATTAGTATTAAAGTCTGATCATAAACATGCACCACAATAAACAAACTACAGTCATTGGTTATAATCATTTCAATACAATCACATGCGAATGTAAGCAACACTCTTCCTCGGACATACATAACAGGTATTAGTGTCACAGAAAAATACAGACGGACCTAAAACTTCTGTACTTGAATCTATGGTGCCCAACTACAGATATCCCTTGCTTTATAAAACAGAACTGGGTTTACAGTTTCTACTTAGACGTTTCATGCTTATTCCCAGCATTTTTAACAGTTAGCATGTTATACAATTTTTAAATGTTCATCCTTCATAGAACAGACAAATCTATGCTTATGTAGTTCTTTTTATCTGAAAGTGCTCATAAATTTTGGCTGGAATACCGTATTTTGTCAATATGTCCGTATGTGGAACAGTATACTATATACTTTGATTAAAATAATGCACAAGCACGATTATAACAAGGGATACCAGTATTACAGAAGGACCACTGGGGCATGTGTTAGTGACTGCTACTAAATAACATGAATCTACAAGCAAAATCAACATCTAAGCATAAACTGTATCCTTTTGGAAAAATAAATGTTCAGCAAGCAAGTAAAAAAGCACACACGCTTCCCAAAATAACTGCAGAGAACTAGGATGAATCACTCCATTAATTTACAATACCAAGAAAATAATATTTAATTTCTATTTGCACCTGAATCAACAAAACATAAAATTCTGTTTTTGGAATGCAGTAATGGAACCCACCCAAATAAGATGGATTACTCTGTATCTTTGCCCAGGAGCTTCATACTAGCATACTTCTTTAATATAAATATGCAAAACACAGGCAGACCCTTACCAAATAGAGAATTCAGTGATCACAAACTGGAAATAGAAACTGGGAGACAAGGCCCACTGGTAGCCCAAGAGACTTGGTAATCAAAGAGAGGAGAAATCGAAAGAAAGAGTTCCTAGTCCACTGTACAGAATACAAAGAGGCGCAAGAAAGATGCTTCTCAAGCTCTAAGCAGTAAGATTTTAAACTAAAAAGCAAAGAAGAAAAACTCATTATAATTCAGATAATTGCAGGGGTGAGGACTGAAGCGGCGCAAGAAGAGTAGCAAAACCCTCATGATCTGAGGCAACCTGTCACCAGACATGGAGAGTAAATGACATAGGATACAATACAAGAAATATGCCAACACATAAAGGCTAAAATAACAATTAATAGGGGAAAAATTACGTTTTAAGTTCATCAATGCTGGGTTTAAAACAACTAATTTATGAACTAGACTATAAGACAAGTTGGATCATGAAGCTCAAAGAATTACCAGATTTATATCAATTTTAAACATGGTATTCAATTCTGTCTATATCCAGACAATTCACTTCTGCTTGTACTTGATTATAAAGCTATAGGGTAGAGCTGCCTGTAGCTAGAAAGAGAGAAGAAAAAAAAAGTGCTGTTGAAGAAATTGCAGTCCAGGTCAAAGAAATGGAAAGATGGAAAAAGGCTTCTTCAGGCTTGAGGGCAAGTCTTCCTGCTGTGTGATTTCAAAAAGGTTTTCTCTTTATCCTTTCTTTATCCATCATGTAATGTTATAAGACAGCATCTTCAGGAAATATCGAGCAACATCTGCCAGTTCGTAAGGCACACAACATGGGACTATCCTCCCAAAGTTTGTTTCATTCTTCACCGTGAATACGATACATATTTATGAAACACAGAAAGCCACACTTGTATTGGTAAAAAGTCGCATTTCATATGTTAAATAATGTAAGCTGAAGACAGTAGTAAGTTATTTTTTATCATGGTGTAATAAATACAACAGCTGAAGATAGACCATTTAAAAATGGTCTTCTCAGTCAATCTCTATTAAATGAGGGTTTCTCAGAAGTAAATTGTTTATATTAGTATCCATCTGTTGGACGAAGGTTAAGAATTTCTTTCAGTATATTATCCTAAAATAACTTGCACAAAGACAGAGCAATAGGGACACTCATTATGGTGTAATTTATATTGCAAAAAATTGGAAGAAACTTCCATCTCAATATGTTAATGAATGGAATATATTTTGTAACATTAAAATTATATTGTGGAAGACTAATAGCCTGGAAATTTATTCATAATGATTAGTGAACAGGATAGGTTAAAAAGCAGTATGTAGCATAAAATCACTTTTTTACAAGTATGTACACATACATAGGAAAAAGATAGGAAGGGCATTCACCAATATGTTATAATATTTATATATGGGAAGTGGAGTTACAATGAATTTTGTTCTTTTTGTTTAGATAATACTATACATTTAATACAAGGTGGGACAAAAGTAGGTTTACAGTTGTTTGTATGGAAAATACAATAAATAAATAATAATACAAGAACAAACTGTGTTTTGTGTATTTACAATTATAAATCTACTTTCCCCCACCCTGTATAATCCCTTTTATATGGGGACACACATTATTACTTTAAAATATGTAATATTACTATTATTACTGTTATTCGAACCAGAGACATGGTCCAAACTTGTGATATTAAAAAAAATTCTGTACAGATATCTAAAAACAGATGACTATTTACAAATTGTTTTAATAAGTCATCTGTTTTCCAAAGTAGCTTTTTTTGTGAAACACACATAAAATGTGGCATTTTCTTTAACAGAGTGTCATTTATACTAATTTGGATATGTGTATATATAGCAATGCTCAAATAAATGTTTGATGAAGTTATAAAAATATATTAAAAAATTCACAAGCAGGCTGGGAGCAACTATCCTTCCCAATGTGATCTTCAGAAGTAGTTCTCTATCATTTTCAGATGGCGAAGTGCACAAGAGGTAATATTGCTGCTTACCATGAAATTATTGATAAATATATTAAGTATTCAATATTTTAATATAAAGTCTTTCAGAATCTACTAAAGGTATAAGCAAATTCAAAGACTTTCCAATTGAGAATATATTATACATTTGCCCAATATTCCACAAAATTTAAGATCTACTCCCTCAGAATTTAGACAGCTCAGTGATTTGAGTGATAAATATGAGTAAAACCTCACAATTAAACCAAAGGAATCTTATCAGAGTATTATTAAAAGCATAAATGGAATTTTTAAAAATTCCTGACCTGCCCTGAAATCTTTGTCTGTGAAAACCTTTTAAAAATAGAAGAAAACCCAAAGTGCATTGTTAAAGTAAAAATAAACAGGAGGTTCTTTATTCCAGCTATGAGAGCCAAAGCTGTGGTTTTATCAAGAACAACAAACATCACCCCACTAATTCAGCAGCTGAAATAGCCTTGGTGGGGGGTCAGGCTGCACACGGGCAATAATTTAAAATAAAATAAGAAAACACTTTATACTATATCCTTGATGTTTGTTTTCCTTAGATGTATTAACTTTATATAGACTATAAGATATTTTGCATGTCAAGATTTTTTTAACCTATTTGTAAACAAGCACTTTTCCTTGCTACTCATTCTTTATATGTCTAAATGGCTTAACATGCACATCTCTTAAAATCAAATATGAAGAAAAAAATGAGGTGTTCACTAACATACCTGGTAACATGACAGTACCATCTTGTTCCAGTGTTTCAGGGCTTATTCTTATGGCTGTCATGCTGTGGTTATTCACATCTCTATACAATAAATAACCCTGATAACAACAAAAAATTTTGCTATATTATGTGTTAATTTTTTTTTTATTACCAACTTAGCAGTAAAAGTAGTCATACAGTTGTGTATTATGGTTTTTTGAGATACAATAATACATCACTATTGATGTGTAAAATAGGGTAAAGATTAAAAATATAAGAACATGGGTAAACTTTAATAAGGAGAAATTGTATATCACTGGGTATCAATTAACCTGTTATATTCTCAGATACACTTATTAGACCCTAGAGGCCCAGTGCACGAATTCGTGTATGGGGGTGGGGAGAACCATGGGAGGTTGGCCAGCTGGGGAAGGGACCATGGGAAGTTGGCTGGCCAGGGGGAGGGGCTGCGGGAGGTTAGCCGGCCAGGGGGGAGGGACCTCGGGAGGCTGGCCGGCCAGGGGGGAGGGACCGTGGGAGGTTGGCCGGCCAGGGGGAAGGGACCGCAGGAGGTTGGCTGGCCGGGGGGAGGGACCACGGGAGGTTAGCTGTGGGAGCGCACTGACCATCAGGGGGGCAGTTCCTGCATTGAGCGTCTGCCCCCTGATGGTCACTGCGCATCATAGCAACCATCTGTTCCACTCTTTCAGTCATAACAGTTGCTTAGGCTTTTATATATATAGGTTCTACACTGGACAGCACATTTTGTTCAAAATTATTATATCACTTGCTAAGTAAATAATAGAAATGACCACTGTTAGTTTAACAAATATTTTAAGGAAAAATAACAGAAATATTTAAGTTAATATTTAAAAATAAATAAAGTAGTAGTTTTAGTGATATGCCCCTGAACATATTTTTGTAATGATTATTTTCCATGGAATTATTTCTTAGATAAAATATAGTAGTGGCAAATAAAAATTCGATGAGACATTTTAAACCAGGTTAAGTTTTAAGAGACAATTACTGAGAAACTGACATTTTAAATTTTAATTTCAAAATCCCCCCAATAGTTGGTATAGTAGGATTATTTTTCATTTAACAATAGTAATTTCTTTAATTTTCAAAATGCTTTTGAATATCTTTTACTATTTGATACTAACAACAAACAGTGAGCTGGGCAAGGAACGTCTTTATTCTCTATCTTCCACAAGGGACTTTGGCTTCACCTCTCAAGTAGGGATAGTATAGAAATCAACACTTCTGACCCCTCTGTGCATCGTTTATTTGCTTCTCTCCAGAGGAGGAGGAGTGATGTATCTGATAGTGGACACTCATTTGGCCATGTTTGTCAGGTGATAAGACAGCAGCATTAAGAAAGCAACATAGGCCCAGCTCTTTTTTCTCTTTGGTGATACTTTGCATGATCCTCTGTGTAGGTAGCTATCTACTGGAAAGACCATACACTGTTCCCTGTAAGGTACTGGTTTAGATGAAGAATAAACGAGTTTACAGTTCTAACTTGGCCTCAGGTCACAGCTATATTCCTATTGCAGATTTGCTAATGATAAAGGCAGTCTTTGATTTTTATCTAGAGGCTCACTTAAAAGAGAAGTCCAACAGAAGACATTTTATCCCCATTTCACAGCTAAATCATAGACAATAAAATAATTTAACTGAGTTGACCAAAGTCACATAGCTAGTAAGAAGCAGGGCAAAAACTAAAAGTAGGCATCTAATGAATTCTAAGCCAAGTTCTTTACACTATACCATGCCACTGTTATAGACATATTATTAAAAATATATCATATCTATTTAAATAGAAGCGATATTATTTATTGATTAAACAAGTACAAACCACGTTTTTAAAAAATGAGAAAGAAAAGTTTTGTCGATATTCTCCTACCTGAGCATACCCTAACCAAGACTTTTTTTCTTTTCTGTTTCTGATGCGAGATGTAGAATTATATATATGGCCCTGCAAAATAACAAAAGTTAGTCTACCAATAGTTTCATCATTAATAACCAATAAAAAATAGATGAATGATATTTAACACATTTGTTTCCATTATAATTTTTCAAAGAAATACTATTATATCAAAATTAGATGGTACTCTGAAAATGAAGCTAGAAACAAACAGAACACAAATCAGTGTGGATATAACTTCTGTTATGATTAAGAACCATAAGAAATCACATTACCCTAACTGTTCCACTGTATCCAGAGCCTATTTTGTATAATCCATCCTTGCATAGCAGATAAAGAAAAAATCCATCATTCTGAAGTAGACACTGATCATCTTCATCAACAGATATTTCTTTTAATGGCCACCTGTGCATTAAAGCTGCTTTCTTAATGCCATTGCTAAACCAGTCCTGAATTTGAATTTTTCCCACCAACACTGCCTGCACACTTCTCTGTAGTGAATTTAGTATCGTTGGCACCTATACAAAAGAGAAGGAAAAAAAAAACCATAAAAAGACATTGTTAACATAAAACAGACAAAATAAAGACACTTTAATCATGTATAATCATTTATAAGAAAATAAATTGTTACAATTGCATCAATAGAATAAAATACCTAGGAATAAATTTAATCAATGATGTTAAAGACCTGTAATCTGAAAACTATAAGACACTAATAAAAGAAATTAAAGACGACACAACAAATGGAAAAATATACTGTTCATAGATTAGAATTAATATTGTTAAAATGCCAATACTATCCAAGTAATCTACAGATTCAATGAAATCCCTATCAAAATACTAATGACATTTTTCACAGAAATAGAACAAATAGTCCTAAAATGTATATAGAGTCACAAAAGACCCTGAATAGACAAGGCAATCTTGAGAAAGAAAAACAAAGCTAAAGATATCACACGTCCTGATTTCAAACTATACTACAAAGCTATAGTAACCAAAACAGTATGATGCTGGCACAAAAACAGACACACGGATTAATGGAACAGAATAGAGAGCCCAGAAATAAACCCATGTTTACATGGTCAATAAATCTATGACAAAGGAAGCAAGAAACAATGGGGAAAAGTAAGTCTCTTCAATAAGTGTTGTTGGCAAAACGGAACAGACACATACAAAAACATGAAACAGGACCACTTCCTTACACCATATATAAAAATAAATTCAAAATGGATTAAAGACTAAGATATGCAACGTGAAACCAAAAAATTATTCTAAAAAAATATAAGCAACAAACTCTTTGACATCATTCTTAGCAATATTTTTTTTGGATTTGTCTCCTATGGCAAGGGGAACAAAAGCAAAAAAATAAACAAATGGGACTATATGGAACTAAAAAGCTTTGCATAGTGAAGAAAACCATCAACAAAACAAAAAGGCAACCTAGTAAATGAGAAAAGATATTTGCAAATGCTATATCAGATATCCAAAATATATAAAGAACCCATACAATTAAACAGAAAAAAAATCTGATAAAAAATGAGAAGAGGACCTAAATAGATATTTTTCCAAAGAAGATATACAAATGACCAACAAATACATGAAAAGATGCTCAACATCACTAATCGTCAGGGAAATGCAAATTAAAACCACAATGAGATATCACCTCACACCTGTGGGAATGATTATCATCATAAAAACAATTAACAATAGTGTTGGCAAGGATCTGGCAAAAAGGAAACCATTGTGCACTGTTAGTGAGAATGTAAATTGGTACAGCCACTATGGAAAACAGTATAGAGGTGTTCCTCAAATATTTAAAAAAAGAACTAGCATACAATCCAGCAATCACACTTCTTGGTATTTATCCAAAGGAACTGAAGACACTAATTTGAAATGATATATGCACCCTAATATTCACTGCATTATTATTTACAATAGCCAAGATATGGAAGCAACCTCAGTGCTCATCAATAGATGAATGGATAGAAAAGATGTAGTACATATAAACAATGGAATATTACTTAGCCATAAAAAAGAATGAAATCTTGTTACTTGCAATGAACCAGAGTTTCATTCATACAACATATGAAAGTTTCCATTTTTACTTTTTGTTTCAGATACTTTATATTGATGTCTACTATGAAAGATGATGCCCCTCCCCTTCCTAATCCTCAAAATTGAGCTACTTAACCAGTTAACTACCACGCATCCAAAATGGAAACCATCCCCACATGCCACGATATTTTGAATTTAATTTAAAAAATCAATTTGCAATGAATATTATAAAAATAAATATATTACTCACAATTCGGGTGTTCTTGAATATTTTCAGCTGAAAATTCTCATGAAAAATGATTTAAAGTTAGTCGAGGCTGCCACTTAGGGAAAAGATTTTTTTTTTTTTAATAGACGCACGTGGCGTGTGGGGAAGGTCCGCCGCTTGCGTCAATGGACGCTTATGGTGTACAATGGGTTAATAATTTCTGGTTAAATCAGTATACAGAGGTCACTTTATTATGAATGTGTAATCATATTCAAGAACTAAGTCAAATTATAAAACATTTCTCACCTTACATAACTTTTCTTTGTTTTGTCCAGTCAACAACTGACCCATTTTTGCATATGCTAAGTTATCTCTATAACTATCTTTAAGTGTTACCCATACTCCTCTCAATAAAGTAAAACATCATTTCCATTTTTCCCCTGCTTTAGTAGAGACTAAGGATAGTAGCAAACATAAAAGTGAAAATTGTTCCATACCTAGCATGTTTGAATGCATCGTTATCTTTACCCAAACATGACCGATGATTGAGCTAGGGATGGTGAACAGCATTTCCCCACCTCCCTCTCTTTAAAGGCACTGTTCTGCTATTTTCTATGTCAGTGTTGCTTCTGAGAAGTGCAAGGCCATTCTGCTTGATCTTTTTGGTACACAACCTGTCTTTGCTTTCTGGAAGCTTTATCATCTCTTTATTACCACTGTTCTGATTTTGTAAAGGTATGTCTAGTGTAAGCCTTTTTCATTCATTGTATTAGGCACTCAGTGCATTTTTTTTTTTGTCAATATGAAATGTTTATATTTGTGGTGAAGAAGTTTTCTTTGTAAATTTTCTTGGGTAATTTCTTCCTCTCTGCTGGATACCTAGATATTGGATTTCCTAGTTGGATCCTCTAATTTTATTTTATGTTACACATCTCTCTCTCTCCCTCTGTCCCCTCACCAATTCTCTCTCCTCTCCTCCCCCCTCTACCCACCCCTTTTCGCTATCTCTCCTCCCCACCTCCCTTCTCTTTCTCTTATTTTCTGAGGACCTCTTCAACCTGATCTTCTATATTACAACTATACTAAACGTTTTTCAGTCTTCAACATTCCACTCTTATTCTTACCTCCATGCCATAGCACAGTGATACCAAGAATATTCTCTCCATACCCCCAACACTAACACCTCCTGCCTCTGGAGTGTCTCATTTTTAACTCATCATTTAAATCTCACCTCATATCCTGGTTAAAAAAAACAAGAACAAAACACACACACACACACACGCACAAATCACATGGGTGCCTAATAAGCTCATGTGTTTATGTTCACTATACTTTTAAAATTTGGTATATGATATCAGAATGTTTGTTATTTTATTAAAATTTAAGAAGTATTTATATATTTCAGTATATATTTATATTAAAATTTTTGCCAAACTCTTAAAGCACAGCAGCAGAACATATTTTGAAAAACACTGCATAGAGGAACTTCAAAATAATTCAGGATAACCCTAGTTGGTTTGGCTCAGTGGATAGAGTGTTGACCTGCAAACCGAAGGGTCAAGGGTTCGGATTCTGATCAAAGGCACGTACCTCGTTTGTAGGTTTGATCTCTGGCCCTGGCCAGGGTGACTGTATGGGAGGCAACCGATGATGTGTCTCTCTCACATCGATGTTTCTCTCTCTGTCTCTCCCTGTCCCTTCCACTCTCTCTAAAAATTAATGGAAAAGTATCCTCGGGTGAGGATTAACAACAACAAAAATGAAGGATCATAAAGAGGGAAAAGAGGATTTCAGGCAGGACAGAAAAAGGAAAAAGAGTAAGAATAGAAAATTAAAGTAAGGGCACAACTCATGTTTGATAAGGAGAGTTCAATATCACTGAGTAAGTCCCAGAAATGATTCATTATACTCCTTTTGCTATCTTTGGCCTGCTTAAAACAGGATGGAGGTAGCCTTTCCATGTTCTGGAGCTTATCCAAGGGGCCAGAGAAAAGTAGTAACTTCTTACTCAATTTCCAAAACCATCCAAAATAATTAAATCAAGTTTACATATTAGGATGATATTTCCCACCACTAACAATGACAGAAAGTTTATTCCATAAATATTAAAAGCTTAAAATGTATTATGCAAGTTAAAGTAGCTCAGAAACAAATCATGAAAAACTATAATCAACCGATCAAAAATATAGTAGAATAATACCATATCTTTTTCTTTAAACAGAGAAAAGATGTTTGGAAACTATGAAGAAATTCCATATTTGAAAATTTAGGGCAAGAGAGGTGGGAGAGGTTGGAGAGCATGATGCCACAGAGAAAGATAAGGCTGTGGTGCTGACACAAAACTAAGCTCAAGATCTGCATTTTTGCCAAATTTCATTTATTACCTTTAATGCTACAGAGTTAAACACACATATAGCTTAGCTTGAATATGATACATTACTTATATATCAACTTTGGACAGATCAAACTATTACACAGACTGAGAAAAATCAGGAACTCCTAATGATAGAAATCAAGATGAAATCAGCATCTTATCATTTTCAAAGCAGCTATAAATATGAAATACCTGAATAGTTTGGCAAGCATGGCTGCCATTGTTGGTGAGGATAGCAGAGATGGCCTGAAGTGTCCTTCCTGTTTCTCCCCAAGAAGCCACCAGACTAAAGAGGCAAGCACAGGAAAGTGCTGTCAGAGACTGTCCTGTGCTGTCATTCATGCCAGTACTTCGAACAGTGATTTCCAAAAGGAGCTGGAAGAGAGACTCTGTAGATAAAATAGAATTCAATTATATTCACTCAACGGACAGAACATTATATGCAGATAATTATTTATTTTTACCTTTGCCTCATTACAAAAAAAATATTTAAGGCAGCTTGAATACTTATTTTTGCATTAGTTCCTTCTAGTTACCCTTTTTTTCAAAGAAGTTAGAAGATTTATATACAGAGGACCTTAGAAAACATTAGTTCAGTTCCTCATTTTCATCAATAAAGACATGGAATGTATCCAAGGTAATTTATAAGAAACTTTCCTTGAGGCATTCACATATGCCAGAAACATCCTATAAAGTAATAGACTATTTATTGAACTGATTTTACCTTTAAGGGAAAAATACGAGCTTCTTAAAATGTTAAGTGCCCAGAAAATTATGTATTTATTTGCAAAACAACAGAATACATAAAATATGTGCTGTAATTTACTTTATTATAAAACTAGAGGCCCAGTGCATGAATTTGTGCACAGGTGAGGGCCAGCCGGCCCGGCCCCAACCAGGGTGGATCGGGCTGGGCCTGTCTGGAGGAGGAGATGGTGGGAGGTTGGCCGGCCGGCCCGCCCAGATCGGGGCCCAATCAGGGCTTGACCAGCTGGGGGGAGGGGCCGTGGGCAATTAGCTGGTGACTCCCGCCCCCGATTGGGGTGGGGAGGCTGATTGGGGGCGGGGCCAGCCATGAGGCGGGGCTATGGGTGGTTGGCCAGCCAGCCCTGCCCCTGATCGGAGTGGGGGGGGGGCAATTGGGGGCAGAGCTTGCTCGGGGGAGGGCCGCAGGCCAAGCAGGGTGGTGAGAGCCCAATGGGGCGGGGCTGGCCAGGGGGAGGGGCCACAGGTGGTTGGCCAGCTAGCCCTGCCCCTGATTTGGGTAGGGGGGCTGATCTGGGGTGTGGCTGGGCAGGGATAGGAGCTGCAGGAGGTTGTCCAGCTGGTCCCACCCCCTATGGGGGGGGGGGGCGATCAGGGGCGGGGCAGACTTGGGGGAGGGGCCACGGGAGGTTGGCTGGCCAGTCCCACCCCATCCAGCCGGTTCGCTGGCTGCAGTGGGCATCATAGCAACCAGTTGTTCTGGTCGTTACGTCATTCTGGTTGCTGGCTTTTTATATATATAGACTACCTTTATTGCTAATATAGCAGTTCACACTTACAGAGGTGATATGTAATTCATTTTATACCCTAGAAAAACCTCCAATCCAAAAAAACAGATGTCCTCCTCCTTTGATTAGTAATGAAAATGGAAGCACAGGGAGGTTAAAAGATTCTCCTAAATCATAAACCCATTTAGTGGCAAAGATGGAAAAATAACACATGAATGTTCTATGGCTATCAGAAGTCTCCACACAAAATTCCCTGAACAACTCTGCCCAAGATTTGAATGGTAGGAGGGAAGGGGATACCTCTTTTCTAGAAGGGAAGGGGAATTTGAAAATCTTTAAAGAGTGACTACTCAGTCAGAAAAACTGAGAAAGATAAAGAGAGGGAGAAGGAAAGGGGAAGGAAGAAGGAGAATGAGAAAAAGAGAATTAATGTATCACAATTCTCTTAAAATTACGAAGCCATTTAGTTTGTTTCTTTGGGGGGTTGGGGGGTTTTGCTAACTCATGGAAATCTAGGCTTCCTCTATTCCTCATCATCCATACCTAATCCCTAATTAAGTCCTGCCAATTTTGCTTCCTAATTAATTCCTCCACTTTTCTACCTCATTACTATCTTCCCAACCCATGCTATCTTCATCTCTTTTTTTAAAAATATATTTTATTGATTTTTTACAGAGAGGAAGGGAGAGGGATAGAGTTAGAAACATCAATGAGAGAGAAACATTAATCAGCTGCCTCCTGCACACTCCCTACTGGGGATGTGCCCGCAACCAAGGTACATGCCCTTGACCGGAATCAAACCTGGGACCCTTTAGTCCGCAGGCTGACGCTCTATCCACTGAGCCAAACTGGTTAGGGCCTGTCTTCATCTCTTAATCAGACTACTAAAAAGTGTTCATAAATTTTAGCTCCTACCATTCACTTTTTCCTCTTTATAGCCAAAGAGAATTTTCAAACCAAAAATCTGGTTTTTCACTTAGTATCCATTTTCTTCTTTGTTAATTCCTTTTTGCTCCTCTTCCTTCTTTCTAGTCTCCGTCCCTTTCTTCACTTGTGTTTCCTTTTTCCATCTAACCTTCCCCTTTGCCTTCCCTCCACCTTTCCCTCCTTTCCTCCATCCTTCTTTCCATTCTTTGTCCTTCCTTCCTTCTATTATTATCCTTCGGTCCATTAATCTTTTAATTATTCAGTAAACACTTCCTGAATTCTTCCTATACATCAGGAACTATTCAAGGTTAGCATAGTACATTGGCAAACAAGACAAAGAATGCTTCTGTCATCAAATGTTAGATTCAAATGAAAGGAAACAGTGTAAGTGATATAAAATAATGTTTTAAAGCATAAGAAAATAGAGGGTAATTTTCCATTCCTCCTAGAGCACTAATCAGACTCCTTTAACATGGCCTATCAAACTCCACATGATCTAGTCCCTGACTTTTTCCTCACCTCTGGCAAAGCTGTCGCTCTTTTTAGTCATTTTCCTTCCTGTCTCAGAGCCTTCCCGCATGCTGTCCTTTCTGCCTAGAAACTTAGTTAATTGCTTCCTACTTACCCTTTAAATCTCAAATGCCACATCTTGAGGAAAGTCTGTTATAGACTCTCAGAATTCCCTCTGCTTTCTTCTATGCTACTCCACATTTGAAATCATATAGTGTCCAACTGTCTGGTGCTAAGTCCCATAACAGCAATAACAATGTCTGGATTGATTACCCTTGAATGATAGCTCTTAGCACAGAACATAGGAGGTGCTATTACATTTAAGTAACTACTTGAGAACATATATTATAACCTTAAATTGAACAGAAGTATAGATATAAAGGAATATTTTTTTAACTATACAATTTGTAAACCAAAATCCATTTTTAAAAAAAAAGAAACTTAGTGTATAATAATCATCAAGCTATTCCAATAGCAAAAGTGAAACATATACATACATTTCATGAAATATATCAAAGTAGAAAAAAAGTATAACTAATGTGGTTATATTAGAGCAAAAGAAAAAAGCAGACAGATTTCAATATAAATTTAGTTTAAAAAAAATTACTTACATCTTTGATCTAATGAAACAAAATAAAATATATGAAGTGATCATAAATCCTTCAAAAGAAAAATAAGTCAAAGTAGTAATCAGAAAGAAGCACTTAAAGGATAGAAGAGACTAGCAAATCAAATCCAGCAATATAATTTTTTAAAATACAGGAGATAATGTAACAAGTAAAAATATTTCCTCAATAGATATTATATCATCAAATGTCAATCCTAAAATTAAATTATGAATTTAATTTAATACCAAAAATGGTTTTTTCGTTTAAATGAATCCTAAAATATATGTGGAAGAATAAATAAGTATTGAAGTATTTAAAAAAAGGATAGAAGAGAGAACAAAGGTTAACAAGAAAATAAAGGCAAACAAATTAATCAGTTGAAAGTTTTGATACAAGATGATTAAGCTAAAGAACACATTATAATTTCAAAACTCAGTATTATGAACAAGATCTATTTTTAAAAGAATAAATGAAAGGGAGTATTTAGGTATAGGCTGGATACAGAAAAAAGTATATAACAACTGATAAAAGACAACAGAATGGTAAAAGGTCTAGGAGAAGAATGATTATCATGTTGTTCAAAGTAAGAAATAGGATATACAGGTGTTAGTGGATATTTTTAATATTTCAATTTGTTAATTGACAAACCATAGCTAAGAATAACTAGTAAAATATTCTTAAGTAAAATTAATCAATTAATCAATAAATTCTTCAGTAAAATGCCATGAAATCAAGTAGTGCATTACAACAGTAATACTTGTGCTACCATGTTAATAACCAACAAGCATGACAGCTTTTATTTGGTAGTAGCATTTAATAACATGGGGTGGGAAGCCGGGGGTGGTTGGGGATGGCTATTGTTTTTAAAAATCCTCAGCTTGCTTTCATAGTCAGCACTCCCTTCCCCCACTAAAATAAAACAACAAACATCAATTACAAAAACTAATCATCATATATGACCGAAAAAGAATAATCTGACATGTAATTAGGTTCATGAAATTACTTCTCACATGTAGATCTAATGAAATCCAAATAGTCAAGTAAAGAAGAAGGATCAAACTCTAGTCCAGATCAGCAGTGTGATCCCCAGACTGGGAGTATTGGCATCAGCCAAAAACTATTCCAAATGCAAATTCCTGGGTCCCGCTCCAAATCTAGAGAACCAGAAATTCCACAGATGGGGCCCATGTGACTGATACATGCTTGATGCTTGAGATTTTAAAAAAATGCAAACTCTTCAAAGGCATGGATAGCTTCAGAGAAAAGCAATTACCAATTTCAAAATTAGGTCTCCATCTCTATTTCTATTTCTTAAGAACTCCTAAGTCAATGGCATGTAAGCAAGTATTTACAGAATTCTAATACACTTTAAAAGAAAGCAAAGATTTTTATTTAATAGAAGTTGCTACTAATTTAGAAGCTTTATAACAAAACTATACTTTTATCTATTATGAATTTTTTTAAAAGCCCTTTTTTTAGAAACCTATTGTGCTGTTTGGGTTGGTAGCATTTGTCCTGTTTTTCCTATCTTTTTAATTGTCCAGAGCAACATATAAAGTTAGAAAAAGTCAGTATTAGATATTTTGGCCAAAAGTTTAATAAGAATAATTTAAGTTAATAGTGACTATAAAGCTTGAGGATTACTTCTGGGTACCAAGGATTTATGTTTTGCTATTTATCATCAGAATAATAAAAATATGTCTGTCTGTACATGAACTGTAACTCTTGAACCATAACTATGGTAGAATATAGCAAAATACCTTAAAATTTATATCCCTGCTGTTTCAATACCATAATTAAACAAAGACTGCATTACAGGTTGCTGTATGTGCTTCAGGAGAAACTCTTTACATTAAAGACTTCAATGCCCCTGAGTTCTTACCTAGGACCTCTGGTGGCTCTGACTGGAGGCCTTCTGGCTGCTGACCCTGAAGCACGTTCAGCAGGGCTTGGAGACTCCTGAGGCACAGGGATGGATGAGAAAATCGTGTCTCCTTGATCAGTTCAAAAACTTCACAAAGTCCAACCTCAATGATCTATTTAAGATGGAAAAAAAAATTATACCTTATAACCAGACAGTTTAATAGGAACAGCTTACTTCCAAAGCAAATTATTAATGCTTCAATATTTAAAAAGCAAAAAGAAACACATTTTTTTTTTTAAAAAAAGGAAGACCCAATATGTTTAATTTTAAGATTTAGGTTTAAAAACCATTCAGTTACATGGATGGTTAAAAAATAGTGGCACTGTTTAAAAAGCAATTTTAGAATGAAGCCATAATAAAATATCATGAAAATTGTTTGTAACAGTGAACTAAGTACTATAGAATGCATTCACTCAGAAAAAATAAACTATTAATTTACAAAGTTCATTTGGCTATACTCAAGCAAATCAGCATTCTTTTTGTTCATAATCATGTTAATTGCTACTTATAGCCAGAAAAAAAAGTCAACAAAGCATACATGGTGAAAAGATGAAAGTAGGAGTTTTTCACCTTACCCTATCCTATTATGGCACAATTGTCCTATTATTATTTATAGACAGTGCCCCTTCTTCTTTTAGGTTTTATCATGAAAAGAATTTAAAACTGTCTAGCTAAAATATCACTACTACTTGTACTTTATCTTATTATTCCTTATCAGGATCTAGCCAAAGATAAATAAGGCAGTAACTAAAGAATTAGAGAGAAATGTGATGAACTGGTATAAGGAGGTAGCTTCAGACTGATATACCAATAGATAATGAAATTCCACTTATCAGTTAATGCCAGATATATGATATTTTCAGGTGTTAAATTTGGAGAAGTAAGAATAATTAGTATAAATTTATCAAAGCATTAATACCATTAGATATAACAGTGGAAGAGTATTCTCTCTACTGAGATCTCTACTGAGATGTGTGCATTAATTCATACATATTATATATATGCATACATATACACACACACACACATATATATATGCACACACACACACACACACACACACACACACGAGACTCAGTGCACAAAATTCGTGCACTGGAGGAGGGGGGGGTGGTCCCTCAGTTCAGCCTGCCCCCTCTCATAGTCCGGGAGCCCTCAGGGGATGTCCTACTGACAGCTTAGCTGCAGCTGGCCTCCCTCTGTGGGAGGCAACCGGGCTGATCAGAAGACGACGCCACCCCCATCACCCCGCTGCTGCTGCCACTGCCGGCTGCCGCAGCCACCAAGCTGTTTTCATCAACATGGACTCCAGTCCCTTCACCACGAAAAAATAACAACTTTCTTTAGGCATTTTCAAGATGTCTCTTTCATAGTATATGACATTTCTTTCTTTCTTTTTTTTTTTTTATCCTCACCTGAGGATATTTTTCCATTGATTTTTAGAGAGCGTAGAAGAGAGAGGAAAAGACATAGAGAACCATCAATGTAAGAGGGACACTTCGATTGGTTGCCTCCTGCATGAGCCCTGACCTGGGCCCCGGCCAGGGAGGAGCCTGCTACCTAGGAACATGTCCTTAATCAGAATCGAACCAGGACCCTCCCAGATGCTGGGCTGCGTCCTGGCTGCACGGCTGGGCCTGCAGCAGGGCCAAGGTAGTGAGCTGCGCCGCACGCCTGGATAGGCCGCCACTCGCTCCACCAGCTGCGGGTTGTGCAGCAAATACACTTTACACTTTGAAGCCTGACTTACAGTCACTGAGAACAGCACACTATACTTCCTGCTCCCTCAATATTAGGAAGAAAGAGTATATAAGAAGAAAACTATGTAATACATCAAATACAGTATGATTTCATTTGTGCAGACATATTTTTAATGTGTGTACATAAAAAAGTTTCTAGTGGGTATTTTTGGTTATTAGGATTTTAGAAGTACTTTCTAACTTTTAATTCATATTTCCTCTTTATAAAAAATTTTCTGCATTTTTCAATTATCTACAATATGTACTATCTTTATAATTAGCAAAATAAATCAATAAATGTAACTTTTAAATAGTTCATTATGATAATCAGATAACGCAATAAGCTTTAATACGTTCAATAATAAACCATAACTACCAATGAACATGGTCTTCCACTTCTCTTCAGAAAAGTCTTTTGTGAATTTTCTGAATTTTACCTTTACTGTTGCTTTTAAATAATTAAATCATGAAGGCTCTCTATTATACCTGAAAGAACACAAAATCCAAATAACTCCCTGATATAGCCAATCCAATATCACTACTGGGAAAAGTGAGATAAAAACATACTTGGCATAAGAAAAATGATTGAATGAGCCTTTCAAAGTTTTATTTTCCTCTCCTCCAATCATATATTTCCAAAGGTGATTTTATTATTTCACTAATAAGTGTGAACAAGAGAATTTAATTACATCACATTTAGATTTAATAATTATCTCTTTGCCATTATAACTTGTATCCTATTCTATTACAATCCTGATTATCAGTTCTAGTACTTCCAAAATACATTTTTAAAAGTTCAAGAGGAAAACAGAAGCAGATTTATATACTACTATCGAGTGAAGTATACTATTTTCTTAAAAACTTTTTATATAAAGTAAATATCTGGTACAGACAACATTTACAAATAACAAAAAATAAAAATCTAGAGGGGAGAGAGAGGCAGTCAGAATGCTATGGGTTAGGGCAGGGTGGGGAGTGAAACAGGTGATGTTTTTGGCAGCCATTTACATGACATAAAGGACTGACACAGAAGAAGAGTTGATGAGGTCTTTAGGGTTTGAAGTGATTGGAATTTGAGGGTAGGCAAGAAATGCTGGCATTTTGCTTTTCTTTTGACAGGTCTGTGCCTTTGTTCCAGATGCTAGTCTTTTATGTCAGTTCTTTCATTTTCTCTGTTGTTCCTCTCGTGCTCCTCCTGAATGTGTGACTTACTTTCCTTCTCCTCACCTAAGGTTTCTTTCTCTCTTCCTTTTTCTCTCACATAATGGAGAGAGTTTTTTGTTGTTGTTAAAGTATCCGTTTGAAACAATTTTTTCCTCTTTTTGACTTTTAAAAGTTAAAATAAATTTGTTATATAGACCTTGCTTGTCAGGGTTTTTTTGCTTTATGTTTTTTGTGGATCATTAATCATTAACATTTTAAAAAGGACTTTTTTTTAATCCCCACCTAAATGTTTCTATATTAAGTTTTTTTTACTCAAAACAGTTTTTACACAGCTCAAATTGTCTTTAATTATCTAATTTCCAGATCCTCTAAAGAGTTCCAAATTTTATAGCTACATAATTGTTTTATTATTATTGATTTTGGAGAGAGGAAGGGAGAGGGAGAGAGGGATAGAAGCATCCATGATGAGAGAGAATCATTGATCAGCTGCCTCCTGCATGCCCCCTACTGAGAATCGAGAATGCAACCCGGGCATGTACTCTGACCGGGAATCTAACTGTGACCTCCTGGTTCATTGGTCCACACTCAACCACTAAGCCACACTGGCCTGGGTAGCTACATAATTTGTAATAATGAAATTTAGGAGTCACACTTCCCATCTAGTCACATTTGAGGCTAGTCATGCCAGATATTTTATTAAAAGAAGTAGACTTACATAGACTAATTTACTTCTTAATTCAGTAAAAGTTTTTGAGTTTATAGCTTAGCTTATATTTATTATATTATATTAATTATATTATTATATTATATTATATTATATTGTATTATATTATATTATATTATATTATATTATATTCAAAATGATGCAACATTGTCCCAACCCTTAAGGAAGTTATGTGTAGTAAGGATAAGAGGCACGTCTAGTGTCTTAAGGGTTGATAGGGGCATGGTAGGTATAGTGGAACACACCGGGGAGTAAGGATGCAACACTGACTGAAGATGCACTTTTAGGCAGAAGAAACAGCATCATTAGGAAAGTACCAGTGGTCTATTTTGGCTAGAGTGGAGTGGCGGATTAGGGCAAAAGGCAGAGAGCAGAAGTTTGGCCCATGAAGGGCCTTAGATGTCATGTAACCACTTTCAGATTTTGTCTTGTGAATTGGAATTATTGAAGATTTTGAACAAAAGAGTTTGATCAAACTTGTATTTTTTAGTAAAGATACTGGTTGTTAGTAAGACAGATCCATGAGAGAGTGGTGAGATTAGAGCAGACAGTACAGCAGTAGTCTAAAAAGTATTAATGGGGGTTGGAATTAGTGTAGTGGCAGTGGTGGGCATACAAGAAGCTTCATTTCCCTGGATATAAAGTATTTCCTAATAAAATGAAGAGTTCCTTGAAAAGTAATAAAATTTATTTGCACCTACACATTTTCTTGTTTGTACCTAACTGATATTTATAACTACAGATATCATTTATTGAGCAGGCATGCATTTGACATTTACTAATTCACAGAATCTTCACACTACAACTCTGAATAGGTATTATCCCCATTTCATACATGTCAAAACTAAGGCACACAGAGGTTGAATAACTTTCCCAGATTCACACAGCTAGTATGTTTAATGGTGAGTGTTTGAACCCAGGCAGTTTGACTCTACTCCCCATGTTCTTAATCTGTATACCCTTTTTCCTGATGGATCAGTATTTGATGAAAAACTCATTTTAATTATTTGGATTATCTGATTTTCTTTGAAAGATCCCTTTTGACTTAGAATCTTTTTATAGTTTCAACTATGTTAAAAAATGCCTGATATTTTATTTTTTTAATACTCATTAAAACCATTCTAAGGGTTGGTTGTTTTCAACTGTGCAGTATCTTTTCATTTCAACTACAGCTTACTGTTCAAAATCTGAAGATCTGTGTGAAAGATTTCTCAGGGTTTTTATTTTCCTTCCCAATGCTAAACTTAAGCTGGGTAATTATAGTACAGTGTGAATTACCCACACATAGAATAGAATTGTTATCAAAAGTATATTACATAGGCTCATATCCTAACTTAACAATGTATTTTTCCTCAACCTCCCCTAATTAAGTATAAGAAATAAGAATTAGAGACCAGGATCTCTAACTGGAGAGGTTCACATGGAAAGATGAGCCAGTTTGTTTTAAGTTAAAGAAAGAAGCTACTGGAGGAGGTACAATTAAGGACACTGAAGAGATAGGGACTAAGGGAAAGAGAAGAGATAAGGACACCTGAAGATGGTTGTTAATAGGCTGAATGAGGAAAATCACAAAACCTCTATTACCCTATGAAATAGGAAGCAAGTCATCTGCTGAGAATAAGGTGAGAAGAAATCAACAGTAATGATTAAGGACAGTGGTACCCTTAAAAATATCCACCGTGAAGTGTGTGAAAGAAACCAGATCAGAAACACAAGTTGTACCTTAGCTGCTATTTCCAAGTAATAAAATATTTATATGATATGCCATATACACATATAAAGACATTTTCAAGGCATAGTCTTAAGGTATTAGTTTAATAAAAGGACAACATACATGAATCATTTACGAAAAAATCATTCTAAAATGTCTGTATTTAGAAAAAAGCAGACACATACATCATTTATGACAAAGGTACATTTTTTAAATGTCTACATTTTTGCCCATTCTTTTTAGAATTACTAACTACACCTACTATACAGAAAAGAAAAAAAATATATATAATAACATTATAGTCTTGAAATATACCAATACTTTAATAGAACAGAGTACTTTAAGAATAGTTTGTTCTACTATAGTACCTATTTCTATTACATCAATTAGCTTACATGCCTCTGGTAAATAAGGGAGCAATCTCGGAACAATGTGGAAGTTTTGTTGGTTCATATGTAATTTTTCCTAGGCAAGGGAGCCAGAATAGCAAGAGTACAACAATAACCTTCGGAAAAAAAGGTAAAAGCTCTCAGCTCAGCTACTGCACAGACAGGAGCCCTTCTAGTTCTATTTCAAGAAAAATAAAAATGTGTACCTGTACAAGAGCTCCCTCCCCAGCGGGCAGCACCCCCAGCTTTCCATGGTTTTTCTTGGCTTTGTGGTAGCTGGCACTTCTCCTGGGCCCACCATAATGGCAGCCCACAGGCTCAGATCTCCACTTCCATCAGCAATAACTCCATGCCTTCAAAGCACCATTTCCACTGTATAGACTCCAACTTATTGATCTCCCTTTCCTGGGTTTTCCAAGTACTCCCTTGAGTTACCAATTATTAACTTTGTTAGCACTCCAGTTATAAAGTTGCATAGAGCTTTCCTGGTCTGCTCCAAACCTATTTTTACTCTTAAGCCACGTCATTTTTAGTGCACAATCTTATAAAAAGCAAGGTATTTTAGCAATGCAAATATATGTGTAATAGCCAAGACACCCATACGTTATGCATCTAAGTGGAACTTAGTGACTTACCTTTGGAAGCTTGATAGGGGGCTCTTTGGATTCCTCCTCTTCATCACTATCTGATTCTCCACTCTGAACAGAGTTCTTAGATGCAGCTGCCAATGATGTTTCCTTTTTCTGCCATTCCAGAACGCAATGGCGTACATTGCAATAAATATTAAATGCAGAAGGATTGCTATGTAGTTTGATATCTGGTATGATTACTGTATTCTCCAAGTTTTCAGACTGAAATACAAGATATAATACTTCAATTTCATATTCATTTCCATCATCAATTCTAATTTTAAATAAAAAAATAAAAATATTAGAATTAGACATGCTAGATGACCTGCAGAAGTCACATAATTGGCAGAGCAAAAATAATCTAAATCTACTTATAGTGCCCTTTCTACTATACTTCATTACTTTCTGAGTAACACAGCAATAACCAACTTGACAAGGGCTAGAAAGGGGCAGGTGAAGAACTTAGGAATACCTTATTATCCCATGATGGGAAATGAGCCAATATAGCTTAATTGCTATAGTCTCAAAGGACATTAATTGGGGGCTTTTCTAAGAGACACCAAATGTATTGTAGAGTCTCAATGACTTACCACAAATGTTGTATTACATTTTTATTTCTTTTAAAAGTAGATATAGGGATTTAAACAGATATTAGGGCTAAAAAGAAAAACCCTTAATTTTAGTTAATTCTTCAAATTTCATTCTCATTCAAATAGTGGCAATACTATGAAAACTGTAGATTATGAACATACACTTTCCTAAAGCTGTTTCTTTGCTATCAGTCTTGATAAATACTTGATAAAAATCACATGCTTAGTAATTTAATTGTTAAAATTAAATAATTTCTGTCTTCTCCCAGCATTTTATTCATCAGACCACAACCACTCTTTTATATCAACATTTACATTATAAATATACAGACGACTGGTTTAAGATATTGTACAAATGCAAGTTCCAACAATTAGAGTATTTCTAGGAAGTATGCAAGATAAATAAAATGATAACTCAAGTACCAAAAACACTTGATCTCAAAAAATGCTACACTTCTTCCATAAATAATTGGTGAAAAATGAAAAACTCTTTATTAAATAAAAAATGTACTAAAGTTAACTGAGACATAATATGTGAATATGTCCTCTAGAGATATTTAAAAAAGAAAATATTAGCAATCCAAATCTAACAATATATAAAAAGATAACACATCATGATAACCCAAAATCAAGGTTGGCTCAACACTGGAAAAGCAGTGTAATTTCCCATATGCATACCATAGCTAACACAGTAAAAAACAATGCTTGCAAACTAAGACTGCAAACAAGGCAAAGATATCTATTCTAAGCAATTTGATTCAAAACTGTACCAGATATGCCAGTGCAATAAGCCAAGAAAAAGAAATAAGAAGTATACTTAGAAAGTATCTTCTAGAAAACAAAATGCCTTTATTTGCAGAAGATGCTTAAAGAATCTTAAGAAGTCTGCAAAAAAAGCCATTAGAAATAAGGTGTAGATTTAGCCAAGTCACAGGATACCAGCTCTCTATGTAAAAATGAGTAATATATCTGTATACTAGAAGTGAATAACTGAAAATATAATTTTAAAATAACATTACAGTTACAGACTGGGAGCCCTGGTCAGAGTGAATCAGTTGAATCAGTTGGTTGGAGCATCATCCCATATATTAAAAGGTCAGGGCACATTCCTAGGTTTCAAGTTTGATCCCAATCAATAGATGTTCTTCTCACATCAATGTTCTCTCTCTCTCTCTCTCTCTCTCTCTCTCTCTCTCTCTCTCTCTCTTTCTCTCTCTCTCTCTCCCCCCCCCCATCCCCTCTTTCTAAAATCAATAAGCATGTCCTTGGGTGAGGATTAAAAATAAAGTAAGTTACAGACTGGAAGAAAATATTGGCAAACCACATACCCGACAAAGGACTAGCATCTAGAATATACAAAGAATTTTCAAAACTCAACAGTAAAAAACAAACAGGTAATCCAGTCAAAAAAATGGGCAAGACACATTAACAGACATATCACTAAAGAAGATATACAGAAGGCAAATAAAATAAGCACATAGAAAAAGGTTCAATATCATAAAACATTAGGAAATATAAATTAAAACAAAATTATATATATATAACATACCTATCACACTGGCTAGAATAAAAAATAGTGATAACAAATGCTGGTGAGAATGTGGAGAAACTGGATCTCTCACACATTGCTAAAAGGAATGTAAAATGATACTGCTACCTTGGAAAAAGTGTGGCAGTTTCTTATAAAATTAAACATGTGCTTACAATAAATTCCAGCAATTGTACTCCTGTGAGGAAAGAGTTAACACTGCAGGTATGATTTCTTATTCCTTGTAATTCTCCAAGGGAACCATGACTGATCCTTGGTAAATCCTTGGGAATGTGGTCTTTAGAGTTTTCTTTGTTAGCTATTGATGATTCTGGCTTGTCCTATTGCTTTGTACAAATATCAAGATTGAACCTGAGTTTCAATCTGTGATATACTATGTGATATCACCTGAGATTCACTTGCCATGCTGGCTGTACAGCAGGATATGACTATATGACCAGACCCCCATAAAAGTCTTGGATCCTTACTCTAATGAGCTTTCCTGGGCAGAAACATTCTACACATACCCCTGTAGTTCACTGCCTAAGAGGAAGCATGTCCAGGGGAAAATTAGGAAGCCTGTGCCATAACTCCTTAGACACCTCCAAAACATTTTTTTCCTGCTGCCTACTCTGTATGTACCTTTTGTTGTACTAAGTCTTAGTCATTAGTATAAATTGCTTTGGGTCTTCTGAATCCTCTGGCAAGTCATGGAAGGAAACACTACCTAATCATTCTACTCCTAGATATTTACACCACCCCCCCCCCACAAAAAAACCCACCAACACATATATTCACACAAAGACTACTAGATAAATGTTCATAAAAGCTTCATCTGCAATGGCCATAAACTGGAAACAACATGTAAATGTCAAAAGGGTGAATGGATTAACAAATCAGGATATATCCATATAATGGGATAACTAATCAGCAAAAAATAGACTAAGCTGGTTAATATGCACAACATGTACACAACTCAAAATCACTATCCTGAGGGAAAGAAGCCAAATATTAAAAAGTACACACTGTATGATCACATTTATATGAAATTCTAGAAAATGACAAATAATCTATAACCACACAAAAAATACATCTGTGGTTGCCTACACCCAGGGCTTCAGGGAGAAATGGAATGCAGCAAAGGAAGAGGAAACTCCCAGGGATGATGAAAATTTTCTGAACCTTGATTGTATCATTCAAAACTCACTAAAATGTACACTTCAAATCCCAGTCTCAGGTTCTGCTACTAAGATACTGACCTAAGACCCATTTGAAGCAGGATGTTGAGGAAATTTCCTGTGTAACGGATTTTATTTCTCCTATAAAAAAGTAAAGTCATTTGCTAGAGGGTAGGATTTATCAGAAGTCTGAGGAGACTAGCAAAGGTCTGAAATAGTAATAGGAGAAAATGAAAGACCTAATTGACCAGAAAAAATAAGAAGATAGTCTGGCTATGGAAGGTTCATTTGAACATGTACTGGTACCAATTAACTCTTTTTTAAACTCCTCTTAGCAGCACATGATATTCTCTGAAGGAGAAGAGAAAACAGCTGGATTCGTATAAGATTGAGTTTTGTAAGATGGATGCAACAAATATAGATGGAGGAAAGGAAGATGTGGTAGGCAGAATAATGGCCTGCAAAAATGTATTCACCCTAATCCCAGGAACCTGTGACTATGTTACCTCACCTGGTAAAAGGGCCCTTAAGACATGATTAAATTAAATCTTAGGATGGAGAGATTTATGTGGATTACCTGGGTGGGTCCAATTAATCACAATGGTCCTTATAAATGTGAGAGGGTGTCAGGACAGTCAGAGAAGGAGAAAGTGTTGGAGTGATGCAGCATGAGAAAACTCAACCAACCATTGCTGGCTTTGAGTTTGCAATACTAAGCTTTAGAGGCTGCCTGTATCCCCTGCCTGAAGAAGGGGATACAGGCAGCCTCTAAAGCTGGAAAAGGTAAAAAAAAAAAAAAAAAAAGAAAAAAGAATTCTCTCCTAGAGACTCCAGAGGAATATAGCCTTATATACATCTTAACTTTAGTCCAGTGAGACTCATTTTGAACTTCAGACTTTGAGAACTGTAAGATAATTTGCACTGTTTTAAACCAGCAAGTTTGTGTGATTTGGTACAGCAGCCATAGGGAACTAATACTGTAGATTAATTAAGCAAGAGTTATTCCAAAAAAAAACAAAAAACCAACAACTGTGGTAACTAAACTGAATAAGAAGGAATTAAATAAAGGACATGGCTAATAGATGAGGAGAAATACTAGTAGAGGGGTCAATGACAGTAAGAAAGGAGATATGGTAATATAGATAAATGGATTTTTTGTTAGTTTGTTTTGCTGAAAAGAAATACTTGTTTTTAAAAAATATGGGGAAAAAAGCCCATTGGCATTTTTTACATAACTTTTTTAAAAACAGGGTGGATGAAAAATAGTCCAAAAACAGTAACAGAGGGCAAGGTGACTAAAAAAATGTTACTATTTTATATGCTTATCATAAGTAGGAAATGTTTCTTATTTATCTTCCTATCCCAAATATCTAGCATAATACCTACACATAGTCAGTATGCAATTAATATTTGAGGAATAAAAGAATGCATTTTTATATCATTCTTATTACAAGCTGCTCCTATAAAGGCGATAGCAGATATAAAACCTGAAGCTAGACAAGAACTGAGAATTACAAAGGGCACAAAGATAGAGACAGAATTGAAAGGGACAAAAAAACCTTGACTATCCCACATTATCCTGATATCATATACTACCACCTTTAGGAATATCACTAAATGAAAGCTTAAAAGAACTTAAAAAGATCTTCAAGATTCCCATACTATGACTCTGCACATAAATCCAAAAAGTGGATAAGGGGTAGAGGAGGTTGGAAATCTAAATGAATATAAATCTGTTAATTTTTTTATATATATAGTAAGTATATTAAGAATGCTCTCCACTTTTCTCTTCTATCTCAAAAGCAGAAGTAGTAAGAGGTGATAGAGTGAAAATATATTATCTGGCCACCCAGCAACATTTTCCTTAGGGTAACCCTTCTCCCATTTTACATGGCTTGCTCATTGGGGTGCTCACCTCTAACCAAAGTACCTAATCTTCAACACCAATGTAAATGATACAGGTTAATAAAAAAATCATACCCAAGACATTCTGCTAGAACCAGTAGGAGAGATGTCTCTTGCTCAAAGAAAATGAAGATGGAGCTGCCAGCAGCCTTAGTGCTCAGCCACAGGCAATAAGCCCACACCGAAGCAAGAGACAAAGACATAGATTTGATGAATTATTTAATCCCTGAATCCATCTCTGTCTCAAGATAGAGCCACCAAATAAATTTTGTCCCTTATCCTTTTGGAAGTTTTTTGTTTGTTTACTACTTTAAAGTTGATTTCTCTCAGTTACAATAGCAAGAACACTAATTGGAAAGAGCAGGAAACTGTCTCTAGAACTTAAATATGATATACAGGCCAAGCTAAGCTATATTAACCAAAAGTGGAGCTGTTCAGAAATCATAGTTATGACTCTTCTCTTCCTCCTATCTAGGCTTCTTAGTACTGTTCAAAAGAAAAGAGACTCTTATATAGAAAGCAGAATCTGGACCCTGAAAATGTTTAAGAAAAAACTAGATGGATTTTATAGCAAAGATTTTTGTATTAGGTAGAAAATGAGATCTTTGATTGCTAAGATCCCACCTAATTAAAATATTCTATATTGCATTTTCTTTTGCACTGCCACCCAGTCAAAAGAATCTCAGAGCAATATAGATGCACCAAGATTCTCCCTAATTCATGACACATGCATAGGCATATGATGAACCCAAATTCGGGTCCCAACTCACAAGCCAATTTTACTCAGTTTGTAGTACAGGTAGTCAGAGTGTAAAAAAGAAGAGAAATGGTTATGTTTCCCCCAAATCAAAAATAAGAATAAATAATAAACAATTTTCAGGATCCAGTTATTAACTTCTAGGCTACTGATCAAAATATGAAGCTAAGCAGTGTAATTAAATACTAAGAGGCTTCTAAAAAATTACTTTAACACAGAGACGTGAAATGATGTGCTAATTATACTCACACCTTTTTAATCTTGGCATTGTAATTCAAATTACTATATAAAAAAATTCCTTATTTCTGATAAACTGCCAGCAGTTTTACCTTGCTTCTTGTCTTGACTTTTGATTTGCTCTTCTGTTTTCTTTTCAACTTCTTCTTATTTAAAATTTTCTTATTCCTAAAAATGCAAAAACGTGGAAAAATTATGAAAGTTCAATATTAGAACATACAAAGCTATTAAAAATAGGTACTTCCAAAGTAGAGACTTAAATATGTATCCTACAAACTTTCTTTCTATGAAACAATATACTCTAGATCAGGGGTCCTCAAACTACGGCCCTCGGGCCACATGCAAATACAAATATTGTATTTGTTCCCGTTTTGTTTTTTTACTTCAAAATAAGATTTGTGCACTGTGCATAGGAATTTGTTCATAGTTTTTTTTTTAAACTATAGTCCGGTCCTCCAACGGTCTGAGGGACAGTGAACTGGCCCCCTGTTTAAAATGTTTGAGGACCCCTGCTCTAGATATACATATAAGATACTACCATATAATGTAGCTATTGAAATAACACAATACTAGATTATCTAAGCAATACACATGAAATGATAAAAGACTTGAATTCTGCAAATAGTTTTATAAAATTTAAAAAAATTTAAAGGCATCAAATGGAGGTTTTTAAACTTTATTTAACAGTGGAAATGCTAATAAATATCAACTATGTTCCCTTCCCAGAAAAATCTGCTCTTTGTAGTAGTGAGGACTACAGTGCAAAAATGGCCAGGAGTCCATTTTTGGCAAATTACTATAAATAAACCCCAACTCATAGACTTCTCACATCCAGCAGCCAGTTTTTCATTACCTCACAGCCCTGAGGCCAAATTATTCTTATAAGCAAAAGGAAGTCCCTAAATGACTCTGAGAAAGAAAAAATAAATGAGGCAAATAATGAGAATTAGAGTGGAAGAAATATGACTCAAAGAAAACATTTTATTTTAATTTCATTTAATATTTTTATGTCTATCATGCTGAAGTACACACTTCTAGGTACTAAATTTAGATAAAAAAGACAGTTCTTGCCCTCAAGGAGCTCAGTGACTTGGATAAAAAGCAAGAGGGTGCTATTGCTATAATAAAGACAAAATGTGAAGAGGGAGAAGAAGCAGGAGCAGAAGGGGGGAGAGGAAGAGGAGGAGGAAGAGGAGAAGAAAGAGACTCTACATAATACAGAGTTCAAATCCATAACACTTGGTAACCAATTAGTGGAAGCTGTAGTAAGGCTAAGTCACTTAGAGGTAGGGATGTCATTCACAAAAGTATGGAAGTCAAAAGGAAGAATTACTTTGCGAAAGAAAAAAATGGATTTGATTTTGAAGATGTTTGACTAATGAAAAAGATTTTGAAGATTCTAAAATGTTAACAAGGTAGATGTGAACAAGCATATGTAAATTTTTTCCTTGACACTTCCTTCAGCTTCACTCCATAAACCAAAATAATCACGAAATCCTGTCAATTGTATATCATACAGTTCTTGAATTTACCTACATCTCTACTGCTGCTAAGCTAATAATCTAAGTCACCACCACATCCTGCCTGGACCACTGCAAAACCTTCATAACACATTTCTGCACATTGATATTTGCGTCCCCTTCAATCCATTCTTCACATTAAAAACGCAAGTCAACTCCTTAAAACACAAATCTGAGTAGGTAATTCCCCCACTTAAAACTATTGACAAAAAGAAACAAATGAAAAAAAAAACACCAAAAACATAGAAAACAACAACAACACACACATACCAAACAACTCTATTAATATCTTCTCGATTCTCTTAGGATAAAGTCTAAAGCAGTGGTTCTCAACCTGTGGGTCGCGACCCCTTTGGCGGTCAAACGACCCTTTCACAGGGGTCGCCTAAGACAATCCCTGCATATCAGATATTTACATTATGATTCATAACAGTAGCAACATTACAGTTATGAAGTAGCAACGAAAATAATTTTATGGTTGGGTCACAACATGAGGAACTATATTTAAAGGGCCAGAAGGTTGAGAACCACTGGTCTAAAGGAAATGAAGGCTTAAAAGCTCCTCTACCGATATCTGACCTCTGCCAGTCTCTCCTGCCTCATTCTGCAGTCATTTCCAACTTGTTCTTCATACTCCAGCCACAAAGACATCTTTTTCAATGGTCTGGACTGGCTAAGCTCCTCAGGGACTTTCAAAGAGGTTCTCCCTCTACCTGGAATTCTCCCACATTCCCTGCTAACCACTCTTATTCTCTGAGGTCCCAGTATATGAGTCACTTACTCAGGAATGTCCCAGACTGGGTTAGTTTCCCTAATACACACCCTCATTTCATTTTGTACTTGTGTTTCATTGTGTAATCTACAAATATAATTGTGTATGGGATTATCTGTTAAATGCATCACTCCCTCACAACCTGTATGCCTCAAGAGTGCAGAGACCATGTCTTTCTTTTTTATTACTCTAGCTCTTTGCCCAGAAAAGTACCTGGAACCCAATACTATTTTGAGAAAGAGAAAGTAGGATGAAAGAGAAAGGAAGGGTTGAAAGAAAGTTCAGAGCTATAGCTATGAGCCTTACACAAAGAGTAAATAAGGAGAGAACCAAGGATAGATCCATAGATAAACCAAACATTAAAGGATATCTAGCCAGAAATGTCCATTAAGGAGTTACCCATAGAATTATTTTATGCAGATTGTGGTGCAAAAAAGGTAATGGAAACCATGTATGTGAATGAGATTTCCCCAGTAGAGTAAGCTACAAAAGTAAAGAGAGTGACCAACAGCTATCAAATGCTACACATGAGCAGATATACCTGCTTACATAATCTATTCAACTACGAGTAATGTGAGAGCATGAAGAATGTCTACTTCAACTCCACACTTTCAGCACCTGTATCAGTGTCTGACACATCATGGATGTTCAAGAAATATTAGATGAACAAACACATTAATGAAAATATTTCTTATATGACTTAGGAAACCAACCTCCCTTTATACTAAAGTTTGAGTGAAATCAGTTATCTGAGCAACAGGAGTATGTAACTGCTAAAAGGTTAGCTCCTTCTATGCAATTTATAAAAGCATCAAAGTTCACTCAAAATGAACTGTCAGAGGAACGAATATATAAATCCAAATTAAGATGAATTTCCTGAAGCCTAGTTATCATGAACCTAAATTTTCACCAGTATACATCAATATTTTTATCTGCCTTGCTTAACAGACTTCAAAAATTTTTTAATTGATTTCAGAGAGAGAAAAGGGAGAGGGAGAGAGAGATAGAAACACTGATGAGAGGAAGGCTCCCTCCTGCACACCCTCTACAGGGTATCAAGCCCATAACCAGGGTATGTGCCCTGACCAGGAATTGAACCTGTGACCTCCTGGTACCTGGGATGACACTCAACCACTTGAGCCGCACCAAGCGGGCTTTAATGGACTTCTTGAATGTTCAAATTACAAGATAGAGTTCTTTCTATGCATTTTACATTTAATTAGTTATAACAATTTAAATAAAACTGAACCTACTAATTCCTGAATATAGATCAGCTGAAGAATCAGCTTTCCCAAATCCCCAGAAATTAATTTTACTGTGTGTGTTCTTTGTTGATTTGGATTGTTTTAGAAGTAGAGGGCTATCAAAAAGAGCCAGTAATAAATTAAACATTATATAATGAAAACTCATTTCAACATTAGAAAATAAAAATGCTATTTATTAGTAGTACTAAAGGCCCAGTGCATGAAAATTCATGCACTGGAGGGGGGTCCCTCAGCCTGGCCTGCCCCCTCTCACAGTCCGGGAGCCCTTAGGGGCGGGAGGCAACCCAGCGATCAGGGGAAGGCGATGCCCCCATCACACCTCTGCTGCTGCCACTGCCGGCAGCTACCACTGCCAGCAGCGCAAGCCTCAGCCGGCCCTGGTTACCTGAGCCTCGGGAGGCCCTGGGCGGCTGGGCAGCTGCCATCTGAGGCTTGCCTGCACCTCAAGTGGCCCTAGGAGACTGGGGGGCTAAGGGGACTGGGGGACTCTGGAGGCAGGCGCGTGGCCATCTTTGAGGGCATGGCAGTCAATTAGCATATTCCCTCCTTACTGGCTGTGGGCACTGCCATCTTTGAGGGCGGGGCAGTCAAATAGCATATTCCCTCCTTATTGGCTGTGGGCGCCACCATCTTTGCAACAGCAGGAGGGTCAATTAGCATATTACCTCTTTATTAGATAGGATAAGATCCCATTACATGACTGCATTTGAAAACTAAGCTTAAATAAATTTTTCATAATATCTGAGAATGGATAAAAGAAAAACTCTAGAAAGCAGTCTTACACATGAACAATTCATCTTGGAATTTCTGGTGATTTAGCACTTTAAATCCTGTATCAAATAGGAGATTAATGAAGAATGTCTGGAATTGATCCTATAAGATTTTTAGTCTTTTCACACAAAGAACCCCCTACCCATGAGATTTGAAAGAATTATGTGTAGTAATGAAAGGCAAAGGCTATTAACATGCTTTAAATATTTATTTTAAAATGTTTACTTTAAAAATGCCAAAGAAGGAACATTCATAATGACAATCACTGTTTAAGGAAAACCAAACACTCTGCAATATGAGGACCAATGAATTTTGCAAGTTGTTCCATGATATAGTTTATTAGTTTCTCTACCAGATTACTACTGAGTCTGTTTTCTAACAAAACAAAAATTAGTCATAATTTAATTGTAAAACCTCTCTCTGAATATGTTTCTTCATCTGGAAAATAACAAGATTAAGGAAATTATCTCTGAGATTCCTTTTAATTCTAAAATGCTAGGATTTTAGTAAATCCAAATTCAAAGAACTTCAGGAATAAGAGGGTGTTTTTTTAAAATATATTTTTGTTGATTTCAGAGAGGAAGGGAGAGGGAGAGAGAGACAGAAACATCAGTGATGAGAAAGAATCACTGATCAGCTGCCTCCTGCATGCCCCACACTGGGGATCAAGCCCACAACCCGAGCATATGCTCTGACCAGGAATCAAACCATGACCTATTGGTTCATAGGTCAACGCTCAACCACAGAGCCATGGGCTTCAATCTTTTGTTTAATTTGCCTTAGCAATGAGAAATTTAAAAATTCCCAAGTCTATGGTCTAAGGCAGGAAAAGGCAAATAT